GAGGATACTTGAGAGCCTTTGTTGGTGGAGCAGTTGGCGCGATGGTACTCGGGGAGGAAGTGACATTGATAGAAGAAGTAGGAATCGGCGTAGTAGAATCCGTCGCCACCGCTGCTGCTTCAGAGGTCCCACGAGTACCAAAGTAAGCTCCAGCACCACCACAAGCACCCAAAAGGAGCACAACAAGGATAATCATGCCAACAGGACGTTTCTTCTGCTCAGGTAGTGGCTCTTGGGGTGAGGGAGCGTCCGTCGCACCTCCGCTGTCAACCTCTCGCTGAACTGGGGGTTTTTCTTCCATCGCTTCCACAGCCATAGCTTCCAGCAATACTTCGCCGTCTTCATTGGTATTGAGTTCCACAGATTTTGATTGCTTCTCTTTTGTTCCCGCTTCTTCATTTGCCAAGCCTGCAGCCGCCAACTTTCGCTGGACTGCATCATTGTTTCCAGGCGGAGCGGTGGTTCGGTTGCTGGACCTGCCGGAACCTTCCCCTCTTGCTGCCTTTCGGCTTTGTCTTTGCGCTTCAGGACTCATTGGCGTGGACGCACAGAAGCAGGCTTGGAAGTACGACTTTTTCCAGAAGACCGGTGCCTGTCGGAGGATGTCACCGCACCAGGAACCGTAGCTGGCTTGGAGGTCCGGCTTTTGCCAGAAGAAGCACGACTCTTTCCTTCCGATCTGGAAGAGGAATGGCCTTGGCTGCGATCACTGCGACCGCTTGATTTGACAGAGCCTTTTCTCGATCTTGGAGACGCTTCAGTGGCAGCAAACGCTCCAGGAGCAGTAGATTTGCTGCTGTCACGTCCACTGCGAGCTCGATCTTTTTCCCGTCGGTCACTTGACTCTCTGCGATTGCTGGAAGACGTACCGCTGCTGTGTTTGTTTCGCTCTTCACGAGCTTTACGCTTGGCATTTCTGTCTTCTTCCTCAGTTGATGGCATCTTGAGATACGAGTATATATATCACTGAAAGCACTGGTGACAGAATGTTTGAGAGAATACAAACCACATTTCAAACTTGAAATAATCTTCTACGGCAGACTTCGTTGACTTTGGTACGGTACACTGAAATCTGTGGAAGCAGAAAGTTTTGTCTGGAGCCGGGCGGATAAAATGACTCTATCCGTTCAAATTTTCAATTATAGACACAAGGTTAGGTACACGTACATGTATACGATACTTAATGGGCAAATACCACAGCAGTCACGATCGAGGAATTCCCTTCAATTATGACTTTTTCGTTCGATCTGATGATTGATTCATTCTGATGATTCCCAAAGTTCCAAAGTCGTCTTGCTTTCTTTGTCGGCGGTAAATGCCACCATCAAGTCGAACAGGTCATTGTGCGACAAGAACCCCAAATCGTGGGAAAACCTCAACGAGAACTCGTTGAGGGAGAGAAGCAAGTGTTCATCGGTTGAAGAATGCAACGAATGCGAATTCTTGGCAAAGGTTCGTTTGTTGGATTGAAATGCGAGAGGCCATCACAAAAACTCTTGGAGCAAATTCACAAGACTACCAGACAGACAAACAAGAACACCACCATGATCTTTCCAAGATCCTTCCTCTTTTCGGCAGCCATTGCCACATTGGCATCTACTTCCAAGGCTGCTGATTATGGAGTTGATTGCTCCTTTCCCATCCATTCCACCGACTCGTCGTGTGGGGACTTGTTGGGCGATCGCGCTGCCGTCTACAACGAATACATGGATGGATGCCGAAAACATTGGGGCGAGAAGGGAGCCAAGCGATGCAATGCCGCAGAAGCCGATCGTTTGTCCATGAGCCAAACGCAACCTCAAAGTATGGTGGTAAGTCATTAATGGATCATAATACTAATAAGGAGGTCGAAATCCACTTGCGACTTGACTAAATTCTGTTCTATTATTTCCTTCTCATCCAATCGGATCACAGAACTATACAGAAACTGGATTCAAGAAGCTCAAGGCACCACCCAAGTTGTGGGAACTCATTAGCAACTATTGGGAAACAAACAAGGACGAGAAGAAGCTCGAAGTATGGCCCATGGGTAACATTTACACCAACAACTGGGCCGCCCCGACTTACATGGTCAGTGTCGAGAACGATCAACTTCCTGGAGGAGGTCATGGTTTGAAGGATCAAATATGGGAAGCTGCTCGACCAACCATTGAGGCCTGGACCGGAATGAAGTTGCAGCCTACCTCTCAGTATGGAATCCGCGTCTACACTGAGGGCGCCATCCTGTCTCCACACGTCGACCGTCTTCCCCTGGTCTCCTCTTGCATCATCAATGTCGCTCAAGACGTTGATGAAGACTGGGTCTTGGAGGTATATGACAGACATGACAATGCCGTCAATGTCACCATGGAACCAGGAGACATGGTCTTGTACGAAAGTGGTAGTTTGGTCCATGGAAGACCATTCGCAATGAAGGGACGATTCTTTGCCAATATCTTTATTCACTTTGAACCTACTGGAGAGCACTTGTACGATGATGGAAGTGAAGAGTTGGATGACTTTTATCCACCATACCTCAAGGCCAATTCTCCTTGGTTGGACACTTGGGCCAAACAAAACCCTAGTGGATGGAGAAAGACATCACCCTCTGCCGCCGCCGTTGCCCAACCGATCACACTCAAGGGACATACCGCCGCCGCTTCGGGAGACATCGAAACACTAGAGCGCTTGGCTCTTGACGACATGAAGGCACTTTACGCTCGAGATCCCAATGGATGGACTCCATTGCACGAGGCAGCTCGAGCAGGTCACTTGGATGTAGTGAGGTTGTTGGTAGAAAAGCACAATGCTGATATGAACTACATCACCAATGAAGGCAAGGGAAGTTCGCCCTACTTTATTGCCACCCAAAGTCACTCGCCAGACCACCCAGTTTCACAATACTTTAAGTCTTTGGGAGCCGTCTACCAAGGACCCGAACTTTAAGAGATTTGTCAACTTCCCGGATTATTAGTCGGAGCAACTATTAATACCGGTAGGCTTGCTTCACTTTTGGCTTTAGAATATAATACAACAGCCCAAATATTCATATTATAAAAAATAACAAGTATCAATACATTGCGATTTGCGATACCACTGTGATAGTCCTACGATTGATTCTTCATGGCTTCCAGCTCGTTCAATCCCATAGAAAAGTAAGGACACTTGGAACCACAAAAGATGCTCCACATCGTACTCGACCATTATTTCGACCCACACCATCACCAATGTCTTCGTCCACACGGCATGGCCCCATGGATGATTTCCACAAGGCCAGTTCCAATACTGATACACTCTCCAAACGCTCGTATTGGGTCATGGTATCATATGTTTCATTCAAAGCGTTTTCCCTTCGTTCCTTGTCATTTTCGCGCAAGATTGCCAGAACCTCACTTGACATACGCCTGCTCCATTCATCGCAGCCCCAATCAGACAACCGGTCCACCGTGTATCGTTCCAGTGTCAATTGCATCAATGCTTTGACTGAATCCGTCCACAATTTGCAGTTCAAGTAGTCCATAGCACGGTTCCCACGTATGTCTTGCCGACCAAGCACGTGAGCGGGATAGGCATCCAACAATGCTATCAACAAGTCTTTTCGTTTGGTTGATGATGACAGTAGGATATGAAAAGGTGTCATCTCAAAGGTATCCACAACAAACTGCTGGCATTTGTCGCCCTGTCTCAATTCCTCTAAAGTCGTACCGATACTTTCTTGACAGTAAGGCGATAAGCCAAGTTGACGATGTAGATCATCTGCCTTGGTCACGGATGAATAATAGCATAGCCTGTGGATTGGATAGTCGTCAAATCGAGTTGTCACCAGTTGTCCCACACTCTGTTGTGAGCTGCAATGTCGCTGAAGATGCCTACAGCGACAAAAGCAGCCTGCCGAGAGGAAGACTGGAGGGGTATCAATCTGCTTCATCATACACTTTGGAAACGAAATGTTGCAGAGGGATACGCAAGTCCCAAACACTTCTCCTTGTAGCTCCGTTTCCTCTTGACGACGCAAAATTTCCACTGACACTAGAGATTTACACGGAGAAAATGCCAAGTGTCCAATTTTCTCCACTGTCGAAGGGATCTTGATGCTGGAGAGAGAGGAGCAGAACGAAAAGGTCCGTGATCCAATAGTCAACAAGCCTTCCGCTAGATCGACTTTTGTCAACGATATGCACCCGTCAAACGCACGGCTTTCAATCACCTCTGCTGTAGAAGGGATTTTGACTGTTGTCAATCCTTTACAGTCAGCAAAGGCTTCGTATCCAATCTGCTGTAGTCCCTTTTGAAATTCCACGGCAGTGAGGGAAAGACACTTGAAAAAGGCGCTGGGTCCAACTTTCTTGAGAGTGCGAGGAGTTCGGATACTTCTCAATGACAGACATTCAAAAAATGTCTCTCGAGGAATTTCTGTCAATCCCTCGGACAGAATCACTTGGACCAACGAAGTACACTCGGCAAAGACTTTTTCATCAAATCGATCCAAGAGTGCACCACACGAGAACCGGACTGTCTGTAGCAATTTGCATTCGCGAAATACGCCCTGACGTAGATCATTGAGTCCCTTAGGAAGATCGAGTTCAATTAACGAATCGCAGCGCTCAAAGACCCCTTTCTCAATCACCTTTGTTTGCTTTGGAATTTGAATCTTGGACAGGGACGAGCAGTATGAAAAGGCACCCCATTCAATAGACACCAAGCTGTCTGGCAAAGCAATATCCATCAAAGACTTGCATTGACGAAAGGAGCAAGGGGAAATGATTTCCACTTTTGCTGGAATGTGGATTCTTTCTAGTTGGGAGCAAGATTCGAACACAGAATGCTCCAGACTTGTAATTCCCTCGGGCAATCCGACTTGGACCAAGGACATGCAGTTCGAAAATGCTGCCCTGCCAATCTGAGTCACAGTGGATGGTATTTGCACCCCTGCCAACCTGATACAATGTGAAAAAGCATTGGCGCAAATGGTTCTTAACAAACCAGTTTCTGGCATGTCCACTCGTCTCATGGACGAGCATCCGGAAAACGCCGAACCTCCAATTGTTTCGACCGAGGTTGGAATGTCAATTCGTGCCAATCGGTTACAGCCCGCAAAGGCATTGTCTTCAACAGCCTTGAGTCCTTCTTGCAATTTAACTTCTTTTAACGATGGGCAACCACAAAAGGTCTTGGCTGCCAAGAATGTCACAGTGGAAGGGACCTTGATGCTTGTCAAGGCAGCACACTCGGCAAATGCATGGGGGCCAATGTACGCCAATACTCCTTGTTCATGGAAAAGGGCTTCCGTCATGGAAGAACATTTTTGAAAGGCGCCCTCACCAATCCACTCGACGGTCGACGGAATTTTGACAGCTTCCAATGACGTACAATATTGGAACGCATGGCTACCAATATATCTCAGACCATCTGCCATATGAATAGTCACCAAACTTGTGGATTTCTTATGGAAGGATGGGCTTGAAGGAACATTGATGATGCTTCTTCGTTGCAATGTAGCCGACGATGAGGATGTTTTTATTTGTTCCAAAGAACAATCATTGCCATCATTGCCATCATTGCCAGCATCATCCTCTGAAAGCAATTGAAGACTCCGTAAACCTCTGCACCCTTGGAACGCGTGTGAACCTATTGATTTGACATGAGATGGAATCGTAACGTTTGCAAGAGAATCACAGCGTACAAATGCATCCTTGTCGATAGCTTCGAGGCCATCCGCAAAGATCACTTTTTGCAGCTGTATGCACTTTTGTAGATGTAGGTGATGGTGCAGAGGCGTTGTCAACAACTTGGGGTCGCCAAAGGCACAACCTCCAGAATACGTAATGATGGAAACAACATTGTTGTTGTCAATATTGTCATCAGTTGCATTGTGAGCAGCAGTGCCAAGAGGAGAAGAAGAAGTTGGTGACCGCTTCCGGCGTTTCGGATTGGGTTCCATTGCTGGTTTCTATTTCAATCCTACCACTGTTGTAGTTTTTTATGCCACAACAAGTTGTTTGTTACTGTAGATGATGGATTCAAATTTTGAAATTCAAAAACAGCGCCGCAACGTCCTGTCCAATTTTTTATCATTGTCCACTCCATGTCGCAAGTAAGTACATTTTTTACCTACGTAATGTTCCTACCAGATGCACGTGTTTCGCAGATTCCAAACCTCCGGGCGCGATTTTGTGATTTTTCCGGGCGCGTCTTCATCAATAATCTGAAGTGACAAAGACGAATGAGAACGAGTGGTGGGTAGAAAAGATAGAAAGAGCAAGAGAAAGAGAGAGCGCTACTGTACTACAACTGACCGTCAAAAGTGAATGTTTCAGGCCCTCAAATCATTAGTCACAGGATCCCCCGAGAAGACTACTACTACGACTACTACTACTGCAAGAACTACAACTGCAACTGCAACTACAACTACAGCTACTCAAGAAGACGCTGACGACGACGACGACGACGAAATGGCCAAGAAAATCACTCCCAAAAAGGCTCCAGCCACCAAGAAAAATGACGACGGTGATTCCAAGAAACGAAAGTCCACCACCACCACCACCACCACCAAGGCTATGGCAGATAGCCGTCCCAAACGAGTCCGTCGCAGCGCGGTGGAAGCAGAAAACAGCATTTACGAACCGACTGACTTTACCATGAAAGAACCAGCATCCGAAGGCATCAAAATCATTAAGGGACGTGGTTCCAAGTTGTCTTCCTTTGCCGTGGTCAAGCAATCGATTGAAGCCTCCAAGCGAACTCTAGAAGAGATTTCCTTTGCGCATCAGTTTGTCTTTGGAAAGAAGGGAGGCAAGCTCTCCAAGAAGGAAATGAAAGAGCATTTGTTGGAGTTTAGTGGTTTCCTGAAACCAATTCCAGCTGGAAAGAAGCGTACGGACAAGGAAGTCGACAAGGAAGAAGAAGCATTGGAGGTGAGTTTGTTTATACATGTATTATTTGTATGCATATATAATGTTAGCATATATGTGATCACATGGAATTTGTGATAACTGTGTCATTGGAACGAGTTCTATGCTTGTTCCAAATTGGTTCTCATCATTCATCTTGGTTGCCATTCATTCATTTTATTTTTGTAGACCAAAATGTCGAGACGGGCCTACGCCTTGAATAAATCTCAAATTGTGGAACTTTGCCACTTCTTTGCGCTTACTTTGGAGACCACAAAGGACGAGCCCAAGATGGACAAGGACACTTGCATTGATCGTTTGCTCGACTTTTTGGGCAATCCTCACCAAGATTGGTTGGTCGATTCCCTCAAGGAAACGTCTACGGCTGCCACTAAAAAGACAACCACTACTACTGCTGCTGCTGCTGCTGCTTCTAAACCCTCTACTGCAGCAACAAAGAAAAAGGTTCCAGCGGCTCCCAGCAATACCACTCTGTCCGATTATCAAAAAATTAAAAAGGCCATTGGCAAGAAAAAGGTCCCTTCGGAAGAAGTATTGAGATCTTGGGTCAGAGCCTATGTGGCTTGTTTTAACTTGGACAAGGCCACTACCAAGCATGCTATCATTACTTGCAGTGAAAAATTCGGGGTGGACATGTCCAAGCAAAAACAACTCATCAAACAGATACTGGCCGAAGAGCTATAAGGGAAAAAAAGAAGGGGATGCGTGTGATGGAATAGTAGTGCAGTATATATGTTATTTACAGATACATGTATCTATGCGTTACCATAGTGATACGATACTGTTAAAAAAAAAAGGGTGTGTAGATGTGATACAATATACGGTATGTGAATTGAAATAGTATTCTAGTTTACAAATTGTCGTGTGCCAGCCATATGATATGCATGATCGATCGATTGGTGTCATTCGAAATAATTTTACAGCTCGGGTCCTTGGTTGATCGCTCCCAATGACTGGAGATATTTCGCCACTGGATGATCGGGCGAATGACTTTGACTGGCAATAAAGTAGGCGGAACTACCCTTGCCTTTATTGGTCAATGAGTTAATGTCCACTTGCTGCTTCTCCACTAGCATTTGAACCACTTCCAAGTGACCGGCGCGGGCGGCTTCGTGCAAGGGAGTCCAGCCATTGGCATCGCAGGCCGAGAGCGATTCCTTATCATCAAAGGCCAAGCGTTCCAAGGCATCGACATCTCCTGACGCGGCAGCGGCGTGGGCCTTTGGTACACCGACCGAAGCAGCCGAAGGAGAAGTACGTCTCCATCCACTAGGATTCTGTTGGGCCCAAGTTTCCAACCAAGGAGAATTGGGCAACAGGTAGGGTGGATAAAAATCATCGTCGACCACCTCATTACGACCAGCATTGCCATCCAAATCCTCGCCAGTTGGTTCAAAATGAATAAAGATGTTGGCAAAATAGCGTCCCTTCAAGGCAAACGGTCGACCATGCATTAGACTCCCACTCTCGTACAAAACCATGTCTCCTGGTTCCATGGTGACATTGACGGCATTATCGTTTCTATCATAGACTTCCAAGATCCAATCTTCGTCAACATCTTGAGCGACATTGATGATACACGAGGAGACTAGAGGAAGACGATCGACATGGGGAGCCAAGATGGCACCTTCGGTATAGATACGGATGCCATATTGGGAGGTGGGTTGCAACTTGCGACCAGTCCATTCTTCCAGGACAGGGCGGGCAGCCTCCCAGATTTCATTTCTAAGGTCGGGGCCTCCACCTTCTAGTTCCGTGTCTTCGACACCAATGTAATAGGAAGGTGCCGCCCAATTATTGGTGTAAACATTACCGACGAACCACTCTTCGATTTCTTGCTCGTCTTCGTTCTCTTCCCAGAATTCACTGAGAAGTTCCCATAGCTTTGCTGGTGCCTTGAGCTTCTTGAATCCAGTTGATGTAAAGTTCTGTAGGTGGGGTAGATCATTGAAAGAAGGTTATGATGGTGAGTCAGTATCAATAATCAATATCAATCAGTATCAATGGCCAAAGAAGGCCGAGATCGTCTAGTATGAAAAATCACGCTTACCACCATACTTTGAGGCTGCTTGCGGCTCATTTCCAGGCGATCTGCCTCGGCAGCGTTGCATCTCTTTCTTCCCTTTTCGCCCCAATGCTCACGGCAACCTTCCATGTAATCTTCATAAATGGCCTTTCGATCGCCCAACAAGTTGCCACAGGTCAAATTCTTTGAATGAATCGGCCATGAGCAGTCCACTAAAATGATATGAAGGGAAAGTCAAGAATTAGTCAAGTCGTCGTAAAGTTGGCGTCGACTTTTTTTTTAAATCCGTGTCATCATCATGATCATTGTCGACTTACCACCATAGTTTGAAGATGCCTGGGATGTGCATACCAATGTGGCGACGATTGCGGTGAGGAGTAGTACACTTTGATGTAGCATCATTCTGAACGTCGTTTGGATTCTTCTTCTTTGTCCAAAAGGATTTTGTGAGACTCTGCCATCACCACTCGCAACTACAGTATATCCATGGGTTGATGGATGCGATTCGGGTTTGGTATCCTTTTGTTGGATTTGGGGTTCGGGTCTGGTCAGTTGTCGCGCGCATGCGATTCGTTCAACGGCGATTGCCAAATATTCAAACTCGCCGATCAGGCGAGGTAGCAACTACGTAGCGGAACGACTTGGAACACGCAAGGCGGCCAGCAAGGTAGGTACGAATGCTACTGTACCAAATCTTGTGGACAATCAGGTGTCACATATGAGAATTTGATCACTCCACTTGCTTCGCGTATTGCACACCAGCTAACCCATGGCCTTTGAAGGAAGAGTTCGTGAAAGGCCTTACTTATCTTATGGATCAATATGCAAAGTAGAATCAAGCAATAGCGGACAGTTGATATCTTGTATTAAAATATCTATAGTAAACAGTAGTAATGGTGGTTCTTCGATATCTTGTATTAATAATAAGATCTATATTGTTTTTCAATCTATTTTCTAAAATGTGCCCGTGTGGGCTGAATTGTGAGGAGGATCACGTCTGAACTGGCTGCTGGTCTCCATGCTGCTTAGGCCGCAGGTGCAATATCGGGTTTCTTGAAGAACAGGACGTTCATCAACAACATTTGTATTTCTGCTCCTTTGAAGAGGCATTGATCCGTAGTCTTCAATAGAGTTGAAAGTTGACCAAGACCATCTTGTACCTGATCAAATTCACCATTTTCGTATCGAATGTGAGCCATGTTATTGATGCATGCAAGCTTGAGCAACAGAGACAGTTGCATGTGCCCAACCCGATCACCGAGAAGCCTCATGATGGCAGCGTATAGCTTCTGAGCCTTGGATCGGGCGCTTTTGTTCTTGGACCCTTGAATGTGATGCACGAGTGCCAAATTGAATATGACTGCAGCAGAGTAAACGAAGACATCCAATGGCGAAGACTCGTCGATGTCGGAGGGCATCAAGATTGCTTGGCGAAAGAAGACTTGTTCATCACATGCAGCGTGAGCAATTTCTACAGTGGAAAAGCTTCGGAGGCAGGACGAAGATTCATCCGAGCTAGAGGCCAATGCTTCTGCTTGATCGGGCAAAGCGATGAATTGCTTCATCATCTTGACTGTGGTCGTTAAACGTTTGATGCTGGTCTCTTCATCACCCTCAGCAAGAGCTGTGACACCCTCATTGTTGAGACGGGCGGCTTCTTGGAAGAAAGATTGATTCATTTCGTTGTTTGATTTGTGTGTGGTAGGTATTGTGAAATCACAAGATGTCGCGAAGTAAAATTATGCATTGAAAAATGGTAAGATGGTTCGGGTACCAGATTCACACTGGCCAGCTTTCTCATAAATTCTCGATGTTCCTTGTTCCTTGCGAACCCTCAAATGCTCCGCGAGCAATAAATTCCACCGCCGGCCACAGAATCATATTTATAAAAATTGTATGTACGGTACCAAAAGAATGTTACCTGGTGCTGTACCGTGGTACAGTAGTTGATGGAGTGATGATGATTCTCTTCTGCCGATGTCTCTTTGGTGTCATTGGGTTCGGATTTGTCCTCATTCCTCGGGAACAGTCTCATTCGCCGTGACCAAACAATTCTACCGTTTTGTCATCCCTTGTAGTCCTACAATGGAAGTTTCACTTTCACTGGAATGTCGGTTGACAATCGGAGAAAAGGCTTTGGAAAATGTGAGGCTCTTCCGAATGCTGCATTCCATCTTTTCGAGCTTATTGTCTTGAATTCGACAGCTTTGGTGTTGAAGAATGTTCGAACAAGAAGTTGACGAAAATTTCAGGAGGAGGGTTTGATCACACCATGCTTATTCCTTCAAATTCAAAACAGCTCACGATTTCAAACGAGCCGCCATATGCATCTATACCAACAACACTAAAACATAATTCATTCCGTTAGAGGCATGCCATGCTTCGCGCCCTGATTTGGATTGCACGCCATCTGCAGGGCCGTTGAACGGAGAGTTCGCAAAAGGCCGCATCAAAGATCTCATCGATCAATATGCAAAGTAGAATCAAACAGTAGTAGTGATTCTTCGATATCTTGTATTATTAATAAGATCTATATTGTTTTTCAATCTATTTTCTAAAATGTGCCCGTGTGGGCTGAATTGTGAGGAGGATCACGTCTGAACTGGCTGCTGGTCTCCATGCTGCTTAGGCCGCAGGTGCAATATCGGGTTTCTTGAAGAACAGGACGTTCATCAACAACATTTGTATTTCTGCTCCTTTGAAGAGGCATTGATCCGTAGTCTTCAATAGAGTTGAAAGTTGACCAAGACCATCTTGTACCTGATCAAATTCACCATTTTCGTATCGAATGTGAGCCATGTTATTGATGCATGCAAGCTTGAGCAACAGAGACAGTTGCATGTGCCCAACCCGATCACCGAGAAGCCTCATGATGGCAGCGTATAGCTTCTGAGCCTTGGATCGGGCGCTTTTGTTCTTGGACCCTTGAATGTGATGCACGAGTGCCAAATTGAATATGACTGCAGCAGAGTAAACGAAGACATCCAATGGCGAAGACTCGTCGATGTCGGAGGGCATCAAGATTGCTTGGCGAAAGAAGACTTGTTCATCACATGCAGCGTGAGCAATTTCTACAGTGGAAAAGCTTCGGAGGCAGGACGAAGATTCATCCGAGCTAGAGGCCAATGCTTCTGCTTGATCGGGCAAAGCGATGAATTGCTTCATCATCTTGACTGTGGTCGTTAAACGTTTGATGCTGGTCTCTTCATCACCCTCAGCAAGAGCTGTGACACCCTCATTGTTGAGACGGGCGGCTTCTTGGAAGAAAGATTGATTCATTTCGTTGTTTGATTTGTGTGTGGTAGGTATTGTGAAATCACAAGATGTCGCGAAGTAAAATTATGGAATCAAAAATGGTCATAGAACGATAGATTCATTCACTTTCCAGCCAGAGATAAATTCTCCATGTTCCTTGTTCTGTGTGAACTTCTTCGCGACCAGAAAATTCTACCGGCTTTGCAGTAAGTAGGTCTTCATAAAATATACGAGTAATGGTATATTTCTCAATACCGGAAGAATGTTTGTTGTCATCTTGACAATCTGGATCCCAAGCAATGTCATTGGGTTCGGATTTTGCCTTGTTCCTCGGGATCTCCGCGACAAGAAAATTCCACCGTTTTGTCATCGCTGGAAGAATGTCGGGGCAGTCTGATCGTGGTGTGGACTGTAGTGTTACTGGAATGTCGGTTGTCTTGTCATGGACAATCGGAGAAAACGCTCTGGAAAATGTGAGGCTCTTCCGACTGCGGCATTCCATCTCTCCATTCATTTGCAGCTATATTGTCTTGTATTCGAGCAAGTTGAGAGGGAGTGCCAGCAGCCACCTGCCCGAAGCAAGGAGGAAGCGGATTTGATCTCCTGGTGCTTCAAATGCAAAACAGCTCACGATTCAAACGAGCCGCCATATACATCGATAGCGAAGGAAATAATGAAGTAGAAATCAGTCTCTTGGATATCTCTTTTCTTCATTGGTGGATGTTTTGCTCTGGTTTGAAAATGATTCTATCTCCAATTCCCAGTTCTCCATTGTGTAGTCTAACGAGTCATGTTCAAAACACACCACATAAACATACTGTACTACTGTAGGATTACCGAATTGAAACATAATTACCATTCCGTTTGAGCCATGCCATGACCGACTCTTCTCTCTCCACTTACACCTGTATGGGTACTCAAATGGTAGTAATTACATCTAAAGAAGACAGCTCTTCTAGTCATCCCCGAGAAGGTCTTATGGTAGTCTACCAAAAGATCAGTGAAGGTGACAATACTTCCTCGGACCAAGAACCATATCCAGTTGTCCGTATCCGTCTTGGCACGGATCAAGGCACCTACCAATGCGATATTCCACAGAGCAAAGTTTCACTGTCCAAGGAAAAGAAGAAAAGGCTCCCCGAAATCCTGATGCAAGATCAAGCTTCCTCTTCCAATTCACAAAGCGATCCCATTCAACTCTCGTTTCAATTCAGTTCCGAAGGAGAACTCAAAATATTTCTAAAGCAAAAATTGACATCTGGAATGTCCAAGAATGCCTTTCGGGATGTTCTACAAAAGGAAACCAATGTCTCGCTCCTTCGCTTTTGTTCTGACTTAGGCGAAGCAATAAATGGAGGAATGTCCAAAGTGACCAAGCTCCAAGAGGATCTACAGTCAACTCGATCCAACTTGCAACAATGGAAAGAGACGGCCAACAAGCTCGAAACTGGAGGGACACAAGAAAAGAATATGCTGTTAAAAGGTGCTTACAAGGCTTGGATTCAAAACCAGGCCAAGCAAAAGAAAAGGGTTGAAGACTTGACAAAGCAGTTGAAAAAGGGCGGCACTTCGCCAACCAATCGCAGTCCAATACCAGGAACCCTGGCACCGGACGACGTAGAGCAGGCGATCGAAACCAACACTATGTCTCAATCTATGGTTGAAGCATTGGCGGAAGGACGAGGGGTCTATAACGACAACGAACGGAAGCCGATTTTGAACAAGAAGACCATGAATACGACTTGGAAGAACGATAAGGAAGACTATGATAAAGAGCGACGAGCCAAGCGTCGAGGGAAGACGAAACGAAGCACATCTTCCATCGATGAAGAAATGGAGGAAGCACCAAAGCCCAGCCGTGGCCAGACGAAGAAGGGCACCAAACGAGGTAGAAAGTCTTCCGAGTCGTCAGAAAGTCGCATGTTGGACGACTTGCCAAAGCCCAAGGCTACCAGAAAGAAGGCTTCCGCGACTCGAATGGATGTAGACAGTGGTGATGATAATGACGATGATAGCTTCAAAAAGCCCGCTGCCCAGCCCACGAAGAAGCGTTCCGAGCCAACAAACTATGATTCTTCCGAAACCGATGCTGATGATGATGATTTTAAACCTGCGCAAAAGAAAACGAGAGTCACGCCGCCTGCGACGAGTACAAAAGCGGAATCGGATGACGACTCAGATAGTGAAGACTCCCTGCTCGCGCATATGGGTATTACAAGTCCGATCAAGAAAAGCAAGAAAAAGGCGAGTGACTCGGATACTGACGATGATACATCTGTACCAGGAGCAACGGCAAAGGAAGATTCTGACACAGACGATGGTATATTGAAACCAGAAGCAAAAGCGAAGGAAGAGTCTGGCAGTGATTCGGATACGGATGATGGTCAAGACAAGAATTCTAACTCTGCATTGGTGAAATCTCTTCTCAAAACTGCGAAAAAGGTCAAGGAGAACGGGAAGGATGATGATTGGGATGACTTCTGAATTTTTCCGAATTAAAAAACTTACTACAGGGAACTTCGAATAGAGAATCACACGGATCAATAGCATGTAGACGCTTGTATTTTGTGTAGATATCATTATAGTGCCGCAGAGCTACTGGTTTGTGCCAGAAAGTACCGTGCTATGGTGAAATCTGGGAATAGAATAACAAATTTGGTTTCGATTTCAGTTCGTACATTATCGTATTCGTTTCTACTCCTTAACGCGTTTGACTTGAGTCATAAAATGCACGCAACGTGATGGGCAATGTTCCAAGGAAAGAACAATAACTTGTAGCAATGTATTGGTCCTTCAGATCAGTGCACGTGAATAGTTTCTCGAAATGATGAATGGATTGTCATTTGCGAGGTTCTCCTTCCTCGTCGGATTGCCTGCATCTGTCGCCCTACCACACAGGCTGCAAGAGTTATTTTTGGGAGAAAAGTTTCATCGAATTAAAGTTGCCATTGCTTTTGGTTTGGCGCTGCAGGTGTTTATTCTTCCCGTTGTAGGATGGGCGCTCGTAAAAGGGCTGGATTTGAATGCCACCGATGGTCGACCGTTGCTGTTCGCGATAACATCTCCTCCAGGACAGATTTTTGCTATGCGTGAGTATCTATTTCCACATTTTGTTGGTTTTCCTCCTTAACATATCTCTCTCACGCTGCAAATAGTATGGTGCTCCCTATTCAATGCAGACCTAACCATGAGCATTATTTTGACTGGATTGACAAACATGGCGTTTAGTTTTCAAGTATGTCTCTTCCTACTTCTTTCTGGGATTTTCGAAGCATCCAGTGGAATCATGTTGGGGTATTTCCTTCTTCCACTTGTCTACTTGTTGGTTGCTTTCACATCTGGTGACATGAGGTTCCTTTATTTGCTCCCTGACGTCTCGTCAACTCTTAACGACTGTGCAACGACCAATTTCATGTTCATTGCCTTTGGTGCTCTGTGTGGTATGTGGACAAGATCGACCACATCGAGAATGGCAGCAAATTTCTTCGGGAACCTAGCTGGTCTTATTGTTGCGACAGACTGTATCTCAGACTATTGGTCCTTTTCCTTTTGGCAATGGAGCATGTGGAATCAGGATTATCAGGTGTACATTTGCGTTGCATTGGTTGTTGCATTTCGAGTTCTTGTTGCTAGCTTGGTAGTCTCGATGGCGAAGCTCACTCGACTGGAGCAGATCTCTGTCGTTGTCCAAGTTTGTTGTCTGCATATGGATAGCGCAAAACAGAGGGCAATCAAAGAGTTTCGTGGTCCAGGAAACTTTCTCAGCGTCATTGAGTTTTATGGCTTTTGCCAAAATATGGCTTTGGCTCTGTATTGCCTCAGCTGCTGGAAGCTGGGATGCTCCAGAGCCAAGGCAGATGACCCACTAGTCAAAGTAATTTGCAAATCATACGAGGCTGAGACCTGTGTAGAGAATTCTACTATCACTGATGAACTTGTGGGCGGAGAGTGGGTGGAAGTCTCGGCGAATCCTCATCAACATTAGAGATACCGCAATGACGAAGGGGAAATTCTTGACACTTATTCACATGGCCTTGGACCCTCAGTGGTTTCGCGTAAGGAGCAAACCGCGTTTTTCACCCGTGGCTGTTCGAGGCTCTTTTCACAAACTGATACATCAACAAGGTCTAATGATGACGAAACATATACCAGCTGAAGGACAGCACAGTGACCACAATCCTACAGTCTTCCCGTGCTTCTCGGGGGAATTAGAAATGAAAATTATTGACTCTTGTTGTTGCTGTTGTCCAACTTTGGAGATTCCGCAACCTGTAGATCCGACAGTTGAAAGACATCCATCATGGCTTCCAGCACCACTACTGCTACTTCCTGCAGACCAGGAATTCTAGCGTCTCCGCGTTCCCGCATAATTTTGGCAATGCTCGTGACGCCCTTGCCTTCAATTCCACAAGGAACAATCATGGAAGCATCAAAGTATTCCAAATTGGGATCCAGATTCAAGGCAAAACCATGGGTGGTGATCCATCGAGAGGAAGATATTCCTACAGCAGCAACCTTTTCATCATTTACCCATACTCCTGAAAAGTATGTGGAAACAAGAGCAATAAGATAAGCCAACGCCAGCTTGCCAAAATAATAGCAGCTTTTCCAACTGGAAAAGATACGTACCCGTGTTCTCCTCGTCTCTGTCGCCGTCAATATCGTAATGTTTCAAAGTCTGAATCACCACTTCTTCTATCATTCGCAAGTACCAATGAAGATCCTTTTGATATGGCTCCCGTTGCAAATCCAAAAGCGGATAGACTACAAGCTGAGAAGGGCCGTGCCAGGTCACTTCTCCGCCTCGTTCGACTCGAAAAATGGGAACCCCATTTGGTGCGAGTACTGGACTGGCCATGTCTGACAACTGTTGAATGGCTTCATCCAAGGGCAAATTACCTACCACATCATCTACTCGTCGATCAACTGCCAATCGAGCTGTCCCAGGACCCCGTGCCCGCCGAGACAATTGCTGCCGTTGCTCTACTCGCAACAATTCTTCTTGCTCATTTGCAGAGGTTGACAAAAAGGTTATATGTCCTTCGTCTGATCCTCGTCCCAATGTGTAGACGGGGGCATGTTCCAACAACAAAACACAATCACTATCATTTTCTTGTAAAGCTCGTCGCATGGCCAGTCGCCGACTCAACAGAGTGTGTTGCCAGGCCCAACTTTTGGAGTAGTCCAAACATCCTTTATCGAGTGCACTGTAGACTTGAAGCGGTGGAGCGGGAGCAGTTTGAGGATACGTATCACTGGCTGCTGAACTCATGGACCGACGCTGTCCTTTGGAGCCCAAGGTTAGCTCGACCGAAATCCCGCTGTTGTGGATTTGGATGAGTCTGCTGGTTCTTTTTGGTTGTGGTGGTGGCGGTTTTGAAGTCAGTGGAAAGGATGCCTTGGTCTTCCCGTTCTGAATGCGAGGCAATATGACTTCTGCAGCCAATCCTGGGCCTTTGCGGTACATGTTTCGACTCTTATGCTGTAGCTGTCCCTACAACAATCTGTTTGAATCAATCAAGGATAGAGCTTGCGCTGCTGAGGTTGGATTTCATGTTGAATATTGTCTGTTGAGTCAGTCATGTTAGTCAACTTCGTTTTGGTCAAAGTAGTCAACGGTAAGAAACGAAATAAATAGAGAGAAAGCGAAGCAGACGAAGATCATCATATCGTTGTACAAAGTGGGAAGCCACAAAATCATACTGCTTGACAATGACAGACAAACGTATATTAACGTTGGGAGCTTGTACGGCAATAGCAGTGACTGCTTCAAGATTCGTTAGTATCAAGAGAGTTCTGTCGTCATTACGTCCCAAGAATGTTCAATTTTTGACCATTGACGATAAGGAGTTCGTGGAAACCAACCAAGAATATGATGCTAATGACTTCAAATATCATGTATTGATGCCATTCATACCTGGTGCTTTCACCAGCAGTGACAGCTACCTTCCATTTCTTCGGGAAATTCAAATAAGGTGTGCCAAACTTGGGATTCGCCTGGATATTGCATTCGGATCATTTTTCTTCGAAGTTCCAAACGAAGCCGAGAACGACCACATTTTGGAAGCGATATTAAAATCAGCAAAGGAAAAGGGAATTAAATATGACGCCAAGTTCTTGACTGGACATAGCATGGGAGGATATCTTGCTATTGAAAAGGCAGTGACAATGACGTACGATGCATTGATCCAGATAGGGTGCAGCATGGGCAGCATATGGGGGGTGAAAGATCACAGATCTTTGGCATCGTATCCTCAGGTTCGTATACAATGTTGTTGCAAATGTTGATTGGGTATATCGATCTCTAAAGCCTTTTATTTCAACGTACATGAAATGCAGCCAGTATTGACTTTGGTAGGTGAGATGGATGGATTTCTCAGGGGCTTAAAGTTAATGCATGACATGGATACGCTGGATGAAGAAATCTCTCGAGAAGGGATTGCTGATGACGCACTGCTTCAAAAGAAGCGAAATAAGATGGATATCGTGAAACCCATCATCATACATAAGGAAGTCAATCATTTGCAAGCCGCTGATAATACTGTTACAGAATTTCAGTTGAAGTCTGGGAGACACGACTTTGAAAGTGCGCTAACTCCGGAAGAAGCAAGAGAAAGAATGGCGGAAACAATTTCCAACTTTGTGCTCATTGTGGTTTCTAGAACGCAAACAGGCTTGAGCGATAAGTCAGCTTACGTTTCTGCGACTGAAAAGCAACTGAAGCAGAGTCAAGATACTCGAGAAATGCTCCGTCCATTTCGAGAATTGTCCAGCACATCCTCCACTTCCCAGTTTGTAATGGAAGCTCAACGTAGCATTGCCAATCTTGTACAAGACATTGACATCACGCCGACGTTTCATAACTCGGATGAAGATTTCCTATACGCCAAACCATTCCATTCGCTGGCAGTCGCAGAGAAAGATACAACGCTGACTACCAACATTGAAGTGGTGGCTCAAGATCCAATCTTGCTTGATCCAAAGTTGCCGGAAGCGACAAGACAAGAATCACCATCTTTTGCGATCAAAGCAAAGTCACAAGACACATTCTTGCAACTTTCTTCGTCAATCACGAAGAAGGAAGATCCAGTATCGCTGCGCGAATTGAACATGCTTACCATGGCCAAGGTCCTGAAGGAGTATGTTACTCAGGAGCAAAGGGTCAAATATGAACTGCATGGACGAAAGTTGGAGTTTTTGGAGGATCTTGAAATTAAAGTACCACCGGAATGGGTGAAAACGCCGATTCAACTGACCCATGAGGGCAACACTACCTTTGTTCGATCCCCTTTTACTCGCACCTCCACGGCCGAGTTCATGCCACTCAAATTTCGTGGAATGCACTACATCAAACCAATGAGTCCTGCTCAGATTTATGAATGGATCGTCTATGACGCCTTTCGACACATACCATCCAAATAGGAAAAGAGTCTAAGAATACTGTAACATATGGTGGCTCTCATATATATGGGAGATTGTCATATGATTTTGGTCAGACGAGTCGAAGCGCTCTACAAACCAACGAAACGCTGAGTCAGTCGTCATCATCCTGACAGAACAATTACCCAGATAACCATCTCCTTTCATATATCTAGAAGTGCACTCTTGAATCCGGAGAGGACAGAGTATCCAACCAGCAATCCGTAGAATTTAGAGAGTGATGAAGAGTCTTCAACTCTCCCAGGCTTATTTAGGAGCCCTTCTACTTTCACTTGCTGGAGTCAATGGTCAAGGATGCTCCAATACTTGCCCACCGATAAACTATGGAACTCCAGTTCCAGCATTGTGCGAAGGAGACATGGCAGATACCTTTGCCAATACCGAAAAGGTGTACGACGTCTGTCACGGCAGTGGACAGACCAGATCCTTCTCGATTGACAGTTTGAAGGGCAAGATTGCTGTCTTTGCCAATTTCTACACTGGTTGCAATGCCGGACGTCGGGAATCTGGAGTCTTTGCGCATGTGGCCCAACGATACTTTGAAACGCATGGAGAAGACAAGATTGTCTTTATCCAATCGGTCAAGGGTGGTGGTACTTGCGCTCAATGGGCAAGTATTTTTCAAAGCGATGCCGTATCTCTCTATCCGGGAAGTGGGATTGTTCCTCGGGAAATGCCGCTTTCAGTCAATGATGTGAACTATGAAATCCGTGACGATCTATTCACTACTCCCTTTGGACATCCTTCGTATGCCATTTTGGACCACACAGGAATGGTTCGGCACAAGTTTATTGGTCCCTGCTGCGGATATGAATCCTTCTATTCTTGTACTGCCGATATTGCCAAGTCCTTGGACCAACAGTTGACTGACTACTTGGAACCCCTCTTGACCGAGCTCGAAACTTCCCACATTGATGAGCCCACGAACAAAGACCCTAATGTTTTCAATCCAAATCCACCAGTGGATGATCCACAATTGGGTGATGGAGATCAAACCGTCTGTGTCAGTGGCACTATCGGAGACTGGTCTGAATGGTCTCCTTGTTCGGTTCAATGCGGAAGCACTCCCGGCATTCAGTTCCGAACTCGATCTGTCCAAGCGAATGATTGTACCAGAGCGGTACCTGTCGAAACTCGAAGCTGTCAGGCTACATTCCCTTGCAACGATCCAAGCACCGCGTGTGTCGCTGAGACTGGAGCTTCCTATACTGTCGAGACCGTTGTCACTGGATTGGACTCTCCACGAGACGTTGACTTTCATCCCACTCCTGGGCTTCATTTGAGAGACTATTCGGAGGGGCGTCAATTTTACCCCGACGAGGGACAAGAAGCCTGGGTGGTGAATGGGGGCAACCACAGTGTCAGTATTGTGGCATCCTTGGGAACCGAGCGTCAAACTACCATTAGCCGTCGCGACAGGGGCTACTATCACTATATGATTAACGCCACTGCCCTGTCCTTCAACAAGGTTGCCAATTCAGGGCGTATTCCAGATCGTGATTCCTTCAACTACTGGGCCATTTGCAACGACAACCCCAACAATTACATGGGAACCAAGGAGGCCAACTACTTTATGGGCCCTACCTTGTACGACTCTCGTCCAAGAAATCGCAATACTGTCAACCGATTGGGGCAAGAATGCCGACCGGAAGAACCCTGCTACTTTTTGCATGCCGACATGCTGCACGAGTCCCCATCGTGTGTTGGTATCACACACGACCCCGAGGTTGATACAGCCTATGGTACTGTCTACTGGGCCTTTGATGCCACTGGTAACCGAGAAACCGGACAGTTGGTAAGATTCGACTTTCAACAGCCCCATGGCCCTGGATCTATGGATCACTCGGTAGCTGCCATTCGTCGCTACGTCGAAGTCGAACTAGAGCGTGGGGACCCAGGAGTGCATGCAGGTATGGTGGTGCACCCTACCCGACGCGAAGTCTTTGTTGCAGTCCCAGGTGCCAACAAGATCATTGTCGTTGGTGCTGACAGTGGAGACTTTGCGCGAACAGCTCGTGAAGAGTATCCAATTTACAGTAGTGCCCTTCCAAGTTTCGAATATTCCGTTTGGGAATGCGTCGATCAACGAGTCTTTGCTGAAGGTATTGATACACCATCAGGTATGGCATTGAGTGACGATGGCAGCCGACTCTTTGTCGCGGAACGTGGATCTGGAAATATTCTGGTCTTTGAAATTGAATCCGCTTCCCTCCTATACACAATTGAGACTGGCCTCACAACAATTGGTGGAATGGCGTTTCCACCTGCAACCGTCGGGGCAACCTCAATGCTATATTTCGTCGATGAACAAACCAACAGCTTGTATCGCATCAATCCAGATGAAGAGTGCAGTACTCCAGTCCAATCAAGAGTCAATCCTTCCTTTACGGTTGCCGTGAATTCAGCCACAGCCAATATTGATGGGTTTTCATTGTCTCGCGACTACGAGTGTTCGGTGGACCCAATTGTACCGGACGCTTCTTTTTTCGATCAAGTCCATGACGACACTGGATATGCTGACGACAACCCAGATGTTCAATCTAACATGACTGGCATGGATGCAGGGGCGGCTCTGTTGGCAGACAGAACTGATTGTGGATTTGATTCCGAGTTGAACTTTGATGCCTTGCTGCTTGGTGGTTACTTTTGTCACAGATGTTTGGTACGTGTGACATTGTATTAGATGGAATCATTCGTCACTTGTTTTTCTGCATTCGTAAACTCATTGAATGGCTGGTATGTATCTTTAGCCGGAAGAATATTTGAACTGCGATACTGGAGGAATCTGCTCCAATGTCCAATGGGAGGGATATACGTGTGACAATGAATTCTTTGTCACAAAGAATTCAACTGGCGATATCGAACTTCAAAATGCCAATGGATCGGCTCTCGAACCATCACTGACTCAACTGCTATTTGACGTCACATACCGAGTAAATGTTCTGGGAAATATCTCTCTTTGTGCCAACATCAAGGACAAGGTCGAATGCGCCAGCAAGGGACCACTGTTATTCACTGTCGAGGACGGAGAGAAAACCACTGTGAGCTTTACAGTCAATGGGGAGAACGATTCAGCATTTGAGCTCGATGTTGCTCTTCGAAGATCGGATAACACTTCATCTGGAGTCCAAAAATTTGGATTGACGGGGATGATGATTTTATCCATGATTGCATTGAAGCTAACCTTTTGAGCATATTAAGTGAAAGAGTAGAGTATTTTTTAAAACTGGTGTAATATCTCTGCCTTCAAAGGGGGGCTTATCTTCTAAAATAGGGGCCATTTTCGGGGATCTTTGAAATTTTAAATCTGGAAAGCACGGCAGCCGGTGTTTGTTGAAGAAAATGAAATGACCATGGCTCATCAACTTGAAACTATCCAAAACAATTTTTGCGGAGGAGGAACATAGGTATTGTACAGTATACTCATACTGCGGAAGATGAACATGGCAACTCAATTGGTAGTCAATCCGTCTAGGGATGAAGTTTGGGAGCGAAACTATCAACATTTTTACAGGCTTAGTTAGGTGCACAATCACCTCACTCGGTCTCCCCAGGAGTGATCCCAATTTTGCTCGGCTTTCAGGATGGTTAGCATACCAGCGTCACAATCGAAAGGCGTTGCATCCGGATCAATTGCTGAAACTAAAAGAGATAGAATATATTGCAGGATGAATCCACCGGAAAGGCTGCGACATGACTTGGATGTCAAAGTGTCAACAACTCGAACACTATTACCAGAATCGTCTGGATAAGAAGACAAAGATGGATAATCCACTCATGGTGTTGGCTCAGACGACAGGGAAAACTTTATAAAAATGGACTTCTCGAATCTTCCCGGCAAGAGATGCTTGAGAAAGATGACGTCTTTGATGAATCTAGAACCAAAAGGAGTGAGACGCCAGTCCATAAAACCAAATGGACGAAGCAGTACACACGACCGAACGTGTAAAAGAACAGGGATGGAAATGGCCATTGTAACATTCCCTACACTTTTGCAGAGGACCAAAGTCTCCCAACTTGGTGTTTCGATCAAAAGGGAATTGCAACGAAAGCCACCAAAATAGGGAATTGCAACGAAAGCAACGGGGATTTTCGAACATGCCCAACTCCTGCATTCGTATGTTGAATGATATTGGATTCCAATCGTATCACTGGAAGAGCTGTATCGGTAATAGAATGTCTCGCCAGCATCTAGGTCGTACCTTGGACATTAAGGAAAAATAAGCATGGCCAGGATGTCTTTCGCACTTCTTGGAAGGAATCAATTTATCGACGAGTCAGTCGGATCTGCACCCACGCTGAAAAAGAAGTAGTAGACGAAAAAGATTTGAGAAGCTGTTAATCCTCACGGAAAAAAATCGAAATGGGGTAACTTTAGAATACGATTGATGCTTTTGTCATTGACTAGCTGACGTAGTGAAAGAACTACTACTACTAGTAGTAGAAATAATGATTTATTCGTCTTGTAAATTGACTAGTGTGTATTAATACAAGACAAATAGTAGAAACTTTACTGTTTGGTTTCCCACACCTGGTTCGTACCAGGTACCAGGGTATACCATGCTCTGAAAGACGAGTGATGTGCTGTCTGTATGCTGTACGTTATCGTGAACAAGTCAAAGTGGTCGTCTGGACCACAAAAAATCCTTCCAATCGAACAAATTGTGATTTGTGCATCAATATACCGATACCCTTCACACACAACAGCAGAGGATGAAAGGGTACACTATTGGTGGTCCCTTGCTGGGAGATCGCCACCAGCTTCATGAAAATGACTTGGTCTCTTGGAAGTACTTCGAACCAACAATCTCTCCGATGATTCCTCTAGAGAAGAATAAAAAACAGCGTTTCATTTTGCTACCACATCAACACTATATATCCGTTCTAGCTTACAATACAGGGGCTATTATCGCCTATCTAGTACCTCAGCTTGAAAATCGCTTCGAAGATGACGACGTTCGTATCGAAAGCGTCTGCTTGGTCAAACAAGCGAAGAATGCCAAAGTGAGAATGCAAAATATTTTGGACGAGATGGACGAGGACGAGAGTGAAGATGATGATGCCGAGAGTCGCCAAGAAAGTAGCGAAGAGTTCATCGTCATGGCAGGATGCTCAGATGGTACAATAAGGGAATTCAACCTTGCAAACTTGGGGGCATTGCAAAATTCTGGCGCAGTAAAATGTGGACGATACCACATCAACGGGCCATGCTGTTATGCTCGACGTGTCATTCACGTGACCAAGAAGGAGCCTATCATCCAGATTGCCTCCCCTGCAACATGTAATCATCAGCATGGAATCTTGGCATATGTTGTATCTAGAACGAAAAACTTAGAGCAGGCTGAGCTGGAGGATACGAATGCTGTCTCGAATGTCAACGTTGCTGTCTTGCGAGTAGTGATACCACACTTTGACGGAACTGCAAGCGTGTCGCTTGTGTCAAAGACTGCAGACGATATTCAAAGAAAAAAGCATATTGACAGCATCAAGTGCCGTGTTGGCCGCGACAAGACGAACAAATTCTTGAACACGACTCCATTCCGGCTGTTGGCAGTATCAAGGGAGAAACCAAACAAGGGAACGTCGATGGACGCCGTGTTTGTGGTTCTTGCCAGAGCGAATACCATTCATATCTACTATGAGCAACTTCATTCAGATAAGCGCTTCTCTCCTATATCATTGCCGATGTCGGCCACGAACCCGTTGTCCTCCATCAGTGTCGCGAAAAACAATACTGACATTGCTTGTGGACATATGAAAGGCCAAATAAAGATTTTGAATGATGTCTTGAATAACTTGGAAAGCCATAATCTTGCCCTGGCAGAAACAGACAACCTCATTAGGCCAGATGGTACACCAATGGCTTCCAAACCAACCGACCCACGAAAACAGTTGATTACATCAAAAGTCCATTGGCATGCACATCCCGTGACTTCCATTACCTACTCAGCCAATAGCTCTCCGGTCGACCCCATTCTTTATAGTGGAGGAGAAGAAAGCGTACTAGTTACATGGCAACCCTCAAGAGGAACAGACAAACCCGTTGACATGCTCCCACGGCTTGCAATGGGAGGCATTGTACATGTGGTATGCGCACATTCAATCGACTCCGATCCAGCAAATGGAATCTTGGTTTACTGTGAAGACAATTCACTTCAGCTTTTCGAATCACATAGCAAAGGAAAGAAATGGAAGTTGCAAGGGTTGGCGTGTAAGAAAATGGATGAAGATGCAAGATGTCCGATTATCGAAGTCGATCCACGGGGCAGTGGATCACAAGACGCTCCCATAGTCATCGCTGGACTCCCAGAAGCTCCAGGTTTTATGCAATGGTATGATTCTTCTAAGCAGAAATTGCTCGGAAGTCTAGAGGTAGCTCCATTCAACAGGGTGAGCAGAACAGAATCGGACGAGAGCTCACTGCCTGTACCATCGGTCACGTCACATGCATTCAGCGACAACGGAAATGATTTGATCACGTTGGAAGAAAGTATGACAGAAAATGAATATGTTGGGGCGCATGATTCAGATGGTACCAATAACCACGGAATTGTGTCTACCATTCGTTTTTGGTCATGGAACAATGCGTCAACTTCCACTCAGGCGCAACTACCGTACACTCTTAGAGCTGCAATGACTTATCCTCACGGTCCAAAGAATCGTGTTTCTGCTCTTGCAATAGCCAAGACTGGTCTTGTGGCTTGTACAGTTAGTAATGATGAAAAGGCATTTCGGATCTGGAACCGAGCGAAGAGCGAGCGAGGGAGTGCCGAACCGGCTTCGTGGACGTGTCGTTACAAAGTGACTATTCCTGCAGGCTTCTCCAATTTTGAAACTATGAAGGGGGGCGTCGCTTTCTCTGAAGATGGGTCAGTTCTGGCACTAAGCTTCGGTGGGATGGTCACTCTTTGGGAATCGGAGGAAGCAAGATACCTGACGACTATACGGCACTTGGATGATATCAATAATTCCAGCATTGATCTTGTCCAATTTGTAAGTTTTGGAGGACTTCATGACTTGTTGCTGGTGAAGTCACCTTCTGGTGTTTCATTGCAATCTCCCTTCCCGCAAAACGCGAGCTTTACTGGTTGGTGCTGGGGCATTCCAGCAGAGGCGAAAGGTATCTCCGTGAAAGATGCAGCTCTTGCAGCGTCTGCCAACTGCCTCGCCGTCGCACTCTTTGATTCGAACAAGCAGCAGAGTCGAATCGTTCTTATTGATGCTGCATCTGGAAATGCAGGTATTAAAACTGAGTCCATGCACAATGTAAAGCTCATAGGCAAAATTGATGGGTGCATCATGTCGCTATGTTCCACCAGCGCGGAACCCTCTGCTTGGGACAATGCGGCATCTACGAAAACACTCGATTTCTTTGCTTTGACCTCAAGGGGTACACTGCTTAAGTTTACGGATGCCGTCAGCGAGTCCGCTACTACAACGTTAGTCCATGCAGCAGGAAGAACCGAATCCGGTGGACCCAGACTTGGAATCGAACGTGGCGACCTCAAACGTGAACGCCTTGGCTATTATGGCTTGATGTCGGATGCATCGGAGAAAAGGAAAACTGCCGCTGAGATGTTTGGAATTACGACTCTTGATGATGGCACAACCGTTCGTCCTCTCACATCAGATTTACCGACGCTTGATGATGACTTTGTATCGGCCTTTTTACGAAGAAACCTCCGATGAGGAGATAGCTAACAAGACAAACAAAACTAATGCTCTACTCACCGATCCCATTTATTTTATCGATTATTTACAACTTTACAGCTCTGCTGTATCGTTTTAAACCTTCCAATGCAGCATACTACTGGAATTTCTCCTGTTTGTTGTTTTGGCTGCTAAAAACAATTGCTGCAATAAACTCTACTTGTTGTCAACAAGTTTGAAACACCCCAGTCGAACAGCTTCCGTTTTATCCAGCACTTTCGAATCGATGAATTTCTCTAATGCAGCTTTCGGCAATGCAGCATGTCTGTTGGCAGACCCAGATATGAGCTCAATTTTATTCACCGTTTTGCCGTGCATGAGGAGCTTGATTGGCTGAAAGACCCCTCTTGCTAACATGGGGACTGGAAAGATGATAAGTTTTTCTAACCTCTCTGGAAAGTTGAATTCTAGGACTCTTGAAACGGTGCTGATGAACTTCAACATTGTTTTGGGTGATGGGTTGGGAAAACCCTCTCCGCCCCGAACATCAAGAAAGATTGTTATCTTTTCGTCGCTGTTTCGATCAAGATTCATATCGAGGTAAAACGCAAAAGCATTTGCGTAAATAATAGCTGATGCTACCTTACGATCGATTCTCGATGGTAAGACATGTAGTATTGTGTGTCCACCTTTATCTCGTATTGACTTTCCTTCCAGCTGATGGCGAAAGAGAACCTGGTCGATGTTGGATCGCTTTATCGTAGCAGTTGGTGGCAATTCATCGTCGTCATTATCATCGTTACCTTCAGTCTCTTCTTCTTTGGACTCGGGCGGTTCTTTCATAACTTCCTCCATTTGCTTGTCGTAATCTGTTGCTTCCTCTTGGTCATCTGTTTTCAATTTGGCCTCCGCCTCTAGCTTTTTTGTCAACTCAATCGCTTCCTGATGGGAAATGACAACATCCCACGCCTTATTTACAGCGTATTCCCAAGTTTTAGAATCAGAGAGGTCTCCCGTTTCTGATTTCTCTTTATCCAGCTCGAATTTCTTTCTCCAGTCCAAGTATGCTTCCAATCTCGCGGCAGCGGCTCGTTTGCGTCGTTCGAGCCGTCCTCCACCTTTGCCGTATCCTAAAGCAAATCGAGTAATCTCGGCATCAGTTGCATCAGCGAAGTCTTCTTTCAACAAGTCTACAAGGTCAGTCATTGTTGGCTCAAGGTTCACTGGGTGCGCTGTGTCAGTGAATTCTCACGTTTTGCCTTTTTGTCAAAAAATCTTTTCGATAGCCGTTGTGCCAGAAATTTTGATGTCCCATTGGACTACCACGACTACAACATAAAATCGACTAAAAAAATGCTCAAATACTGGTACCGGTACACGTGTACCTGGTACTGTACGACGATTTTATTACTGTGAAGAATGAATCGTTAGATTTCGAACACGCGCATATATCGTACCTTGTCATTAATAAAGTACAGTATCGCACCGGTGCCTAGTAGTATCACAATACATGTCGTCAGAATGAAAACCAACCGTAGTCTGTCGCGTCCAGATTGTGGGCTTGCAAGGTCGAGCAGATCTCATTGGGAGAAGTGGGAAAGTTACCAAGTCTTTGAATACGGAGACTGAAAGGATCGGTATCGATGTTCTGCCCAATTTGCATCAATTTCTGAAGAGCGAACAAGTTTTGATCCTGCCAGTGAATGTGGCGGAATACTCACTCGCCAAGCTTTCTCGGCAGATTCGACGCTGGAGAAGCAACGCTTGGTAGCATTGCTCTAGCTACCAAGGACTATCAACCAGGAGATTTGGCTTTTTTTAAATATAAAAACGAAATGCGACAACGCTAGGGCTGCCGCTTTCTCGTCCAGCGTCGATCAAACTTTTCGTTGCATCCAATGCGAATCTAACCTTGCAATTTCGGACATCAGCAAGGGCAGTACTTAGAACAAGTGAGTGACGGCAATTTGAATCAGATTTTGCAAAGTCTTCAAATGGATCAGCAATGCTATCCGACAAGCAATTACATTTGTATACCAAATTGCTCCATCCGCTTGATCGGATACACGTCAAAGCTTCTCTACTCCTGAGTCGCATGGGGGCTTCCTTCGCCCGCTTCTATATGAAGCAAGGAGGGATTAACAAATCACGTGCTCAAGTCCAAAATGCTCTATGTCTATCCACGATTGCATTACTCTATCAAGCACGCTGGGTGCAAATGGCAAGTCAGCTCATCCATGGTGATCTGTCACTCAAAGATACATCGCGGAAAGTCTTGCCCCAGAACATACCGGTTACTGCTTCAATACAGGATATTAAAAATGCAGTTGACAGGTTGGATACATCCAATCAAGTTCAAAGTGCTGGCAATGGCTAGCAATGTTTTCCATACGTGTCAAGATTGGTTGCTGATATCCGGTCAAGCAAAGGAGGTTGCAAGACTGTTCAAGACATCCCTCCTGCTGTTGCATCAGTGGGGAGGATTGTGTGATGAATATACCGGCTGTTTGCATCAGTGAGGAGGATTGTGTGATGAATATACCGGGAACGGGTAGCACGTCTGGTTGAAAGTGAATGTCGCAAGAAGCCATTTCCAAACCATTTGCTGTTATATTCTAAGCAACACAAAACATTTTAGCATTATTTCGTGACAGTAGGTTAGTAAAACGTAAACCGACCATGGGCTATGGACTTTTGAACAAGCTCTTTCGGGCCAATTCCATGTAGTCAATCACTTCAAAGTCGATGTGCTTCTCTATTTTTTCTCTTGGGACCGGGGCATCAATATCATCAGGACCAGATATCAAAACAACTTTTTTGGCTGTGTTGGGATCGAATAATCGCTTTATCGCATTGAAGATTGCTCTTGCAATTCTAGGAACAGGAAAAACGACAAACTTCTCTACTCTTTCGCAAAAGTTGGTTTCAAATGTGTTGATGATTGCTCTGAGGATACCCATCATTTTCAGCACGGGCTTGTTCCCCCAACCAGTACCAGCCCGGATATCGATGACTATTGTCAGCTTTTCTGTACTATCGCGATCCATATTGTGATCCATATAGACAGCGAAAATATTTGCGTAAGTTCTAGCATTTGCCAAATCTGGGTCGATCCTTGCAGGAAGCATATGCATGATCCTCTTCGCATTTTTATCGCAAATCGTTTCTCCATTTGTATCGTTCTTGTGAAAGAATATGACTTGATCGATATCGTTGCTCTCAATACAGGTGGTTGCGCCCCACTTATCAACGCTGTCTTTTCTGGTTGTCGTTCTTTTATCTGATTCTGACAAGGAATCTTCTAAATCCCTTGCTCTTTGAACCGCGAAGAGCCATGCAGACGTATCATCACTTTCTTTGTCTGCTCGAATTGAATCTAATTCATGCTGCCGCCTCCAATCCAAGTAAGCCTTCATCCTTGTTTCAATAGCTGGTACGATGGGAAAGTCGGCCATAAGATATATTCGAGTTTTGTTCTTTTCCTTCAGCAGAGACAAGGCGCCTCACCTTCTCTTTTTTCAGCAACATCTTTTCCGTTCTTTGCATATGCCGCAACGAACCTACTAACTTCGGCAGTTGTGGCTCTGTCTGAGAAGTCTTTCATCACTGACGCTTCCAGATCTGTAGAATTAGTGTTGGATGATTGAACACTGGTCGACCGTGATGAAAATCCGGAGAAGGCATATGCCAAGCTTTGACATATCTGCAGTATGGCTATGATGAGGACAAGTTTTCGATGTCTCGTGAGGAAACCCATGGTATATATGTTGTCACAAAGTCTCTCTAGGTAGTTGTGTTGGAGAACGAACGTGTACGTAATAAATATAAAAGTACGACTAGTCCGATTTTAATGAAAAAAAGATCTTACTGCATTTTGAATTGTACCTTATTGATGTATTATTTTTGAACTTCATGAAAACCAACGTGAAAACCAACGTGAAAACCATCCTGCCTGACACTTCTTGAACAATGCAAGATGATATTTATTTTCGTTAGTGGAGCTAACTTTAGCTCAATGATTATGATTCCTAAGTTTTACCAGTACCGCGCCATGCCACTGAAGCGACGATCAACCAAGACACCAAAGCCACAACGGCGATGATGATGGTCCCAACGGGGCCACCACAACTATCATTTCCACAGTAGATACGATCTCCCCCCACAACGCCAGCCAATGCCAAAATCTCACCAATGGCTGCAATGACAGCCATAACAGAAACAGCAATCCAAACCAAGCCAGGCAGGTCACAGCAACAAGCAATCCAAAGGATGATCATTGCGATTAATCCCGCTACCCATGCCAACCACCAGCCGGCGAGAGATAGGATAAAGGCGATCACTGAAAGGATCTGTGCGCAGAGAAGACTATTGGCCATGTTGAATGATTTATTGAAGTAAAGAGGTTGGTACGGTACCTTCTGTTTTATGAGAGCTTGGAATGTACAAGGTACAAGATACAAGATACAAGATACCCAACCGAAAAAGCGTATCACGTACTGGTACTGAGAAAACGCGTATCACGTACCGGTACTGAGAAAAAGCGTATCATGCAGTTGTTTGAGAACGCTCAAGCAATGGGGCCAAAAGTACACGACGATTCGACACGAAATTGATTCTTGGTCCCACACCAGACAAGTGCCAGATTGAAGATGTTCGTAGGAGCGAACATATTCCAGGCTGGGTCGTAGTTCTGACAAGAAATGCTAAAGTATGTTGAGACATATTGTAAAAAAGGATTTTGTATTTTATTGCAGTATAATACGATGCCCGATTTATTTTATATTTTATAAAAGCATTATCATGTTGACCTTCACGAGAACCAGCGTGAAATCCATCCTGCCGACTTCTTGAAAAATGCAAGACGATACTTATCTTCGTTAGTGGAGCTAACTCCTGTTCCATGATTATGTGGGAAGATCGTGCGAAGTTTTACCAGAACCTTCACCTTGGCGCCATGCCACTGAAGCGACAACCACCCAAGACACCAAAGCCACAACGGCGATGATAATGGTTCCAACGGGGCCACCACAACTATCATTTCCACAGTAGATACGATCTCCCCCCACAACGCCAGCCAATGCCAAAATCTCGCCAATGGCTGCAATAACAGCCATAACAGAAACAGCAACCCAAACCAAGCGAGGCAGGCCACAACAACAGGCAATCCACAAGATGATCGTTGCGATTAATCCCGCTACCCATGCCAACCACCAGCCGGCGAGAGATAGGATGAAGGCGATCACTGAAAGGATCTGTGCGCAGAGAAGATTATTGGCCATGTTGAATGATTTGTTGAATAAAAGAGGTTAGTACGGTACGGTACCTTTTGTTTTATGAGAGCTTGGAATGTGCCAAGATACCCAACCGAAAAAGCGTATCAGGTAGTGAGAAAAAGCGTATCAGGTAGTGAGAAAAAGCGTATGATGCAGCCAGTTGCGGAAGAAATAGTGTGTCGACGCTTGAAGCACAGGGCGCCAAAAGTACGCGATTCGACACGAAATTGATTTTTGGTCCCACACCAGTCAAGCGACAGATTTAGGATCGGACAAAATCCATGCTGGTTCGTAGTTCTGACAAGGAAAGCAATAAAAACTGATTCAATCTGGTCCTAATAATGCGAGACGCCCTACAAGGTTTTGTACTTTATTGCGACAAGTAATAATATATATATAAACAACTATTTTTTAACCATCCTGACGACTTCTTGAAAAATACAAGGCAGATGAAATTTATCTTCGTTGGTGGAGCTAACAGTAGCTCCATGATTATTTGGGAAGATCTTCCGAAGTTTTACCAGAATCTTCATCTTGGTGCCATGCCACTGAAGCGACGATCAACCAAGACACCAAAGCCACAACGGCGATGATGATGGTCCCAACGGGGCCACCACAAGTATCATTTCCACAGTAAAAACGAGCTCCCCCCACAACTCCAGCCACTGCCAAAATCTCGCCAAAGGCTGCAATAACAGCCATAACAGAAACAGTAATCCAAACCAAGCGAGGCAGGCCACAACAACAGGCAACCCACAGGATGATGGTTGCAATCAATCCCGATACCCATGCCAACCACCAGCCGGCGAGAGATAGGATGAAGGCGACTACAGAAAGGATCTGTGCGCAGAGAAGACCATTGGCCATGTTGAATGATTTGTTGAATTAAAGGGGTTGGTACGGTACCTTCTGTTTTATGAGAGCTTGGATTGTACAAGATACCCGACCGAAAAAGCGCATCACGTAGTGCGAAAAACGTAGTGCAAGAAAGTGTGTCGACGCTTGAAGCACAGGGCAGGGCGCCAAAAGTACACGATTGGACACGAAATGGTTCATAGTTCCGACAAGAAATACTAGAGCAGCAAAAATGATCCAACCTTTGATTCAATCTGGTCCCCAAGACAAGACGTCCTACCAAGTTTTGTACTTTATTCCAGATCCAGAGAGGAGGCAGTGGTGACTCCTCCCCTCCCGCCGCCCGTTCCGGTTACTCTTGCTGTGCTGATACGTCCATAGTAGTAATCAGAACCACGAGTTAGCCTGGATCACAATCTATCTTGCTGTGGGGCAAGAACGGCACCTCTTTATCAGAACAAGCCAGTTGTTGTTCGTCGACCCCATTGTGGTGGTGTAGCGCCTGTTCTTAGCAGATGTCGACGCTGTTTCTCCCCGTTCTCTTGCTCACACCGCGATCACTCCTATTTAGAAACAAAAAACAAAAATTAGAGATCCCACATTTTTCATTTCAACCACAAATCATTCAACACCTTGCATAGTCTTACCCTTATGATACCAATTTTTTTACATTCAACAAGTCCTTGAAAATCATAAATGTCCTTATCTGCGCACAGATCCTTTGATTCTTGCCTTCATCCTAGCTCTCGCCGGATGGTGGATAGCTGGGCATCAGAATTGAATGCTGTAATGATCATTCTTCTGGTCGAGTGATGTTGTGGCCTGTTTTTGCATATTTTGAAATGGTGGTGAACGTCGTGCAATTTGAAGTTCCAAATCCAGTAGAAGCTAGCAGGCACTTCGACAAGTAGTATGCAACAAGGTGAGTTTGCTTGATTCTCCATTCTTTTGAGAAATGAAGTTTAATCTGGGATGACCAACGATAAATAATACTCCGGTGCTGTTGAATGTTCAAAGGAGGCTTTCTAAGAAGTCGAAGCTGACAATACGAAATAAATGCGAGTATATATCTTAGTGGGTTGGAAGAGACCAAGCGAAATATGACATCCAAGGGGTTGTTCGAAACAAGTTTTATCGACGAAAGTCGAATGATCGTGGAGACTTTACCTGTTTGGTTGCATCAGGCTATGAACGAAGCGAAAAAGAAAGACTAAGGTTGAGGATCACGATAACGTCAAGAGCTTGTGCAATGGCAAAGCGAACATAACCATTCATAGATGTAATATATGGTGAAAGAAGGTTCAACATAAAGTTCGACAGCCCGGATGTTGGACAAAGCCAGTCGTTTGAGGCTCGTCTTATGGCGTAATATTTCAACACGATTGTTCTATAGAGAATTGATCATAAGAAAGCCATGCTAAGCATCTTTACCAATAATGGGTCTACATATCCCCGATCAGAACAGCGGGTAGTTCTTGTAATCATTCGCATAGAGGAACATGACGCCTACATTGCGGAACGAAACACAAAGTGCCATGGTGGCAATGGTCGGAGCTACTTTTTGAACAGGCTGGAATGAATCGAACGATTTGGTGTTTCCTTTTTGAGTCGATTTGAAGGAAGTCAAGTGCCAGGTAGTGTTCTGCGATCGGTAGAATTGATGGATGATTGAATATTTTGTAGACGGTGATGAAAATCTAGAGAAGGCAGACGATAACTTTACACATCTGTTGTAAGAGGATAAGTCTACTGCCTCTTCTGAGGAAACTCATGGTGTGTATCAGATACCGGTAATGTCAGAGTCCAGTCTACAGTTGCGGAACGTCATTTCATTACGTTCATATAGTTGTGACCTACAGTATCTCACCATCTTGATCTACCGACTTTATGAAAACCATCCTGACGACTTCTTTTTCTCTCTGAACAAACCCAACCGAATCTTTTCAGTTTGATCAAGGACTTCCTCATCAATGTGAGCGACAACATCTTGCTTTGGCAATGGTGAGTCAGCAAGTGCAGACCCTGTTGCCAAGGCTATCTTGTTTGCTGTGGTTGGGTCGAAGAGCATCTTGATTGTGTTGAAAATGCCCTTGAGAAGCATCGGTATAGGGAACACAACAAACTTGTTGACACGCTCCGGGAAATTGAACTCAAATACCCGCACTATGGTCTTCACAAATGAGACCATTTTGTAGGCAGGCTCGTTTGGCCATCCAGTACCAGCTCTCACATCAATCATGATTGTCAGCTTTTCAATATTATTTCGATCCAAATTTCGATCCAAATAGTATGCAATGCAATTTGCATAGAACGTCGCCGATCCTGCCGCAGTGTTGATTAGGCCAGGCAGGAGGTGAATTATTCTTTTCCCATCCTTGTCTGTAATCTGCTTTCCATCTGCTTCACTCTTGTGAAAGAAAAGTATTTGATCCACTGGAACTCGGGAAGCCTGGCTATTGGCTTCAGAACCACCACTCTCATCTTCTCCATTTGCTTCGTCGAATTCCCTAGCTTGTTTCACAGATGCTTCCCAGAGAGATGCGTCCGTATCCCTATTTCCGTCTCTTTCACCTAGGAGACCATGCTCCTTTCTCCACTCCAAATGCTCTTTTAGTCTCGCTTCAATTGCTGAATTGATTGTAAATGTAGTTCAAACGGATGAGAATTTTGTTGTGTATTGTAAATGTGATTCAAACGGATGTAAATTTTGTTAATTTTCGAGGCCATCCAGTGCCCAGAATTAACGAGTATACCATCACGCACCTGTTTTATTCTTCTCATCTTCTGGCTTATCCTTCCCATAGGCATTGATGAACCTAGTGACTTCTGCCTCGGTAGCATCGGGAAAGCTTTCTTGTAATGTCTCTTTAACGGTGCCCATCTTATTCTTGCTTTTACTATAGGTCTTTGTTATTGCAAAAAATGCATTTTATTTTTTATTTTAATTCTATTTGATTCGCCCGACCAACGGAAAACAGAAGGTTTATTGTTTTGCTTCACTTTCTTTCAACTTGTCCTTTTCTTGGCTCGCCATGCGGTCTTTACACTTCATTGCATCGCTCCTTCTGTTGTAAAAGTGCAATCAAATGAGGGAAAACAATCGAAGACTTTCTTTTGTACGAAACGTCATGATGGATTCTCTAGTCTGTGTCTTGAGACGCAAGGGTACTGAAATGATCACAGCTAGTATGCAGCAATCATATCATGATCATGGAGTACAGAAATTACAATAGGAAACCCTCAATCTATCTCCCCTTTAGTGATTTGAATGACAGTCTGTGTATTGGGCATGGGCCATGTCTGTGGATAGCTTCGATGTGCTCCTTGGTAGCGTAGCCCTTGTGTTCATCAAAACCATATTCTGGATACTTCTCATGCCACTCTTTGGAATTGCGGTCTAGCGTGACTTTTGCAAGAATAGATGCAAGGGATATGGTGTACACTTCTGCATCACCTTTCACCCATGGCCGACAGGGTACTTTCACTGACAGTTTCGGACTCTTCTTTCCATCCACAATGCTGTATGCATTGCAGTCCTGGGGAAGTGTTGCAACGACTTCTTCTATAGATTCTGCGAAGCATTCCATGGTGGCCATTACTATGTTGGAGTCATCTATTTGTTCATTCGATCGCTCTGCAACACTGAAATGGTACAAATCCGGTTGACTCACGACCTCCTCAAAGATCCGTTCTCGTCGTTCAAAATCAAGTGTCTTGCTATCTCCAACCTCTGCTATTGGAGTGTAGCTGTTCCAATCATCTACCTGGATACACAGGCTTGCCGCTAAAACGGGACCGGCAATGGAGCCACGCCCAGTTTCATCACTTCCAATAATGGCATCAAACCCTCGCTCGGCCAGACCTTTCTCAACATTCAGAACATCTCCTTTGTTCCGTCGATTGTTGTTTCCTCCTTTACCATATTTGCCATACAGTACTGTATCACAGCGAATTCTCGATAGATTTCCTGAGGTATGTAATGCATGTCCGAATGGTGACGTTGATACGATCAGCGCCAACAACCAAGTAACATGAAGCATGTCTGTTGTTTGTGATCGAGGATGATGGATTGATTGATTGATTGATTCATTCATTCGGTGGTTTTGCATTACCAGATCTAAATATTGTGTTAAAAATTGCAGCCAGTTCGGAAGACTCTCTGTAGCTCAGTTGGTAGAGCGGTGGACTGTAGTTCGACAACATATATCCATCGGTCACTGGTTCGATTCCGGTCGGAGAGACTTTTGCACAATTTTTTTGTCACAAACTTTTTATATACTCGCCTGACAGACCGAAGGCATCCACGGCAACCTGGGGATGGGAAACCTGAAAACATTGAAAATTACACAACAGAAAGTATTGTACTAACGCGGAGGCAACAGCATAACGTTCAGTAAAGCCCATAACTGTTGATGATGAGTCAACAAGGGCAGAATGCTGGTCAAGGAAACGTCGGGGGAAATTCAAGAGCAACAGGTCTTTACCAGTATCAACAGCAGCATGCTCAGCAGCATCATAATAACCATGCAATAGCCGCTCATATTCAAGCTCGGGCCAATTTCAACGGAAACCAACAGCAACAGCATGTTTCACAACATCAACCACGGCAACTGGTGAATGCAAACAGCTTACAAGGAATGAATCATGCCCAAATGAATCACTTGCGAACAATGCAGCAGCAATTGCAAGCAGACATTGCAACACAACAAAATATTCAGGCTTCCATGAACGTGAATCAGCAGCAATCACATTTGCAACAGCAGCATCAGCAACAACATTTGCAACAGCAGCAGCAACAGAATATCCAAGCACCTTTAAATATGAATCAACAACAGCGGCAACAATTGCAGCCTGCAGAAAATTCTGCAAACACAGATGTGATCAAAGACTTGTTCAGTCAACTAAAGTCTATCAATCAAAAGTTGGAGAATTTTTCATCTCCTACTGCAGCAGAAAGGAAAACGCCAGCTAACGAACAGCGCACGAAGCAACAAAGCCAGCCAGCTCGTGTAAACAATGGTGTTTCAAATGATGCTCCTGTGTCTCGCCCTGTTAACACAATAGTTCAGCTCACACAGCGGCAAGCTCCACCAATACCATTAGCGCACACAAGTGTAAATACATCACGCCCCGCAGCGAATCAGATTGCACAACGACATCTATTCGATGCAGCTAACACTGTAAATCAGCCTCTTGGATCCGCTCCGCTAACTGCCGCAGTACCAAATCCCTTACTACAGTCGGGACAGCCTCAAAATTCAATGACTGCTGGTCAATATGCACGTCTAAGAGCCCAGTCTCATCTCACAGCTTCTTCAAATGCAACGAAAAGCAATCATTGGCCTACAACGGCAAATACGACTTTGAATCCAAAAGAGAATCCAGAGCCAACTCAAAATGGTCAAGCCAAAAAATCACCTGCCAACGGGGCAAAGCAAAGCTACACACGAAAGCAACCACCAATTGCGACAAAGAGTGTAGCCGGCTCTACGCTACAGGCCAAAGTTTCTCCTTTCACGAATATCCGACCGCAGGTGGTCAAACCAACATCGCAAGCACGACCGAATACGGCAACAAGTGCTCTGGCGCCAATACAACCAACTGCCGCAACAAGTACGCCGGACCCAAACATGATTACTGGTATTAGAATACTCGCCTACAAAATGGGTCAAGTTGTGGTGCCATTACCACTGGAACTTGCTGTTGCTTACTGGAAACTACACGCTGCACAAAGGTTCACAATGGAGAACACCCTGGTGTTCAAGTTTGAAAATAGGGCAAGAAAAGCAAACGAGAAAGGCGAGATCACAGGTCAAGCAAGTTTCTTCTTATCAAAGTTGGCAAAGGCGTCTTCTCTGGTTGAACGGAAAATGAAGCTGGTGGGCATGAAGTGCAACCTATGCAACCTCAGGGATTCCTACATTGTTGGAAGCACCAGTTTTGTGGATATCGAAAGCCCGAGGACTGTGACCCTCTTTGCGGATGTGATAGAATCACGAATGAAACACATGATATCTTGTCCTGATTGTAATCAAATGAACAAGAGTATTCTGGCTTCGTATGTCCCAAACATCCAAGATATTCAAAATATGCGTTCTTTTGCTGAAAAGTGGTTGTTGGTTTTGCACGCATCCTACTTTGCTGTTGCGCGGCCGAATGCCTTGGTGACATCAGCGCCACATCAGAGAATAGAAGTGACCGATTTCTTGCCCATCACTGAGGATTCGATATACGAGGACTTGGTTTCATCCATGGAGATGGGAAGAGCGACGGGCGACCTTCGCTTGGATGATTTGTCAGAGGGCATGGGGAAACTACTATCTCCCGTCATGGAAGTCTTTCTCATGAGTTTCAGCCTACAATGCAATTTACAGACTGGGCTAGAGCTGTGTTTCAAGCATACCAGCGCCGAAAGCAAAGAAAAGTTGCTGGTTTGGAGTTTTGAAAAAACGTTCAGTGTTGATAGTGACTTTTGCAAACGGGTATGGGACTTCTTCCGGCAAAATTACATGGCATGTTCTGAAGTACCCAAGGGCATGCGAAAGCTTGTTTGTATCTCAATTCAACCTCCAGTTGAGGAATTGAAATTTGTCGGCAAGAAATGGAGCGAGTATGCATCTCGCATTGTGCGGAACCAAAAAGCGATCCGTCCCAAGTCAGATGTGAAAATACTGCATCCTATGTACGTTCCCATGCCGCTCGAATATCTTCCAGCAATAAAGAGTGGGACCTTCCCCCTACAGGGAAGCTTTGATAGCAATGATGTCGTCATGATTGCTGCATACCGAAACTCCATTGGTAATCGTCGTTTCCGACAAACAGTTTCGCAATTTCGAGCGCTATACAGTCGCTTACCACCAAACAAACAATCTATCATTGCCGACAAAATAATCCGGTTGATCCAGAGGAGAGGAGGCTCTTTCTACTCGAAAAATGGTTACTTGGCAATATTTGAGGAATCTGTTGCTTTCACACAGAAGGCATTGGAGAATGGTTTCCCAGAGATGATGCATCCAGTGATTCCAGCGGAGGCGAAATCGGTAGTTTCGGGTGTCGAGTTCACTCGTATGGTGGATATCTTGGCTGACCGGAAAGAATCGATAAACAGAGTGCAAAGGATGATGATTGAATCCCTCTCAAAAGCAAAGGATGCGAGTGCAGAAAAAACCAACAGCTCTCTCAATGGAAGGCGACCTACAAATAGAGAGGGTCAACCGATTGATATCTCATCATATCAACAGTCCCAACTGAAGGGACGACAATTTATCAGAGGGTCTGGCAAGCGCAAGAAAGATAGAGCTATTAATACCAATGATGGTACGAGCAAGCGACCACGTAAATAGTAAGGTTCACCTTCTTCATCCATTCTGATGATTCCATGTCATTATCTCTGATTCGAATCAATCCAGATGGTCGATTTTTTAAACTGTCTGGCCTTTGCTTCGTCATGAGGACAAATCTCATCGTCCAAGTAAAATATCCATCGAAAGAAAAAATCGTTCACCATGAGAAGTGTCCTATCCAGAAAGGTTGCTCCAAGACTTCAATGTATAATTTCACGCAATGCTACAAGTAGTACTCCTATAAGGGAAGGTGTTGGTTCTGGATCTCTAAATCGCCGGATGGTTTCATCCTACACGGAAGACTTTGATTCGGACCAAAAGACGGCTCTTGTACTTGGCTCTTCTGGTGTACTAGGCAAGACTCTGACCAAACATTTGTCACGGAATCTTGGAATGAGTGTGATAGGTGCAGATGTGGTTGCTGGAGAAGATGAGAGTAGTCTGGATGCATTCGTACCGATTCCAACACTGGACGATAAGCATCCAGGACTCGGCGAAATGACAGAAGCTTTGGCGATTGGTCTATGCGAAGTTTTAGCAGATGGAAGAGACATCGATACGATTATATGTGCGGCAGGTAGCTGGCAGAGTGATCCTACGGCTCCAAATACAGCTTCTAGTGACAAAGACTTCATTGCTGGAGCAAGATCCTTTGGCGACAATATCGACGCCATGATGGCAGCCAATCTGTATCCTGTCCTTGCAGCAGGGTATGCAGCAAATCGTTTCATGGCAGAAGAAGGTTCGTATTGTGTTTTGCTTTGTGAAGTCTACATCGCGGCCACTCTTTCTCATTATCTTCTTGCGCCTTTACTTGATTGTTTGTCCATTTTCAGGATTGTTTGTCGTGATTGGAGCAACCGCTGCACTGTCTCCGACACCCGGTATGCTGGGATATGGCCTGGGTAAGAGTGGAGCGCATCATTTTGTCCAAACGCTGGGTGAAATTTCTGGGAAATCCGCCACTACTAAATCTAGACGGCGCAAAGCACGCAAGTTGCGACAAAACAATGAATATCTGGACACACTGTCAGTTGTTGGTATTTTGCCCACCACCATTGACACGCCTTCCAATCGAGAATCCATGTCGGATCATGATTTTAGCCAGTGGACACAACCCGAAGATATCGCCATGGAGATTGGAACCTGGATAAAGTTGCCATCCATGAGGCCGCATTCTGGAGGATTGGTAAAGGTATTTCCCAACAAGTCGGGTGGTGCTAGCTTTAATCTAGTTCGATAATACCACATGTGGTCCTACTGTAACAATGAATGGATCAATCAATGAATCCCACACTAATGAATATCAATGTCAATAGGTTATCACCAGCACTATCAATAGCAGTTATGCATAACATTCTAATTTAACCATAATAACAATAAGCCTATCGATTGAAGAATCCCTTCTTTGACTTCTTTTCTCGGACTTCCTTCAGCTTTTGAATCAATTCCTCTTCTTCCTTGCTCATATCCTTGGGGATTTCCACCTTCATGGTCACATAGTGATCACCTCTCGAGTTGGGGTCACCCAATCGTGGAGCTCCATTTCCTTTCAGACGCATAACCTGTCCTGGTTGAGTTCCAGGAGGGACCTTGATGGTGACTTCCCCGTCGACCACTGGAGTCTTGACCGAGTTTCCAAGAATAGCATCAATGTAACTAATGGTCTCTTCACTGTAGATTTCGGGACCCTCTCGACGGAAGGCTGGATCTTCCTTGACGCGCAAGAAAATGTACAAATCTCCAGAAGGACCGCCGTTTGGACCAGCATCTCCCTCACCTCGTACTCGAAGCTTGTTTCCATCTTCCACACCAGCGGGGATGGTGACCTTAATTTGTTTGGTCTTTTGGACGACACCTTGTCCACCACAAGTTCCGCAATATTCTTCGACCTTTTGACCAGTTCCTCGACAGGTGGGACAAGTTTGTTGTGTTTGGAAGTTTCCGAGTGGCGTTCGGGTAACTTGAACAGTAACACCACTACCCCCACAAGTGGGACAAGTACTAATCTTGCTACCGGGCTTGATGCCGTCTCCCGAGCAAGTGTCGCAGGTCTCCAAGTGCCGGATGCGGACCTTTTCTTCACCCCCAAAGACACCCGTCTTGAAATCAATTTCCAAGTCGAATCGGAGGTCGTCGCCGACCACTGGACCACGGGTTCGGGTACCAGCACCACGGCCACCGCCGCCCATGCCGCCGCCACCTCCCATGCCGCCGCCAAAGAAGGAATCGAAAATATCGCCCAAGTCCACCTCTTGACCAAATCCGGCACCGCCACCAAAGGGAGATCCAGCACTTTGGTCACTGGCAGCGGACGTTCCGATACCTTGTTCTCCGAACATGTCGTACTTTTTCTTCAAGTCGGGATCCTTTAGAACTTCGTAAGCACGGTTGACTTCTTGGAACTTTTCGGTAGTGTCTTCATTTGGATTTGCGTCTATGATTTAAAATTTATAAGATTGGTGATGGTGGTGAGTGATGTCATTGTGAATGCGAACGTGATTGTGAAAGCAAGTCAGCCAGTCAGTTAGGGTTAGCTAGCACTGCTGCAGTATCAATTGATCTCTTACCTGGATGGAATTGCTTTGCCAACCTTCGGTAAGCACTCTTGATTTCTTTGGTATCAGCACTGCGATTGATGCCCAAAATTTGGTAGAAATCACGTCCAGTACGGGTGGACATGTACAAAGAAGTGCGGGTAGATCTTGGTTGGGAAGAAACACCTGGCCCCGCAGTAGAAAAGGAGTTGACTTGGCCTCCCAAACTCTTTCCTGGTGGTGTGAATGCGCTGGCTTCATTGGCGAGCAAGAGCGCGGCAACAATGGCAGCTGATTTGAATGACATCATCATTATCTTTGTTGTATAAGCGCAAGAATAGATGAATGAAGGAATGAATCAAGGTAATCTAGTTTGAGTGGTGATATGTTGATTGACACTCTGACTCTCTTTCTCTTCTTTGATGGATGACGATGGATGATGGATGAGGAGTCGAATAGAAAACCTCTGTTCGTTGGCTAGTAGTTGAGATAGATGACGTAATCGAAAACAGATGAAATTCCGTATTCTTTCTACGTAGCGTATCGGTTGGCGGACAGTCGTCGCCACGTGTCATGAAAACATTTCAATTTGCTTTTATCTCAAACGGACACTCTGTCCGTAATGCTGCCGACCGATAGATTTCCAAAGCAAAACTCATCGAACCGCGTTCATTACCACCAATGCAAAACAATAACGAACCAATAACCCTCAATCATGACAAAGCCTGCAGTAATAATAACTATATACAGCTTAGGATTAGTTTCCAGTATACTCCTCACTCTTGTGGATGCCAATCCTGAATCCAAGCCATACAGTAAGTTTCATTTTGTCATTGTTGCAGACGAACGAACCAAATCCTTTGCTTTGTTCTCATTTGATATTGTATTATTGTTTCTTTGCGCACGCACCCAACTCATCATCAATCACCAATCATCATCATCATCATCATTATGCATAAAGTTCCCTTTCGAACGGATCCATTTGATCAAGAGTGTGTCCACCACAAATTGGAAATACCCGACGATTACACCCAAAGCACAATTCGGACCTACGATCCTCCGTCGGCCACGACCCACAACGAACAGTGCCCACTGCAATTCTCCTTGGGGTTGTCCCGGCGGTCGGAACGCACCAAACATGCCGATCAATCCTTCACCGTGGTCGATCCTCCCGTCATTTTTCCCATCCTTCCAGCGGATGGACCCGGGAGACAAATTTTGTTCACTACGCAATACGAACATTTGGAATTAATGACCACGGCCAAGGGAGCTTCCATGAATGCAGACATTAAAGAAGGTCTGGTGGAACATGTGGAATTTCCACTCTTGTTTGAATCCAGTTCCTTCTTGACGTCTCCCATTATTAGTGACGTCAATCAAGATGGAATTCCAGATGCCATCTTGACGGATTACGATGGTGGAATTTATAGCATTGGATTGCAAAACAAGGAAGGAAAACGTTGGTTCGAACGAACCCAAGTGCCGCGGATCTATGTCCGACGCAAGTGGATGGAAAGTTTGGTCAATGAAACACTGGGAATTGAAGTGAATGTCAGCGAGGATGAAGAACCAAACCCGGAAGATGGTGAGGAGGGTGCTCCCAAGGACCAAACCTACAAGGCCGAAAAGCCACACGATCCTTACCATTCTCGATTTGATTACATTTATGGAACACCAAGTCATCATGAGAATATTTTGAGAGGCGTTTCGGCCGGTGTCATTGGTCAAGAGTTGGAACAAGTCAACACTTTGGAGCAGAGACGACGTCGACAAGTCCAACACAATGAATTCCTTCCGATAGAAGAGGATAGTATTCCAGAGGACAATTCCGAAATAAATCCCGAGGACATTCCAGATTACATGCCCGAAAAGGTAGACGCAGAACATCGGAGGCTGCAAGAGGTAGGAATAGTAGATGCCAGTCACCGACGACTCCAAGAAGTGACGGAAGAGGAGGAGCAAAAAGAAGGTTGGCATCCACCTCCCGTGGAAGAATATGTGGAACAAGTCACTGAAGGGAATGAAGAGCAAGGGAATCAACACGAGAGAGAAAACATCTATGGGGACGATCAATTGCAGTACATTGACGATCATCCAGAGAAGGATGCTGCTGCCATTCCAGAAGATGATACATACAATGGGGATTACAATGGAAACTTTTATGGAGATGATGAACCAAGGACTGGTGAGATGGATGACCATTATGGAATGTACGATGACATGTATGCTGGCAGGTATGGTGGCAAGTACTATCATTCCGAGCACGATGAGTACTACAAGGATGAACATTATGTCCGGCTCCCTCCACACATTCTCGCCAACCCCACACTCATGGAATTCCCCAAAATGTACAATGACAATGGGGAGCACGAATACCAATTGTTTGTTCCAGTCTCCTATTACATGGATGAAGATGAATACGAAGGTTTCTTTTCCTACAAACGATTTGATGAAACGGATATTGGAGATGAGACCGAAGTCCAACGAGGCATGTATGTGGCCAGTGCCATTATGGTCTACCAATTCACTGAATACAGCAACCGTTGGGGTCGTCAAGAGCATTTGGATTTGAGTGGTGATCACTCGGCACCAGTGAATGCCACTTTGGTGGGTTCCATTCCGTTACGCCAAGAAAATACCAAAATGGGTGCCTTTGCTCTGAGCAGTCCAACAGTAGCCGACATTGATGGAGACGGTACTTTGGAAGTCTTGATGGGAACCAGTATGGGAATTGTGTACTGCGTGGATGGCCGGAACTTGTACAAAAAGGATGGTTGGCCGGTCCAGTTGGAGCACCCAGTGGAGTCGCGAATTTTGGTAGAAGATGTTCGAGACGATGTCAATCTCGAGATCTTTGTCGCGGATGTTGCTGGCAACATTATTTGTCTAGACGAAAAAGCAAAGTTGTTGTGGCGCCGCGACCTTGTTGGTAGCTTGCACTTGGGAAACACTGCCGAAGTCATTGCAGCCAGCCAAATGGTCATGGGAGATGTGGATGGAGACGGTATTTTGGACATTGCAATTGTGATGAAGTTGCGTACTGGGGAAACACAGGTAGCCAATTACCTTTTTGCAATTACTGCGGACACTGGAAAAGACGTTGCAAACTTTCCAGTGCGGGTCGGCACGACGACGGATGAACACCAAAAGCAGGTACGGGAAGACTATGTGGTGGAACGAATGCCTGCGCCGCTCCTGGTGGATCTGCACGGAGATCAAAGCTTTCTGAATGACTACATCAGAAGAAATGGAGCCAAGTGGGTTCGGCCATTTCGAGGTGTGCCAAGCGCTAATCTCCATGGTGGAAGTGCCAATGGACTGCACATGGTTTTGCCAATCGATGGAAATGTTGTCATTATGGAAGCCGGATCTGGCTGCTCGCAAAGCGTTGCAATTGGCGAAGATGTCCTTGCAATGGTCCAAGCCGACGATGTTCATGGAAAAGGCAGCCTTGACCTTGTGATAACCACCGCCTCGGGCAACATACTAACATTGGAGAGCAAATCGCCATTCCACCCATTGAACGTCTGGAACAACGGCGATGTGAGAGGAAGGCACAATGGACAGGCTCATGGGTACAGCGCTTCACAAGGTATCTTCGTGCACGATGTCAGTCGCCAATACCGCGATGTCTTTGGCGTTTGGATTCCAATCACCTTTGAAATCTTTGACAACCGGCCCAACATTATGAATGAGCCAGACAAACGAATCTACAAAGTAGATCTTCGAGAAGGAATTGCCAAATCGCGCTTCCGAAAGACGTACAATGCAACAGGCGTGTACACGGAGAAAATGTACATCTCAAGTGGCCCAGGCTACTACACCATCAGTGTCATGCTAACAACGACACACGGAATCACCTATGAGGACACCTTCCACATTGGCTACAATTTGAGCTACATGGAAGGTTTTGGGACCTTGTTATGGCTTCCACTCCTAATTGGTGCTGCAACCATTCTTGTCATGGGTGTCCGACAAGCGCAATGGGATGATGAAGAGTATGAAGGAGATGTTCTCGGAAGTCCACTTCCCGAGTAAACTAGCAGCCAATTTGTAATAGTAAATATTTACTGCTGCTCACCTACAGAGTGCATTGAAAATGAATTGATCTTTTGGAAAATATGAAAGATTGTCTATAGTATGAGCTTATGCTTTTGGTTTCTTAACACTGACACCATCAGAACCAGCGATGATAACAACAGTGGACATATCACAGAAAAGACCATGGTCAACGACACCGCAGACGTTCTTAACGTCTTCGGCCATCTTGCGGGCATCCTTGATTGGTGTATCGAAATGAAGATCGACAATGTAGTTTCCGTTATCAGTGACTGCAATTTCATCCCCGTCATTGACATTGGAAGACGAGGACCCCATACGTAGTACAGGCTTGCATCCTTCACAAGATGCAAGCCCAGCGACTTGTCGCATAGTGTGCTCGTGGCAAAATGGAGTGATTTCGACAGGGACTGGGAATCCAGGTCCAAGGCCATCGGTAAGCTTGGATTCGTCAACTGAAAAAATATGTGAGTATTATGATTCGACAAAAACCGACAAGGCAACGGCGTGGTCATAACAAGAAATGATGCTTACCAATGACGATGAACTTCTCAGACATGATCTCAACCATCTTTTCTCTCAAAAGAGCGCCACCGCCTCCCTTGACAAGGTTCAAGTCAGGGTCAACTTCATCCGCTCCATCAATGGAAACATCCAAGTTGGAGTGGGTATCAAGAGTAACTAGGGGAATGTCGAGGCTCTCTGCTTGCTCCTTAGTGCGGACAGAAGTGGGGATACAGACAATATCCTTCAATTCACCAGACTTTAGCAATTGCCCAACTCTTTCGACGGCGAAGTATGCAGTGGAACCAGTTCCAAGTCCAACGACCATACCACTCTTGACGTAATCATCGACGGCCTTGTATCCGACTTCCTTCTTCAATTCGTCTTGTGACTTTCCCATTTCTAGACTGATGGTGGATCGGAATGATGTTCTGGTAAGAGGTGCGAAAGCTGTGACAGCAGAGAGGAAAGCAAGTGAAAGGATGCGCATGATAGCCGATCTATAATTATGCAATTTCGATTGACAAAACGATGGTTGGTATTTTGTCCGATTTGGCATTTTCATGCATACGTCAGTCAGTTGAGTCAAAACAAACTGGATTCACGCATGCATGCATGCATGCGATCCACACGTCACCGAAAGATATGAATCTTTGCCAAAAGATGGGTTCGCGCTTCTTGGACTCTAGTAGATAATACTTCAGCAGGTACCAAATCTAAATCGCAGCTCTACTTCCTCCCAGTCGTTTGCAGCCATCCTACTCTCGTTTCTGAAGCCTAACTCACAGAGCTCCTGTCCTCACGTTGGAGTTTTCTTCATTTGCAATACTTCATCTCCCATTGCCTCCAGTTCTTTCATAGCACGTTTAAAGCAATTGACAAAAAAAGCTGCATCTATTTTGGAGAATACCATAGGAGGCTTCACCACAATAACATTGTCATCAGCCCCATCAATACTCGTCAAAATTTTATACTTGTCCTTCAGCTGTGTACAAATGAAGGATGTCTCTGCTGTCGCTGGTTCCAGTGTCTTTGAATCTCGAACCAGCTCAATTCCGATAAACAATCCCGACCCTCTTACGTCACCGACAAGTTCAGTCTCCTCTTTCAACTCTAGAAAGAGCGATTTCAGGTAGGCTCCGACCTCCAGGGCATGCTTCTGCAAGCCTTTCTTATCAACTACGTCGAGTACGGCCAGCCCAGCTGCGCAACATACTGGGTTCCCTCCAAATGTATTGAAATACTCTACTCCCATTGCTTGAAAGGAGTCTGCTATTTCCCGCGTGGTAATGACTGCCGCCAAGGGCATTCCATTCCCAAACGGCTTTCCAACCGTCACAATGTCTGGGACAACCTCTTCTGCTCCATGCTGAAAGGCCCAGTAGGACGACCCTAACCGACCAAAGCCTGTCTGAACTTCATCAGCAATATAGACACCTCCTGCTGCTCGCACTGCTTCCACACTACGTCGAAGGTAATTGGTGGGAGGGAGAATCACCCCTGCCACGCTCATTCCTCCTTCAATAAAGAAGGCACCCACAGTCTCTCCGGTCTTTTGGTAGTGCTTGCAAGCATCCTTGACATATGCGGAGTAGACTTCTCCCGCTGTGTCCGGGTTCCGATAATTGCCACGGTAGATGTCAGGACATGGCACTTTGTAAATGTGTTTTCCAGGGGTCCCGTACTGCCCATTTGGCACCATTTTGAATTCTTTGCTGTACTCATACTTGTAAGGACTGACCTCCAATATTGACAGCCTGTGTAGTACAAAAAAGGAAAGATTAGATCGCAATGCTTTTCGCAATATATATTGCAATCTTGTTCCACTTACGTATGGCCATGATACGCCCGCTCAACTACAATTGTATTTTTGGATCCAGTGTGTGCCCTTGCTAATCGCAAGGCCAAATCGTTTGCCTCACTCCCACTATTGACAAAGACCACAACTTCCAATGGATCTGGCAACTTGTCAGCCAACTTTTTTGCCAATTCTACCGCATTTGGGTGGAGATATCGTGTGTTGGTATTCAATACCGAGACTTGTGTTTGAATGGCCTTCACTACTTCGGAATTTCCATGACCGACATGTGCCACATTATTGCGAGTGTCCAAATACGGTGTGCCCTCGTCGTCAATCAAGCGTGAACCAGTACCCTGAAAAAGATGGCAGCAAAAGGAAAGATGAATGTGTAAGAGCTATGATTCGATTAAATAATGATTCACAGAGAAACTCAGATCTATGAAGATCTATGCACTTTTTCAATCATATTCCAAATCATCTCAACGTACCCCCATGATCATCAATCCACCAGAGTTTGCGTAGGAAATGCTGACAGATTTCATGAAATGCTTTTGCCGAAGTTCCAAGACTTCTTCTCTAGTCATAGGTTTTGCCGACGGGGGGCTCTCCTTTTTTGTTGAGCCATTCTTCTTTTTCGACCGTTCATGGAGAACGACCAGAATTGCCGTCGCTGTAAATGCGAGTGCTGGCAAGGATGTGTAAATGTCTGACGGCTTCATGCATTCAAAAGAAGAGAGAGATGCACCACACTGTTGCACCAGCTATTTGAAAAATGCAGAATGCAGATATGCATGAGAGGGCGATTCATCCGACCGCTTAGTCCCGCATCAATGTGACTGACATTGGACACGTGAAAGTTGAAGACAGATTGCAAAAGTTGAAGATCATAACCAGAGGTTAAACTCAACACGAACTTTCAGAAGAATGTTCCTAATGAGGAGAGCTTCATTTCTTGCTACTCTTTTTGTACTCGGCTGCTCTGCCCAGAATCGACCAGATCCTCAAGCCTTCATCAATGGAAGAGCATGGATGATTGATGAAACCAATTTTCCAAAACATTATGCTCGCTTTCCTCCAAACGACAAGATACATCACAAGAAGGGTGCGTTATCCTACTATGTTTTGAACAATGAGAAGAAGGTTCTATATGTACCCAATTTTGTGAATGAGACGGTTGCGCATGATATCCAATTGTTTTGCATCGAAGGGAAACGATTTACCGACAGCCGAATCCGAGGAACCACCAGTGATGGAAGCAATGTTGAAAAGAATGATCATCGAACGAGGTAGGTAGAATAGCTTGGATATCACGTATGTATAATATACGAGGGTGGCGATGCAATTTCTAATGTCAATATCCTGCCCCCAGTGAATCTTGTCCGTTGGTTCCAGCAGCTGCCTACCTCTCGAATCCTCGCTTCCAAGAAATGTTGGAGCAAGACCCATTGCCACCACAGGTAGCTCAGGTGGCCCGTGAAGTAGATGTATCTTGGGATATTGCAGTTCGATCGTCGGAATTGTTGGGGGTAAATCCCCACTTGGTGGAATCCTTGCAAGTGGTCCGATACACTAGTCCAGATGCCGAATACAAATTGCACCACGACCATGGAGGTAAGGTTGGCTTTGAAGTATGATGTCATGTGATGAAACTATGATTTTAAAGCGCTTTTCTGACAATTGAATGCAACCTTTGCTGTAGGTTACTATGGAAAAAGTAGTGAACACCGATCTTGGACCATGCTAATATTCTTGAACGATGTGGAAAATGCTGGGGGTCATACGTCCTTCCCCAAGCTGAATTTAGAAGTTGTCCCACGAGGAGGCGATGCCTTGGTATGGTCCAATACGATCGACTCCAAAGTGGACGAGGACATGGTGCATGCTGGAAAGCCTCCTTCCAAGGCGGGAGTCGAGAAGTATGCTGTCAATGTTTGGTTTGGGGAAGAATCCTTTGAAAATCGTATAAAAGAGGGGCAAACGTGGTCATAGCTCATTGCGTTCTACTACTGTAGTGTATTATGCCAGATTTGAATACATTACAATGGGCAATTGCTAACTGTTCATCTTTTTGTTATTAGCCCATTTTTGATTTGGCAACCATTTCAAAATCCGACAGCTGATATAGGTGGTTTATGTGAGACCCAAGGATAAGCAGCATGGTTCGTTCCAACAGTAGTATACCAGTTGGGTACAGGAAGTCCCGCTGTTCTTGTCATGACAGCAGTAGCACTGTTTCCGTCTGTGGTGAAGCTTCTACTTGTAGTAGTATTAGCAGTTTGTCCACTAGTGGTAGACAGAGAATTCTCTCGGGCACCCTGACTATTTGCTTCACCCAAAAAGAAGCCCTTCCATTGAATTCTCCGTGGCGAAGTTCCTATATTCTGCTGCTTGGCAACTGTAGTGGTGGAAGATAGTAAAGACGCTTGGTAATATTGCGTACTCTCATGAAAATCCCATGCTTCTTGGAAAGGTGCTGATTCCCTTGGAATGTCTCTTGGTAGAAGCGGACTTTTGCTAATGAAATAGAACCTCTTTTTCCTTTTCTTTTTCCCTTCCTTTGTTGTTTGCAGGATATTCTTTACTCGTCGCGCGACATGAATTTCGCCAGTAAAAACTTTTGTAAGAGCAGCATTGAGTGTATAGGAAGCATACACAACATTGTGCTTTTTGATAATGCAACGAATCACTTCCTCTGCTGGCAGCCATCTGTCATGACACATTTTCCTTTTGGCCATTTTCCAGAACGCCTCGGAATGATGTTGGTGCAGATTTTTTCGTTCCATTTTCTCGATATCGTCTTATCGAATGAATGAATGAATCAATCAATGAATCAATCAATGAATCAATCAATGAATCAATCAATGAATCAATCAATGAATCAATCAATGAATCAATCAATGAATCAATGAATCAATGAATCAATCAATCAATCAATCAATCAATCAATCAATCAATCAATCAATCAATCAATCAATCAATCAATCAATCAATCAATCAATCAATCAATCAATCAGCACAATATTGTTGTATATGGGTAGTTATCGATACGTATCAAAATGACGAGAAAGTGTGATGGCTGTGTGAAGATAGCAGGGTAAAGGCTAATTTCAAATTGGCATCAGAATTGTTTTTTCATTCATTCTTCACAAAATTCAAATGTTGGGTGAGACAATGGGTTTTTATTTTATGCTGGTGGAGCAGTTTATACTAGATCCCCCGGGGATAGAAGAAGGGGAAAGAGGAAGAAGAAAAGAAAAAACGAAGAGAGAAGAAAAGAGGAGAAAGCAATAGGATTGCAATGAAGGGGCTCAACAACACAGTGCTGGTTTCATGCATGGCGTCGCAAGATGACATACGCTATTATCCTGGCGTTAGCCAGGATTTAGACGGATTTAGAACGAGGTAACAATCCATGAATGTTTGATGTGATAATCGATGCGTCTGAACCGCCTGCAGTATTGAAATGATGTCCAAGCACCTCTAAGCCAATAACAATATCTACTGTCCCTACATATCGAAGAATAGATTGAGACTCGGAGGCTCATCGCGCCGCGATTTTTGGTGTCTCGAATACTTCAAGATTGGAAACATGAAAGTGATGTCAGTGTATATAAAAAGAGAGCACAGCCCGATCTTGTGTCGACAACAAACCATTTGGAAGGAAGGTGAATCAAGGCATGAAATAATGCTCGACTCTAGCAGCTGATATTATTGCTATGATACTATTGAAACGCTTACTTATGCGAGGCTTGCGAGAACCAGCCAGTATTGGATTCGATAGACAATCGGCGGTGTCCTCAATGGACTCAATATTTAGGGAACCAAGCAAGATGGGTAAGGGCCACTACAAAGCCCGATTTCATCGCAAAGAGAGTAAATACATGTTCTACGATTGAAGGCATGCAACAATCAACTGGTTTTGAGTAAGATTCACAGGCGAAAACATAGACAGAAACCTTTCATGATTCCTGTTGTTGGCCAAAGCCGCGATAGGAAAGTCTGTTACAGTATAGTCATATATGATGCTTTCAGATTCGGGTATTGTACATTCTACTCTGATGGCAATACAATCAACCTTTTTGCACCCGTTTGAGACAATGACTTGATTCCAAAGGTGAAGAGAATACTACCCACTACCTACCTCTTCCGGTATCAGCAGTTGATTTCAATCTGCCATCAGAGAGGAAGACTGAACGATACTCGATAATGCATAGTAGTACTCTATCTGCAAGATTGAAAAGTCAGGGTCTATTGTTTGATCTATCTATTACCTCATGTAGTACCAGTCAATTTCAGTTGACAACCTACCACCCCGTTCTTCAGGGCAGCTAGAAGTGATCCTAGGGGATCTACAGCGCTTCCTCATGATCGAGGGCTAAGGTTGTTCCTTAAGACAAGATGTTTAGCTGTTTGATAAGACAAAGAGAAACTGCTATGGCCGTATGGAGCTTGGACCTAACATCCCCCTAACATCATTTGAAGTCTGTGGAGAGTACTAATTTAGTGTGGAAGAGAGTTAGTCGAATCTATCATTAGAGATAGAGAGCTGTGATTGGCTCATACGACTAATAATAGACTCATCTTTAGTGAATCGACTAACTCTTATTGGCTAAAAATTCACTAAAGACCCCACCACCATAAAACAAGAACCAGACAATGTGTCCAGTCACGCGTGATTGGAGATCATTAAAAGTCGATGTCACTGCGACTGTTTACTGTGACTAAATTGAAGCGCGGAGAACTCTTCGGTAGGAAATTCGGGCGGAAGTTCGTGTGGGAGTGGATGGAAAAATCTGGCAAGACATAGAAATCTGACAAGACGCTCAGGGGAGCGTTGTCACACCGCACCCGCGCCCATATTCAATATTGGTTGCCATCACTCACTATTAATTGGTATAGTACCATGACGACGCAAAAGATGATAATGTACTTTGACATGGACTCTGTCTATGAAGACCAACTGGACGACATTAACCCCAGCGATGGTCATCATGATTATCATGATGAGAACTCCACCATTGCTTCTGTTGACAGCAATCACCATAATGGCAACAGAATCGTCATCATCGACAATGAAGCTGAGAATGATGAAGGAGTCGACGAGAGGGACACTGAACAAAAGAAAACTAGTTCAGTGAATGCCACCGCTCAGCTATCGGAACCCGATCACCATCAATGTTCTCCAGGAAGTCAGACGGTTCGAAAACGAAAACGTGCCATCACAGAATCATCATTCGAAACGGACACCTTTGATGTCAAGAAACCAATCTTCAATTTGGAGATGATTCCTAGAAACCCGCTGAGTCAAAGTTGCATGAAAGCCAGTCGCAAGTCTCAGGAAGCATCAGCATCAGCATCAGCATCAGCATCAGCATCAGCATCAGCATCAGCATCAGCATCAGCATCACCACCACCTGCGAGATCACCATCAAGAACGTCATGCTGGAACAACAACAACAAGGTTGCCAGAAAGCGTTTCGATTTGCATAGAGGAATTCACAGAGTAGAAGACGGCCATGGCGTAAAGCAAGGCAATTGGGTATACGACTAAAACCAAGGTTGTGGAATAAAGAATCCTAAATAGATGATATGATAACTGAAATGGCCCAACAAACAGCGCAAACAGCCAACAAGAAGAAGGGGAAGGAAGAAGTGATCCACTCAACGGATCATGAGATCAGGCACTGTAAAAAACTCATCGACAGATGCTATCATCGTCCAAACGTCGGCTCCAGTCGGACAATTACTCTGGCGGCAATGATGTGCAAAACATACCTGTTCCACACAGGTCTTGTCGCCATCCACCACCACCCAAAGACGAAGGAATAGGTGTCCTCTGATCTCTGATGCCTGCGCTCTGGGAAGACGAGCTCGCTCGGATCGCAAGCTCCGAAGAATATCTTAAAATGCTAGAATGGTGAAATTCTTTCTAAAATCTCTTTGCATATATATCATGAAACACGCTTCTATCATACTCGTACCATTTGAATTTATCGTAAAGGAAGAGGATGATGTTCACTTTTGAGGTCTAAGGTAGTACATGAAGGACTAGCATAGTACCGTAAATAATCCAACACATCGTCGTCAAATAAGCGATCGATTGTAGAAGCAACATAAAACAGGTCGAGCTTGAATAACAGAGATCTTCTAGGGTATTGACCATTTCAGATTCCCGTTTTCATCCGTAGAGAGATATAGCGTTCCCCTTTCAACAATATGGAGAGGAGCGAGGAAAATACCAAAAAGCGCAAGCTGGAGGAGGAGGCTGAGGGCGGTGACAATAACAACGGGGATACTGCAACATCGTCCGAATCTCCTTTGAAAAAGCAACAGCGTGCAGATACCGGGGGCGCCGGAAATGGTGAAAAGGACAAATCCGCTTCTCCGAAAACGATTGTAGAAGCAGGAAAAGAAGAGGCGGACAATGATTCTAGTTCCGGAAGCGAAGTCCAAGAAGAACCAGAGGAAAAGCAAAAGGGAGGAGACGACGCGAAATCGACCACTGTCGATAATGCAGCAAAGGGTGAATCCGGGGGGAAAGGGCCTTCGTCCTCTGGAAATAAAACAGACGAGATTGCCAAGGAAAATAAGATGGATGTAGACAATCAAGGTACTAATAATAGATCAGGGAAAAAGACAAAAGAGTCATCATCCAACAAGTCCAAGAAAGAAGACGAGACTGAAAATCCATACGACAAATTGCGGTGGATTGTGGTCAAGAACGATGGGAATCCCGCCTCACTCATTAAACTGGTGGCACTCAAATCATTGTTTTCCAAACAGCTTCCCAAGATGCCCCGGGCCTATATTGCCCGACTGGTATTTGATCGGCGCCATACAGCCATTGCCATTTTGAACGACGATCCTGCAGTGAAAGATACTGATGAAGAAGTCATTGGATCCATCTGTTATCGAGCATTTCCAGAAATGAGGTTTGCGGAGATTGCGTTTTGTGCTGTCAATGCGGCACATCAAGTCAAGGTGAGTTGTGTTATGCATTGGTTTGTCTCAAGAATCTCATTACTTGGATGGAATACAATACTCACTTTATCTGCTCACTTTATCTGCTCACTTTGAACAGGGATATGGTACTAAGCTGATGAATTTGTTAAAGCAAGAGGGGGCAAGAACAGGAATCGAATATTTCATTACCTACGCGGATAACTACGCCATTGGTTATTTCAAAAAGCAAGGCTTCACCAAGTCCATTTCCATGCCCAAAGGACGCTATCAAGGTCTGATCAAGGATTATGACGGCGGGACAATGATGGAATGCTATGTCCATCCCTCCATTGACTTTACTAGCCTTCCTGCTATTCTCAAGACACAACGAAAGTTCATTTTGGATCGCATTCGCGTCAAGGCCAAATCGACCACCGTCTATGAACCATTGCCCCAAGATTTCGAGCCCCATTTGGAGGGTGTGTCTCGAGCAAATGAAGCAGCCGCTAGAGCTATGGCTATTCCGGGTATCCTAGAAGCTGGTTGGACCATGGCTGACCTATTGGCGACCACTGGACAAGGAAAGGACGTGGATCGGGCCAAAACTGCCCTCAAAAGTGAATTGCTGGCGATCGTTCGCAAGGTAGAAGAACAGCAATATTCATGGCCCTTTCGGGAACCCGTCGATACATCAGAAGTCAAGGATTATTTGGAGGTCATCAAGGAGCCCATTGATTTGTCGACCATTGAAAAACGCACACGAATGGGTGATCATTACAAGTCCAAGCAAATGCTTTATGCCGATCTCATGCTGATGGTGAACAACTGCAAGTTGTACAATGAACCATCCAGTACGTATGTTCAGTGTGCGAATAGTCTCGAAAAGTATCTTGGAAGCGTGTTTCGGGATGTTAGTAGTCGCTGATTGGCATTTGATCGGTATTGCTTTGGACAGGTATTGCTTTGGACAGGCAAATCAGTAGCTAGTAAAAACAGTTTTTGCCTTTTACACCAGTAGTATTTATTCAAATTTAACAGCTACAATTCCCTTCACTTTAGCATTTGTTGACCATACTTCTAGTCTTTCCTCTCCCAGCCTGACAAGGCCATAAACAACTCACTCTTCTTCTTCACCCGCATCACCATCCCCATCACCGGCGCCATCATCCCCGTCATCACCGCCATCATCTTCAACAACGCCGTCCTGGACAGCACCTTCTTCGTCTTCTTCTTCATCACTCTTCCCACCACAGTTACAGCTGCAAGGGCAAACACATCCACAGCAATACAAGTCACAGCACTTGAAGCTACATTCTCTATTGACATAATCCAGCTTGAGTTCTCCTTCGTTCTCAAAGAACATGTAGTCGATCAAGTACAAACCGGCGAAGATGTTGGCTTTTTGCTTCGCAGTCAAACTGGAATTCTGATTCAATTCCAAAGCAAAGACGTCAGCGTCAGAGGCCAACTCCTTGGCAAATCCACCAATACTATCCGGCCTTGTCTTGGTAATCTTTCCAACCAGGTTTCCATCCTTGTCTGTAACTGTAAAGTCGTGGTCAAAGAACAACCCACCTATGCAGCAACATGCCTCAGACTTAATGGTGGCGTATGGTTCCTCATCTTCCTCACGGTCCATAATTTCCAGACTTGGAGAGAGGTATCCTCCTAAAACGGGCTGCTTGATGTAACCAATCTTGTTTCCATTAATCTCTGGTCCCTCAAAGACGGTCATTTCTGGGCGACAAATGTCCAAGATAGCGCAGCACTGCCCGCATTTGCAGGGACGATCCAGCAACATGGCTTCCTGGGTGTCCGACTTGGCTGGTTCGTATACATGCAGCTGGAGTTTGTGGTTGGGGCGGCAACAGGCGCGACCAGTACAGCCACACATTTCCGAAGTCTCAATGACGCGGAACTTGTCACCACCGTCATTGGTAAAGACATCGTACTTGTTGGCGATCTCTCCTAGACCACCCAGCATATCCAAATCCAAGGCGTTGGCGGCCGCATTGGCCAGTGCCTCCAGTGGTTCGAACTTTTGTTTGATGACGAGCTTGTGGGTCTCAGCAAAGGTTTCCATATTTCGTAGTTGTTATTATGATTTGACGAAGGAAGGAGTTGATTTTGGGCTACTATACTATAAGTATGCTAGTGTTTGAAGGAAATGACAATCGCATCTCTTGTCAGTCGGAACTTCAGACTGGCACTATTATGGTTTTTCAATCTCCCAAAATTATTAGCTTCGCCAAAAATATGTGGAACGAACGCAACGCGACGCAACATGACGCAACCATGAAATACTCACACGACCTGCTGTACATACCGGTACCACCTCTGCAATTTGACTGCAGGAGGATACCATGTCGACCAAAAGCATGCAAATAAAAGGAATGAGATACAATCTAGAAGCACATCATGGCCCTTTGGTACGATGAGAAAAGAGGGAAAAGTGACACAATGCGTTCCAAACACGCACATTAGTCATAGAAATATGGATGGAAGGGAGGTGGTGCTTGATTCATTCAGCTTGAATGTCAAATGCTTGGAGGATATTGCATGGAATGATGTCCTTGCTTTCGCCAAATTTGTATCACATATCTTCTACTTCTACTATTCTTTCCGATTACTCTTATTTTGACATATATATATAACTTGCAAGCACATAAAGTTCAATCGCGTTGAACGGCTGCATGGCTACCGAGGCGGCGAGATGATTTACTCGCCATCCCCACCTTCTCCATCCTCGTCGCTAGATCCACCGCAACTACATTTACAGGGAACGAGGCATCCACAGCAGTACATATCGCAGCACTTGATTTCACATTCTTGATTGACAGCATCCAACTTGAGTTCTCCTTCGTTCTCAAAGAACATGTAATCAATCAAGTGCAGACCGGCAAAGATGTTAGCCTTTTGCTGGGCAGTCAAATGCGAGTTTTGGTTCAACTCCAAGGCAAAGACATCGGCATCGGAAGCCAATTCCTTTGCGAATTGACCAAGGTCACTTGGCTTGGTCTTGACAATCTTTCCAACAACAGTTCCACCCTTATCAGTGACTTCAAAAGTATGGTCGCAGCAGAGTCCTCCAATGCAGCACACGGCGTTAGCCTTAATGGTGGCATATGGCTCGTCATCTTCCTCACGGTCCATAATTTCCAGAGTTGGAGAGAGGAATCCTCCCAAAATGGGTTGCTTGATGTAACCCATCTTGTTTCCATTGATCTCAGGTCCCTCAAAGATTGTCATTTCTTGACGACAAATGTCGAAGATAGCACAGCACTGTCCGCACTTGCAAGGACGGTCCATCACCATGGCTTCGGTAGTGTCCGATTTGGCTGGTTCGTAAACGTGCAATTGCAATTTGTGGTTGGGACGGCAGCAGGCTCGTCCTGTGCAGCAACCGCAGTATTCCGAGGTCTCAATGACGCGGAACTTGTCACCGCCATCATCCGTAAAGACATCGTACTTGTTGGCAGTCTCTCCCAAACCACCAAGGGCATCCATATCCAACGCATTGGCAGCGGCGTTGGCAAGCGCTTCGAGGGGTTCAAACTTTTGTTTGATAATGAGCTTGGAGGTTTCTGCAAAAGTGTCCAACATGATTGATCGTTTAGATTATTATTATGGAGTGATAGATGAATGTAAAAGGATTTGGTCAGGCTACCGGTATGCTATTGATTGACTCGTCGACTCGTGCTCGGATTCGTCGTTGGTAATCAATTGATCTCGAGAGTTCGGATCTTGAATGAATGTGGAAACTCGGAACAGAAACGGCTTGGCAGGTGCAGAAATTGCATTTGAAAAAAAAGACCCCAAAGATACGCCGGGCGTATGTTTGAAAAAGGTCATATGTCACAAGCGACATCCAATCAGACACCCGACACCGCACAGTCAGTCATCATTGGGGAGCAACGTCAGTCCATCGCATGAAAGAAATGATGTCGAGATTCATTCGTTTTATTCGTTCGCCACCTATTTTGCCCCCCGTTCCGGAATTTCGCGATCGTCCATCGAAACTTCTTCGCTTGTGAGAAAACACATCAGCAGAGATTCGACGCGGGAAAGTGACATCACTCTCGACACACCCGATATTGGCTCATCATCTCACCAGAGAAAATCTCATCACGCACACAACTTGCACTTGCCCTTGCCCTTGATTCATCTCTTATCTATACTCATCCAACCCATCAACAACCCATCAACGAAGAATCAAGATGCCGACGAGTCGCTCCTGTTCACGAGCAACCACTTCTTTGATCGTGCTTTTGAGTCTTGAAGCGAGTTCTGGATTCGTGAATCATCCTATTGGAAGCTGTACTCGTGACATCATTGCAAAGACAACCAGAAGCCCGCTCAATGTTCTCGCAGGCCCTGATCAAGAACCTGCTGGAAACACCTTCCTCAAAGGACTTTCTGATAAGATTGGAAGCGTCGATGACGATCGCATAATATACCCCGAATACGAATCTGGAGAAGTCTCGCGGGTATTTAGTTCTTTGAGTTACAACAAATCCGAACAAGGAAAAGTCAATGCCATTCATGTCACTGGGTCTGTCTTGGGTGCCACTGCGTTGGTGGCTGGAACCACGGTCGGTGCTGGAATCTTGGCCCTTCCTGCCGCCACTGCTCCCGTGGGATTCCTTCCATCGACTGCCGCCATGGGTGTGGCTTGGTTGTACATGACCATGTCAGGATTGCTCGTTGCCGAGTTGTCCATCAACCGACTAGGACAATCGGGTAAGCCTGGAAAAGGAATGCTCGATTTGTACGAAGACAATCTTGGCCCCAACTGGTCCAAGTTGGGCAGTCTATCCTATTTCTTTTTGCATTATGCCGTGGTGGTTGCCTACATTGCCCAGGGTGGCTTGAATTTGGATAATATCTTGGATAACCTAGGGCTGATGAACAAAGATGGGGCACTCCCAGGAATTGGGCAAGCTTTGTTTGCTTCGGTCTGCGCTTCTGGACTCTTTGTGGCCACCAAAAAGCAAGTGGAACAAGTCAACAATATCTTTGTTCTACTGTTGGCTGGTGCCTTTGCTGGAATCATTGGGATTGGAGCTCAATCGGCAGACTTTGGGTCCCTGGTGGACCTTTCCAATCAACACCCCGAAAAAGTGGTCGATGCCTTTCCAATCATCTTTTTGTCCCTCGTCTTTCAAAATGTGGTTCCCACTGTGGTGAACCAGTTGGAGGGAGACCGTGAAAAGATCACCAAGGCTATCATTAGTGGAACTACACTTCCAACACTCATGTTCTTGGCATGGAATGCAGTCGTCCTGGGCAATGTCCAAGGGATGCCAGATGCTTCTACGATGGATCCCGTCTTGTTGATTCAGGCCGGAGCCCAAGGAGATGGTGGTGCCTTGCTGGGCACTTTGGTTGGTGGATTCTCCTTCTTGGCTGTGGTCACCAGTTTGATTGGATTCACCTACGCGCTTTTGGACGCTTGGACGGATGTCTTTAAGATTCCTCAAGATGGACCCGAGTTTGACAAGTGGAAGCTTCCCTTGTTTGCACTCATTTACCTTCCACCCTTGGCCTTGTCGGTGACCGATCCAGACATTTTTTACAGCGCTTTGGATTACGGTGGCGCCTTTGGAGTTTCCACCCTGTTCTTGGTCCTTCCTCCCATTATGGTTTGGGGACAGCGGTATGGAGAAGAAAAGACCGAGCTATTGACAAAACCAATGGTTCCCTTTGGAAAGATTCCGCTTGGATCCATGTGGAAGGCAGCTGGAACATTGATTCTGGAACAAGGTGCTGACAAGTTAGGAGTTTTCGAGTTCATCTCGGAACACAACCCATTCGCCGCTCCATAATGGATCATAATGGATCTAGAGTCCCAGTGCTACACTTATTAATTGACAGTAAATTAGAGTACCATAGATTAGACAACACATTTCCTGAACGGACTTTTGTTCGTGTTGCGAGTATCCTGAATGAATCAAGCAAGAAATGTAGATATAGCAACCTGCAAGCAAATAATTGAATAGTGTATAAAAATAATAACTTAGAGAGTGCCTTATACCAGCTGTTGTCGGCTGTCATCCTCTTGATTCGAAAGGTCAAATACTCCTGCTCGAGCAGCCTCTGGTGCACCTGGTGCGGCCGCTGCTGATCGCCCGCGAGATGCGCTTCCATCTCGTGCTCGAGAGGAGCTACGGCGCCGACTTCGGCTGCCAGATCGCGTTCGTGAAGTTCCTGAACGAGTCTTGCTCTTTGATCGACTTCGAGATTTCGATCGGCGACGACCGTGAGAAGAACTCCTGTCGAGCATGGGATTGTCCATTCCAGCTGCAACACGGCGTCTTCTCTTTTTTCGCTTCTTTCTGGTCAAGTCGCGAAAGAAGAATCCGAGATAACTTTCTCCCCGCCTCCTCTTTTTCCTTGCTCGTGCCAAAAAGATCGAAATAGATAGAGTAATGGCCATAAAGAGAACCAGCATCACGGAGAATTGACCGACATTACCGAGCGAGTCCCAAGCAACGGCAGAAGCCTTAGCCTTGTGCTTCTTACGGAAACACTTGTCCAAGTGAAAGTTGTGTGGTTCATCGCAACCTCCCTTCCAAGTTGGTGCAGGTGAGTAGGTAGGAGGCATGGAAGCTCCACCATATTCGACCCATGATCCTCCCAAATCAGGCTTGAACACTTCGTACACATCAAGACGATTGAGGAAAAGAGCCAAACAGCCACCATTGGGACAAAAGCTGGAAGTTCCGACAGCAACACCAGATGGGTACAGCGATCTCCAATAATCAACATAGTTGTTGCATTTGTCAAGATAGGCGGCAGCAGCGTCTTCCGAGGTAAATCGTGGGGCATAGGCAAGAGTCATCTGAGGACAGTATCCACCAACGTTGGAACCATCAGGTCCGCAACCATAGGAAGCTCTATCTCCTGCGGCGTGCATGGCACAGTTGGTGTAGGATCCTTGGGAATTGGAAGGCGAATCGTAGTTCCATGCAATTCCAAGTTCCTTACACAAAGTATCATATAGATAGGCAAGAGCAGAAGAGGTATCGACCTCAAATTGAAGCTTTGCGTGTCCATCTTCATCAATAAAGACAAATGCTGGTTTGATGTAAAGAGTACCGAAATCAATGTGCTGCACAACCTTGATAATATCAGGTAGCGACATTCCTCCCTGCAAAGCAAAAGAAGCAAGTCCGTTAGAACACTTGTAATGAAATGCAATTCAAACACAAAACATTGTGCATGACAATCTTACCATATCAGGGTTGGTGGTACCAGTGTAAAAAATAGGAATGTGCGAGGTATCCTTGTCGACAATGGACCCGACAGCATTACCAAGTTCCTCTCCAACCAACCAACCGTGGTTTGTTCCGAAACTTGTAATGTAGGTACCGTTACGATCGGTCAAATACTCAAAGTCAAACTGTTCTTGGAACGAGGAGGTACTTTGCATTTTTGATTCAGATGCACGCGAGAGTGGAATACCAAAAAAGGTTTCACCTTCTTGCAGACAGTTAGGAGGCAAGTCCCAACCGTCAGTCATGTCGTGCATGGCCATAGTTGCGCTCCACGAGTAGGGGTTGTGTTCCCAAGAGTTTCCATTCCCATCGCCAGAGCCCTGATAGTCAAATCCAATGGATGTAGTACTGGAATAAAAGCTCGAGACATCGGTGGTCATGTACAAGGTAGCATAATAGCTTTCATTGTCGGACAAGTCACGGTTTGGATTGAATGCCTTGGTAATGTTTGCACGATCAAAGAAAAAGTACAAGTTACCGTATCCAACATATTGTTTGGAACCACCGCCACCTGGAGGAAAGGATGCACTACCACCAGATCCAATGGGAACACCATATGGGTACATGGCTTGCCAAACAGCAACCTCCAAGTTGGCTTGGTAGGCATACTCTTGCGAGTGATAGGAAGACCAAAACTTGACACCACGAGACATGGAAACGTGAGGATCGGTATCGTGATCGTCCATACATGGACCTCCACCATAACTGTCCAAAGCATCAAACAAGTTATCCAGGAAATATTCGTAAGCAGAGTATGAATCGTTGTCTTCATATGTTTCCACCACAGAAACCACCAAAGTGATATCCCCGGATGGCACAGTGCCATCATCATTATCTCCAGAACCATGGCCACCGCCACCTTTTAGATATTCAGGAAAGATGGAGAAAGGGGCAAAAGTGACACTGTCCATGGCGCCGTAAACTTGATCGATGGATGTACCTCCAGCATCGGGGTTCAGATTACCAATACGAAGCAATTCCGTGTGCGAAGAGTCAATGTAACTGTGGAGATTGAATGATTGAATGAATGAATTGTAACATGAGATACCGTACTGTACTGCGCGCAACAAGTTGACTCCATTCCAAACACATCTCCCCAATACTTACGGCATCTTTCCAGAAGGATCAAATGTCTTGTATCCCCCACCAACAAGCCATCCATCTTCATCCATACTCATGACAAATTCATAGTCTCGATCGATAATGTTTTCCATAGGAAATTGATCATTTAATTGGTACGAGTAAGGGTTTCCTTGTGCTGTATTGACAGAAAAGGAAACTCCAATAAACGAAAGACCTTCTTGTTCGCAACCATCATCTCCGGAATCGTGAGATGGCGTTTCACCAGACTCACAATCTTGGCCATAGGTGGCACACAGGTCCGAAGCTGAGTAGCCTTCGTAATTATAACAACATCCCGTCAATTGAGAAGACAATTTACGATCACCCTGCTTTTCCAGAGCATCCTGGCGATTCAGTTGAGCTTCCGCAGTGGAGAACATCTGAGGATCACCCAAGGCTCCTTGTAGATTCTTCCAAGGCGCCTTCTTTTCTTTGGCACGGCGACGATTCTTCTTCTTGTTGGCCGCCGAAAAGGTCTTTTCTGGGACGCCACCGGTAACCCGGTTGACTCTATAGCTTTGTCCCTCAATGGGAATCTCATTGTCGTGATATTTATCTATAACACCGGCTTCGTGGCGTGCCTTGACGACCCGGGATCGGTCGGCCAGTTTTCCTTGTGCGGCAGAAGCACACAGGAGTGTTATTGTTATTACTTTGGCAAAGTTGGTCATGACCTGCCTCCTTTCAACTACTGTATACAGCACTATTGTCTATCTACCAAATGATACTTGTCTGCGGGCTGAGAAGGAATGTCAATAATGGCAATGGACTGACTGGCTACGTCCTTCAGTTTTCGAATATCTCTCTTACCCTCTTTCAATCTCGTTCATCGAGAAGCTAACGAAGTCAATTCCCGCCCTCTCTGAAGCCGACTCCGCCAGCCAATTCGTTCGAATTCCGTTTGCGTATTGCAAAGTACTGAAATATGGTACGATTTAAGAGCCGTTAGGCTCCTCTTGTTGGGCTGGCAACATTCCCATAACTGTACAGTCCGTTGGTGTGCCGTCCAGGCACGTCGGGCGTGAGGTGGTTTGAAAAAAATGCTGGATCGTAAGAGTCGTCTGATCAAGGTCTGATCGTTTGTCCTAAATAACAAACAAAAACGATCGGCTTGTCGGGAAACCAAAACGGACACTCCTCTGTGTGCGTGGGAGTGAGTGCATTGGCAAAAACTATTACACGTATTATACTCTGTATCTAGTTTCATTTCAATTGGACGCAGCACAGTGACACCATGAGCAGTGTTCGTTCCACACCTCGTTCCACACGGAGCAGTCGGCGTGGTACTCAAGCAGCAGCGGCAGCGGAAGAAGAAGCTGCTACAGCAGCCACCATTCCAGAAGAAATAGGAGAGGAGGACAATGACCAAGCAATGGACGTGGACGGTGGAAATGAATCTTCTTCGCTGGGATCCAGCAATGACGATATGGACGACGACGACGAAGAAGAAGAAGAAGAAGAAAACCAGGAAGATACAATCATGTCACCGACTCCCGAGAAGAAGAAAGACATGCGCTTGCGATCCGGGAGACGAAAACGTCGACGATCCAAGGAAACGACTGGTCTCACACCACCAGACACGGTTTCGGCACGAAAGAGGTCTCGCCGGAGTGCTGCTGCTAGTTCCACCAAAAAAGCTAAAAGCGCTACTGCTACTGCTACTAATAGTGCTACTGCTACTAATAGTGCTACTCCAGCTGCAGCTGCTGCAGAAACAATTGCCGAAGAGACGACCACCAAACAAACGAAAGACAATGATGTAGTTCTTCGAAAAACACGAAACTCAATCTTGCAATCCGATAAACCTGCTTTGGCAGAAGCTAATCAAGAATCCGAGTTTCCCTCTCCTGTCGAGGAAGATGATGGGCGACGCCTCTTTGATGCCAAACCACCTCCGACCAGCAATGGTGGATTGCCATCACAACAGATTCCTGTAGTAGCACAGCCCGCAGCAACAACCACAACAATAGAACAACAACAAGTCGTTCCGCAAGAGAAAATGGAAATGGCACCACCGGAAGAATTGGAAGTGCCGCCTCCATCATCACACTTCAACACTTCACCAACAGCCTTGATGCGACTCATGGTAGTCATATACATTGTGCTAATTGCAGTTTCGGCTCGCGTTTGGATTCCACTGGCTGGAAAATTGGCGCTTTCCATTGTGCCATTGAATGAAGAAGACTTGCTTTCTTCACCGGCAGCAGTTGCCATGGAGGAAGAAGAAGAAGTTGTGGTCGATCCAAATGATGCTTCTTCTCCACCAGTCCCTGCGGAAATTTTGGAGGGATTGGCCGGCTTGGAAAAGGCCCAACACTTGATTGGAGCATCCAGGCAAGACATTCAGGCCTACAACGCGGATATTGAAACCTTGATCAAAATGGTTCGAAAACAGGCAGATGTCAGCAAGCGCAAGTTGATGATTCGATTCAGCAGGTTGATGGAAGCGGAAAAAATCATGCACGCTGCGATCAAGTCGGGAAAAAGTGAAGAATCGCCATCACCAGAGACTTGGAAGAAAGCCAAGGAAACCATTGAGGAATTGGGATTCTCACACAAGAAACTGATAGATACTTCCATCATTGATATGTGGCAAGTGGACGATCCCATTCAATGTCCAGACGACCCACAAGTCGACGACGGAACAACAGTGGAGGTGGTGGAAGACAAGGATCCTCTCATTTCACCAAGAATCTTTGAGAGCACCGAAACCAATTTGTTGTTGCGAGCCACCATGACTGCCGAAAAGATTGTTCGATCAGCACAAGCCGAAGCCAACATTCGGGCTTGGGTGAGGGAAAAAATTGACACTGCCATTGAAGATGAAGACGATATTTTGTCGGCACTGGAGCAAATACAAACAATTTCGTCGGATGACGGCCATGACCACATCTTGTCAATAGAAATGGTGAGCACCTTGCTAAAAAATCGGCTGGAGTTGGAAATGGCCGATGGTACGGGAGCCTTTGATCACGCCGCTCTTATGAGTGGAGCCAAGATTGTCTACGGTGGCAAGCGAGGAACAACCAAATCCATTACAGATAGTCTGCCTTTGTACAATCGACTGATGCAACTGGCTAGTCTGCGGTTCTATGGCCATGGACCAGAGGCTGCTATCACTCCGACCTACCCCAAGAATTCCTTGGGACAATGCTGGTCCTTCCAACCACTGCCGGTTAAGGAACAGCTAAGGATCAATCAGCAAGACGACCACAAGCATGGCAGCTTTGGAACACTAACCATCAGTTTTGCCAATCCAGTCAAGATTGAAAACATATCGATTGAGCATCCAACTGCCACTGATCATCCAAAGAGTGCCATTCGAGGCTTTCGAATTATTGGTTTTGCCGACGCTTTGGCAGAAGCGGAAGGTCAGCCTATGGGTTCCTTCCAATACCGAATGGGTGGATCCTCCATTCAAGAATTTCCTGTCGCTGATAAAGAGCCAATGCAATCAGTTTCCTTGGCAATCGATTCGAATTGGGGTCTCGAATATGCTTGCTTGTATCGATTTAGGGTTCATGGTATCACTGTGGAAGACTAATAAAATTTTAACAGTACTCGTTTACAAATATACTAGCTACTGTATGCAGGATTTTTGACACCATGTATGCTGCTGATGACAGTTTGGAAATTTTCTTCTTTGCACTGTTTCAGATGCAGTTGCGAAAGGAAGTATATCCAACGGAGTTAGTCAACCAATCCTACCTCTCTTTGATGTCTTGGCACACAAGCTGACCAAGACTTCGGGATGTATGCAAGCCTGAATGGTTGATGCATTATCATCCTTTGCTTCAAATCGTCGACCCTCGTACTTTTTCGCGCACATTTTGGGTCCATGATCTTGGAACATCCCGAACGGTGATCTTATCAATTTGGTCATGACCAAGCAATCGGGCATATTGCTCTGGTGATGATGCAAACTGCATTTGAGTGAGTACCAGCCGACCAACGCATCCCTTCAGGCATGCTTCTTTGAAGAATTCGTCTACCAGAGCTTCCCTTCGCTCCTTTTGAGAAGGCAATAACACTGAACAGGCGCGGAGCACGGTACCATAGGAGGTATGGTCTGGCGCGTCGTGCACTTGCAATAACTCGAATATTTTCATGGCAATGTCAAAAGCTACCTCTTTTGCTTTCTCATCACCCTTTACAAAAGCACATGCATTCAAAGCCGCATTGAACGAGTGTACAGTAGGGTTTGCAGCAATATTTCCATTTTCCGTCGCCAATAGCATCCTTTCGATAATCTCCAAAGCCTTCTCTGCTTTGTTCTTTGCGTCCGATCTCCCGTAGGCCGAAACCACGGAAGTGTACGAGTACGAGTCTGGTAAGAAGGCACTCTGTACTGCACCCTTCGATTCAAGCAGGTAAAGGATTTTCTCAGCAAAAGCTGCATCATCTCCACTGCCATCTCTCATAGCCTTGATCACTGTGTTGTAAGTGATACGATTTGGCGCTGGCAAAGACGGATCGGTAGCATGGTTCTCATCCATTTCATTTAGCAATTCCTTTACTCTCTCTGACGATTCCAGTGAAGGCGAGCTAGCCCAAGCGTTGATAACTGCATTATATACGGATGCTGAGAGTGGTTCCCCTCCAAAATTATGCCAAAGATCCTTCATTCGTTTCAACAATTCTTCTGCCTTTTCTGCAGCATCTGGTCTGCGAAAGTTGGCGAAGCATCCGATAACGGAACTGTATGTGTAGCCGTCTGGTGCATGCGAAATTTTCCCATCCTTAAAATCATTTTCCATTGCGTTCAGAATTTCTATAGCTTGTTCTGGCGAGTCTTTTCGGCCAGATTTGCACCAGCTATCAACAATAATATTATAGCTGACAACGTCAGGCGTGATGTCATACTCCTTTTCAAGGGACGCGCGGAGCTTCATTGCATTCCCCATTGCTCCAGTACCTTGTGTCTTGGCAAATGCAGCACAGATTGTATTTATTGTCACTCTATCAGGTCTCGCATTTCTGTTCCCTTCTTTGAAACTCGTTTCCATTGTCTCAAGTATCTGTTCTATTTTGCTCAGTGCCGAAGGCTGCTCCGATTTCAACCAGCCACTCATGGCGGTGCTTTGGTTTCGAAAGCAAAAGAGGTAAGATTCTAGTCCTATATAGATGCATGGCGAAAGAAGATACGTACTTGAATGTATCCACGGTTGGTGTGATATGCATATCAGGAGGAAGGTCGAGGATCTCTTCGTAGATGGTTTGCATCCTCTCTTCATAGCCCTCGTTGCGTCCTCTAGCCCATGCTCCCAATAACTGGTTGTATGAGTTGATATCAGGCTTCGTCGTCATATTATCTGTCTCGAGATACTGTTGGAGCATTCTATGAAGGATATCCTCAGCCCGCGGGGCTGCGTCCTCCAAATTGGATTTTGCCAAGCAATACAGTAGCAGATTGTAACTTCGACGAGTAGGCGACACAATATTGGATCGCTCCATTCGATTCACTAACGCTGTAACCTTTGGTGGAGCAATTGCTCGACCGCCATTCTTGACATATGCTTTGATTACTGCATTGTAGCTTGCTTCATTTGGTAGGACATCGCGGTTGCCTTGATTGTACATTCGCTCCATCTCCATGAGGATTTCTTCACTACGTTCCGCGCTGCCTTCTTCTCGCGAATTTGCCCAGCTCTCCAGAACAATATTATAGACGGCTGTATTGATTTTCAATCGTTCATTTCCGGCGTCTTTCTCCTTCAGTAGTTTTTGCAGCAATCGTTCCACAACATGGGCTGCCTTGGACTCCCTTTTGATAGCTCGTTTCGACCAGACCCTCATCAGATCAAGAGTCAATAGCACTGACCGTTCGGACATTTTCCCTAGTTCTTCGGATTCTTCTCCAAGCAAATCGCCAGTATTGCTCAGCACCCATTCCATTTTTCGTTTGTCCCTTTCTTCGATTTTGTTGTAAGACAAAGTGCGAGAACCTTCCTGTTCCTGAGACTGCGCTGGTGGTGAATCATCGTCACTGTTCTCTTTCCCTTTCGAGTAACCAAAGTCGGTGTCAACCTCTGTCATTTTTGTTGATATTACACGAACCTTCCCTGTGACAAGCGCCTCTCCCTCATTGAATTGTGACCAAAGAAAAAGCAACCAACATGTTGCCCTGACGGGGGAGCATTTCAGCCATCGAAGTAGCAGCATTATCACTGCCTATCTACCACAAAACTACAGCGTTTCGCCCTCCAACTCTATGACCAACAGCGCCAATCTACACTAATACGAACGTAAGAATACAAAGAAACTTCGGTTGATGTGCTCTCCTCTCGTGTGGTCTGAAATCCATCACACTTTTGATTGGTCAATTTTTCAGTCGAAGGAATCGGACAGAAAATTCGTTTTGGATTCAAAACAGCAGGCAGTGAGATTACCATACATGCACTTCATAATATTGGTTGCATCCTGACTGTACCTGCTAAAAGCAACCCAAATACACAAAAGCAAGGAACCCACTTGATCAGTAGAGAATCTGAATCGGTGGAGGCAGAATGGTCCCGTCAATCTTCCCCTTACGTTTCGCAACTCAACGGCTGCGAATGGCAACAGGCATAGCCAGACCTTTCGGCAGTTTGGCACACAAAACAACAAGAGGTCATTTGGAAGCAAAGCATCAAATAAAGAAGACTGGTTTTCGGCATTTTGCGTCAACTGTATCGTCTGATGATTTCGCGAATGTTGATGACATTAGAAATCCAAAGCCGCCCATTATTAGCAAGGATGAGGAACATCGCGTCGAAACACAACGAAGACGACTTGCAGATGTCTTGATTTCAGAGGTTTTGGACGCAAAGCACGCCCATCGTTGGGTAAATCCAATAATAAAACATGGCGCTACGCTACGGGAAGCTATTGAAGCAGTGATTGATGGAGGACTTAGCGGAATGATGGTAGTGGATGACCATGCTGGCGAGCAGAAGAAAGTGTTGGGGCTTCTGACGTCTCGGGATCTATTAAGAGTAATGAATTCTGGGATTAAGGACGATGAATCCAACGACGAGATTATGAGTAGGCCAATCATAGACTTCATGACTCCGATCAGTCAAGTGGTATATGCTCGTCCTGAAGAAACGATAGGCATGTGTCGAACAATCATGTCGAAGCTCGGAATCAAATGTCTACCGATTCTTTCCAGCGAAGGACAAGTGGCGGGCCTCATAACAGCACGTGATATGTCAGATTTCGGATTGACGGCTGCAGATAAAGGTGGAAAGAAGAGCTTTCTCGATGATGTCTCGTCACGAGTCGGACTTTCGAGCAATACTAGCATGGCAGATCCACCATTGTTCATGCAGGCACACTTGACGCCAGAACGATCGCCATTATACGTCAATATGGGTGTCGCAGAGTTGCCACATCCATTCAAGAGGCCAGATGGCGTCAGCGGAAACCTAAGAGGTATGTGTCATTCGGTTCAGATGGATGTTTGTGTTTTTCCGTATCAGTATCAGATTTATTGATTTCTTTCTCCTCTCAAGAGCACGGTCCGAGCGATTTTGCCAGCGATAATGATCTCTCGGAAGATGCGCATTTTATTGCTACAGTAAAGCTGCCAGATGACAAGGAAGGCACGCTGCGAGATTTGACATATTTTGGAGTAGCAGACGGAGTTGGGAGTTGGCGAGAGTACGGCGTTGATCCAAGAGACTTCTCTCATAAGTTGATGGAGGAATGTGAAAACGTCTTGTTGGAAGCGTGTCATCGAGCCCCCAAAAAAGGGAAACTGTCAAAACGCGTGATCGCACCTGCTGACATTCTGGAAGAGGCGTACGAGCGTGTCAAGAAAGACAACATTATTGGATCCTGCACCGCATGCGTGGCCTTCTTCGACAACACTAGACACCAGCTGCACTTTAGCAACCTTGGAGATTCGGGTATTGTTATTCTTAGACATATCGATTCTTCTCAAGCGGGATCCCTCAAACGAGACAAAACAATACCTCGACTTGAAAGATCATCTGACCTGAAAGTTGCTTTTGTATCCCAACAACAGTTGCACTCCTTCAACCATCCATATCAGCTCGGGTGGACGGGTGAAGAAATGCGAGAGAAATCTTCCTTCAAAACAGCTCAAGATACGTGCACGACTTCTGTTCACGTTCGTCGAGGCGACATTATTATTATGGCGACTGATGGTCTCTTTGATAACATTGACGTAAACGATATTGCAGATGTTGGTCTGGAATGGGAAAACCAGGTTGGTTTGATCCGAGGTGGGGATATTGCTGCCCGCGAAAAACGATGGCAAATGGGCAATTCCTTGACTTTACTATCTGCAGAACGGGTAGGGGAACTAGCACAAGAGCTGTGCGATAAAGCAAGAGACTACAGTTTAGATTCATCATTGGACTCGCCTTTCGCACTTCTTGCGAAGGAAAATGATATCATGTGGAGTGGAGGTGCGTAGTTGAGTCGATTTCTCTATTTTTGTTGTCTATATACTCACACTTTTTGAATTGCGGCTTTAGGCATGCCGGATGACTGTACTGTCATTGTGGCCCATGTTGTCGGGCGGTCTGCAGATGACGTGATGGATAAAGATCATCTCTAGGTTCCGTTGCGCGAATGTGAAATTAATTTTGGTATTCTTTGGCCTTTGGTATCCCCTCTGGTTCATTATCATTAGATATGTAAATCCATTTCAGTGGTGTAGAGTAGCTCAGTTTTGATTTTCAGGCGTGGTACAAGAGTACTGGTACCTGTATCAGCACTCTTGCGTGTCAGGATCAAGCGTGTCAGGATCAAGCGTGTCGTACATAGGTACAGACCAATCCCGTTTCAAAATGTCGAATTCAACAGTTCAAACAAGACAAACAAGAGGTACCGGTTGCAGCAATGACATCGATAGCAGAATTGTTCCCAAAGTGCAGAAAGCTGAGCTATGATTCGCGACAACAGCTAGCACAAGTGCAAAATGGAGTGCTTTATCCATCCGAACTTTTCCTTTCATTGGATGAACTGACGCGTCAACTCGAGATCATGGAGAAGCTTGTGCTGAGAGAAACTCCAGCACAGCGTGAGGTTTGGAGACGAAAGATTCAGGAACTTAAAGAAGATGGTGACGCGATTCGGCGTCAGGGAGCACACTATGATCGGATTGTGAACACAAATGTCCGGCACCAGAAAGAGCGAGATCAACTGCTAACAAGAAGGAAACAAAGAAAGCAGTACTCAGGTTCACAGGAGCAAGATCTGTCCAATCTAGCCGACGAAGCCCAAAGTTGGCAGCAGTCAAATTACATGGTAAATGATTTGATTGGCCAAGGAGAGGCCCAACTTGCTGGATTGGTGAACCAAAGGGGTAGACTGGGTGGAATTACTCGCTTCATGGGGCAAATTGGAGATTCTCTCAACATATCGAACTCGACAATGAAAATAATTGAAAGGAGAGACGTCACTGACGCTTACTTCGTACTTGGAGGATGTGTAGTTACATGCATTGTCATATACTTTGTTTGGTTCTAAGTTAGCAAGACTTTTGAAACCTACATGCAAATTCGTGGTTCTTTGACATAGCCTACTGCCGTCCTCCGTGTGTGTGTTCGTAGTATTTTGTCTTGGTGTGTAGCTGGTGGGTTGTAAAGCTATCAATGAACCTTTTGAGTAGCGAACATAACTCTGATCCAAATTGGTAGTAACGGATGCAGTAGATGTAAATTATGGATGACATTATAGTTTTCAAAATTGTACCCCGTTGTATTGGAGTCTTAATGGTTCGCAGGCGTTCAGGATTGCATTGACAAGAAATTAATGCTTCCAAGCCTAGTGGTCAGAGTCGCCAAGCTTCAGCTCGCGCAATGCATTCGATGCACGGATACCATCTTTCGAAGCGATATTTCGCAATGCAACGCAGAGGATTGATGGATCCGCTCGGAGAAGATTATACGACGTCTGGACCGATTCGGTATCACGTGATCCTGCGACCAAAAAGGGCCAAAGCCCGGTAGTTGGGTCGCTCATGTTTAGAGAACTTGGATATACTGCCAAAAGCGCTGATATCAGCTGCCACGAATTCGAAGATTCAATTGCAACATGAAGGGGAAGCTGGTTTGTATCAAATGTCGGGCGATAAGCTGCTTGTGGATACACTTTCAGGAGACTAACGGCTAACTTTGAGTTTGCCTCGGCGTCTTCCTCCGATTTTCGTGCACAAGCTCTGTGCAGAGGTAGCCATCCATCACGATCAGCTTTTGACAGGTCCTCTTGATGAAACTGTAGTGCCATCTCATAGATTATCGTGGGCAATATAAATGAAGTTGAAGCAACTGCGTGGAGTGGCATCCAAACCGTATCGGCGTCTTCACGCCATCCTATGGCAGCTTTCAAATACGATTGCATTACATCCCACGCTTCTCGAGCCACAACTTCGTGCTCTTGCCAATTGTATGATACAAAGTTCGTTACAAACCTGTCGAAAGGAAGGTGCCCAGAATTATTTCTCACCCGCAATGCTCGAGTGCTATGCCGCAGGAGCTCTGAAATTCGTCTGGCTGACATGTATCCCTCCATAGCCCAATGCAGCGGGGTCTCACCATCAGGATCTTGACAGACTGTAGGATCAATTTCTGGCGTTGATTCGCAGTGATCCATCATAAATCTGAGTGAGGATATTGGACATTCGCGTGAGTAGGCAATGTAATGCAATGGAGTGCAACCTCGTCTATCAGTGGCAGTAATTAGGGCCTGGGCAGAAGGCGCGCCAGCTTGGCTATTAGCTTCACGAGTTCCGTTGAAAAGTACTTTCATAAGCTGTGTGTCAGCAGAGTTCTCACAGAGAATGTGAAGTGGAGTTTTTTGTTCACCATCCTTGACAGTAAGAATGGACTCATGAATCTCAACAGAGGCATCCGTTTCCGATGAAGAGCTCTCTGAATCACTGTCATGCTCGGGTGGCACAACTCTTGCCGGTCCCAGCCTGTACGAGGTATCAATGACTAGCTGAACAAGTTCGCAGATTTGTCGGTTGTCCGATTTGAGGCTATCCAAATTCTGCTCTCTCGGTGTTTCATCTTCTGGTGGTTCATCATCCTCATCGTCTGAGTATTCCTCTTCGTTATCGGGGTCCAACATACTTGCCGCGGCCTGGCAAAGTTCATGAATCGCAAGTCTCCGTTTGCTTTTGTTCATCGAATAGACCGATTTTGGTCTTTCTTCGACGTAATTCTTAACGCTGTCCCATTGTCGCTGAATTGAAAAGAAAGCAAGAGGTGGCACACAAAGATTAGTTGCGTTTTCAAAACGCGATTGCATGCTTTCAAGCCTGTACAAAGTGACTTACCAGTTGTATTAGTTCAAAAAGTGACTGTTGAAATCTTCCATTGGACTGCGTCTCTGACTCCACCGTCACGTAAGACGAGTTCTGATTCATCGGGTTCAATCCGATTGTTTTCGAGACCATTGAGATGTACAACAGTTTGATGAGCCAGCAATCAAGAGAAATGCCAGAATGCCTGATTATATGGCACCTTCCAAAATCTCTTTTTACTCCCTGCCACTAAAAACGTACAATAGTGGTACCAACTTCGTTGCCAGATGATGATGATTCGATACTTCCCCACACCGTCAGAACCATGGAATTGAAGAATCGTGGATTTTGCAACCTCTTGCGTCGATGATATTCCTTTGTTAAGAGCTGCGAATTTTGGTCAGAAGCTTTGATGAGATTATCTAGGTAAGGATTTGACTTCAATATTCTTCGTCTTGAAGGCGCCGGATCAAAACATACGGCGGACTCTCGCAGTGACACGTGTGATGGCAGGTAAATAATGCACAGCGGGCACGCGAAGTACGTATTTGAAACCAACACTCACAATTCTTCCGATCGGAAAACTCCGGACGGGAACACAACACTTTGTGTGTTCACCAAAGTTCATAGAAACATCATCGTTCGCAGAGGGTTTCTAACCTGTTGCCTGTTGCCGGATGAGAAAGGGCAAAGGGATCACATGAATAATTCTTCATCAAAGTTCACCAGAAGCTACCCCTAACATACCATGATTCTTACCTCAGCTACCAGTTCTTAGCGGCGGTACTGTTAGTAAGGAAGCGTAGTGCAAACGATGGCATAATTATGTCTTCATCGGCGTTCACGCACCAGTAACTATCAAGTTTCATGATCCTACCACAGCCACCGATTCTGCACTATTCAAAACGATGACATCCCAGTATGATTGATTGGTTTATTGATTGATTGATTCATTCATTCATTCGACAGAGTAACGTTTCTCATCGAAGAAGAGTTGAAAAGCACCACTTTTTCAATTTTCAGTGCTGCAGATATAACAATGAGAATACGTCAAACAACAAATACGACCCTACTTGGATTCCAGCGACGTCAGTCATCATGGCTATCTTATCTTTCCTAAGCTCAGTCGACTTTTACATTTTGGATATTCGCCATCGCCTGATGGGTTGGCCTTCTTCCATTCCTGCTCGACTTCTTCTTCTAGTAGCAGCGGATGAACATTTGGAAGCGTCTCTTGTTCTTGGCGAAAGAACTGTCGAATTTTGAGAGAACTGTACTTCAAACTGAAATGGATCAGGACAAAGGTGGTATCTGGATTGGCTTCCACGTAGGGTTTCAAATCGAACCAATGCATGTGTTTCGTCGTCTTGGCCCGCTCTATGCTTCCTTCGTCAATGAACGAACACTCGACGACAACTAGTTTGTGGTGGAATATCTCTGGATGCCTTTCAAAGACAGCGTGTGTTGTATCCCCCATGAAACATAGGAAAGGTTCCTCTTTGATTTCGTTTACTTCGACACCATTTTTACGCAGGTTCCCTATTTCTTTTCCTGGCAATCCAACATATTCTTTCTTGAGAGCCTTTTGTAATTTAAAGATACTGTAGCCTATGCAAGGCACTCGGTGCTCCATCTTGAGGATATGGACAATGAACTGGTTGCCCCCCTGTGAAAATTCTATTTGTTCTCCAGATTTTGTCGGCTGTAACGTGTAATCTTCTTCGTATTTCCCTCCATTCTGACTTTCGTCTTCTGACATGCAGTCACTCATGGCTTGATGTGCCCGAAAGAATCCTTGGACATGGGGTGACAATTCTTCTGGCAAGTGAATAGGTGGCGGGTTATTGGCATTTTTCATGTGCGGCAAAAAATGAACGTGATCGCTGTGGCCGTGAGTGATGAATATTCGTCTGGGTTTCCATCCTTGAACGAGAGCCCCACAATCGAACATCCACTGCATTAGTAGGCAGGTAGAGAAGAAGATCAAGTGAGAGGATTGTCGTTTCAGTTCATTCGAACATCTGCCGGGCAAACGCGCTATGACAGGAGTTCTTCATGTGCGTCGTTTCCGAGACTGAATGACTGATTCATTCATTCATTCATTTTTATTCATTCCAATAACCATCATGATTGATGTTCTTACTTTTAATTCTGGAATTCCAAAGGAGGTTCCATCACCAGCGCGGCTTCGGCCCACCAGCGTAAACTTTTGTCCCTTGCTCACGTCGAGCGGTATCGCCGTGCTTTTGGCAAGATTCATTGCTTCTGTTGGATTGACTCTTATGCAAAGTATAGTATAGAGTAGCTGTAGTAATGTTGTTGTTGCAGCAATAATACGAAGCATGCATATATTTATGAGATAAGGATACTACAAGGATACAGAATGATCCAAACGTGTGTAAAGAGATGAGGCCTTTGTAGATGATCATGGGCGTGGTGAACAGCCTGAAACGTGCATCGATGCTGTCGGTTGGCTCACCCTCATCACTCGGGACTCGACTGGATTCGTTTTCCTCGCTCGAAATTTCGACACAAAAATGATCGGTCACTATCGGATGTCAAACCAGGTGTTTTTTATATTTCACCTGATACATCCATCTACAGTACTATCGTATGATGGTAACTATAGTAGGTACACAACGGCTGTCAAAAACAAAAGAAAAACAAATAACCGCACTGCTACTACTACTACTTTAGGACTAGCGGTACTATAGAACCTCGCAACAATTTTTCTTTCCCGCGTCTATTTTCCCTTGACATGCGGCGTCTCCACAATTGAGACGAGTAGTTGAGATTCTTCTTTTTTCGAACGTCAGATATCCAGCACTTAGCCATGAACTTAGGCGCAACGGATGGAGATCATCTTGATTGGAGTAGTGGGGTTATCGTTGCGTGTTGGGACCTGTTGGGTGTGCCGAAGCGAAATAAAATTGTGAGAAACTATTATAAGATAAAGATTCGTTCCAATTCAATCCAACTGTCATAAATTCAATCAATCCAATTTCTTTCTTCTTACCTGACTGATTTGCTTCACCAAGTCCAAACCATCAACGACCTTTCCAAAGACAGGGTGGGCAGATGGAGTGCTCTTGTCAAACCAATCCAAGAAGGAGTTGTGGTTGACATTGATAAAGAACTGAGAACCTCCAGATTCGGGTCTTCCAGTGTTGGCCATGGATAGAGTTCCGACATCGTTGGTGATGCGTTGGTGACTTTGACCAACCTCATCGGGGATGTTACCTCCCGAGTTACGGGTGATGGTCTTTCCGTCACAAGATTGGAAGGAGGTTCCACCTTCAGGTCCTCCTGTTCCCGCACGGCTCGAGTTGGGGTCCTTGGCGTGAGGGCATCCGAACTGGTTCATAAAGTTGGGAATGACACGATGGAAGTGAACACCATCGTAGTATCCGCTGTTGGACAAATCGATAAAGTTACCGCTGCGCAAAAGATAAAATAATGATTGGGAGTTCGCAAATAATATAATGAATGTGGTGAGCGCCAGATGTACGAAAGATATCGTGACTCACTGAGAAAGAAAGCGAGTCAGTCAGTTGTCAATGAAAACTTACCAAGTGATGGGCATTTGTTCAGTGTACAATTCAGCCTTGAAGGTACCCATGGTAGTGGTGAAGGTAGCGATAGTCATGATGGATGTTTAGTAGTCGTTGTTCTGGTGGTGACAAAAGTGTGCTGATGAACCGTGATCATGTTGATGATCTTGGACGATGACTGACCTTAATTAACGGCTATGAAAAGATCGCTGTAGAATTTCGTACCACGTGTACTGCCGACGGCCAGATGGCGACTGGATCTGACAAAGTTGCAAAATCGGATCTTCTACGAGATTTCAGTACCGCGTTTCTGCGAGGTCTTTTTCGGTATTCGGAGCACCTGCCTACCGGTACCGGTATGCCTTACGTGAAGTTGACAGCGTCGATTTACAAGACTCTTGACAAGACGTTAGGGCAATCTGAAATCACGAAAGAAAAAAAAAAGATATTGGAATCGTTATTGTGACTTGCAACGCTGCGCTTGAGAGATTGCCGATTCATTCAACATCCTGCAACTGATAATAACAAGTCAACAACTATTTAGTAACAATAGAATACAAACATGGCAGAACCAATGATAGGAGATGTGGAACAAGGCGGAGGAGCCCTCGAGGCTGCCGGAGTGCACTTGCCACCCGAACCCGAAATGAAGGGTGGCCTTCTCAAGCCAGTTCCGGAGACTACTTTTGTAGAACGCATATTCATGGGAATTGCCGCAATTGCCATTGCCACTGCCTTGGCTGCCATGGTTGTTGAGGGAAACATCATTGTAATTGTCGCTGGTGTTCTTTCCATCTTGATGGGACCGTATGCCTACTACCAACAAACCAAATTGACTGACATTCGAACCCTCAAGGAGACAGCAGAGAAAGTCAAGGTGGAAGTGGATCGTCTCAAGAATGAAAACAACAGATTGAGCAATAATATTGACGAATTGGGAAGCACAATTGATGATTTGAAAGAAGTGGAGAATGCCTTGACAGTTATTACCAGCACTCAAGGAGCTTCAGTTTCTGCTTTTGAAAAGCAAGTAGAGGAGAACAAGGAGATTCTAAGCAACATGAAGAAGAGTACCCAGGGGCGTATCATTCAAAACTTGATTTCCATTTTGTATCGCGGAGATGAAGATGCTGATGACTTGATTGATGCGGGAGAGGTGGATAAGGTTATGGCCGGTATTGAAAAGATTTCCGGAGTGGATGTCCGAGAGGATAAGCTGCGAGAGGCCCTTACTGGAAAGTCTATTGATTCCGTCATTGAAATCGTCAAGAATCTTACCGATGATAATATCACGGATGACGAGAGAATTTTCTTGGTCAAAGAATAAAGAGAAGATGAAGACTAAGACTGTGATGTTATCAGATCTTTTCAAACAACTTTTAATAGTAGAGTGAACGTGTTGTAGTTTCAGCTAGAGTAGTTTTAAGGTATACATACGTACAATGCTGTTCTATTGTTACTGCGGAGACACAAAGACTCGTCGCCGCCTGGAATTTCCTGTTCCCGCTTGCAGCAAAAATCGTCGTTGCCCCAAAATGTCCAACCCAATCAAGGCGGCAGGTCCTTGGTAAGGAGTACGTCCATCTCCTAAAGCACTAGCAAAGGCTGGAACGTCTCCCACTGCCAGTTGCACTTTATCCCAGGGCTGCCATTCAGATGGTGGACGATCAAAACCAGTAGTCACACCAGATGCCTTGTCCACTTGTGCATTTCCAGCAAAATCAAGTTGCTTGGAGACTATCGGCAACTGGAGGGGACGACCGTCCACTCCAATGGCAGTCACTTTGGGTGCCTTTTGGTAGATTGCGTCACTCTTTGCAGGTAGACCCAAGGCTGCAGCAGCCTTCCAATTGACACAAGAAAAGGTGGATCCACAGTCCAAGAATCCAAGAATTGGTTGTTGTTGTTGTTGTTGTTGTTGTTGTTGCTGATTCGTTCCAGTAGTACTACTGGTAGTAGTAACTCGGATTCCGATCAAACCAGTTTCGTTAATCACAATGGCAGGGATTTCCACCAAACCGGTGGTTGGTGCAGTACCTGGCTTGTAAAATCGAATCCGGTTGTTGGGAAAGTCAAAATCAACATCAAATTGGCTCAGTAGTTCCATTCCCAACATTCCTTCCACTGGATCATGCGCTGGATCGATATGTTCTTGTGGAAAGTCCACAATCAATGCGTGTAGCTTCGGAAGTACCAAGTCACTGTCCAGTAAGGTCATTCCATCCAAATCCACCAGACTTTGGACCGAGCTGCCTCCAGCTCCATAGCCAGTCATTTTTCGGTTGCTCTTGCTGGTTCGACCAATGCCCATGGTTTGTTGCAAATGGGGAGTAATCAATTCGGTGGTCAATCCTGAATCCACCATGAAATCGAAAGGACCCATTCCTTGAATATTAACTTTGACTGCCACATAGTCCTTTCCGAGTCCACCTTTGGGGAGTTTCAGTCGGATCATGGGTAAGTCGGCTTGGAGGTTCTGATTGTTGTTGTTGTTGTTGGATTTTGTAGTGGTGGTGGTAGTAACAGCAGCGGCAGCAGCAGCATGGACATTGTTGGGAGAAAGTTGGCTGCCAGCAATGACAGCGGCACCCGTCGAAACATTATCCAAGACTTGACGTCGAGATAAGCTGTAGAGATGTGAACCAGGTTCTTGTTTGGTTGTCGATAATGTCGTTGTTTTGAGTGCTCCTCCTGGAGGCGTGAAACCAGTGACTAGTTGACTGTAGGCTGCAGTCAAAAGAAAAGAGAGGAGCAGGTGGGATGTAGTCCTCATTGCGTAATATTTTGTGATGATGATTGTATTATGGACATGATGTTATTGTTGTTGTCACACGATTGAGGAAAGGAGCGTTAAAACGACGAGAACAAGAAGGTGATGAGGTTGTCAACATCATTATTTTGCGAACCGAAAATGTAGTCGTACGGGTCGTAGTATTTGGCGCGAACGAAAGAGCTGCGCAGTCGCGGTACCGGTACACGTGTACCGTACGATACTGTAAATCGCATTGCTTTCATAATCCTGAAAAATTGTTGTATCCACATAGTCTGTGATCAGATCCGTCACGCAAATTCCACTACTGTACGACCCTGCTGTCCTAATTGACAGCATCCCATTCGATATACGGAAACAGCTGAGAAGTGCACAAAAGATGCCTAAGAAGGGCTTCAATCTGAATTGGTCCTACACCACGAATTGTCGCTCAGACCCATCACCCGAACCAAATGTTTCCACATTCATGGGGAGGAGCATGACCGGACCTTTTGAAGACGAAGTAGTGCCGGGTTTTCGGCCAGATAGAGCTCCCATGTACAAGTCAGCTCTAGGTATAATGAGAAAACATGGATATAGGTGCCATCTTGCTCCCGGACGGCCGGGAAAATCAATATTTACTCACAAGAATTGTATGCTAAATTTCTATTTCCCGGCCGTTCCCGGAAGGATGGAAATCTGATTCTATTTTGGGTCCTAATTCGGAACCGAAGGAGGATCCCGAAGAAGAAGAAATTCGTTATCTTGACGAAACCCACAATACGATTGAGGTCTTGGATAAAACATCAGATACTGTTGTTTTTGAGATGAATGATATCTGGGGATGGATCTACATTAGGTGCAACACAAAAGAGGCACAGAAATTTGTGAAAGAACATGTTGAGTCGTCTTTTGATTACGAATTCGGATTGGTCCATCACGAAGAGAAGCGAAGGCAAGTGGATTCCTCGCGTGGGACTAGCCTGATAAGGCGCACTGGTGCTGGCACCGGCACCGGCCCCAATGATGGGCCTTATGCGGTTGCTACCCTTTTTGAGTTGCAAAATGGGTCAGGCGAAACTATTGCAAAAGCCCTTTGTGCTTATTGCAACTTGAATTTGGAAAATCCCGGCCCTACAATTGAATTGTTTGAGGTTGCCGGAGGGTTCCGACGCAAAGGATATGGAAAGCTTTTGCTCAAACACATCACCGATTACTTTGAAGAAACCTTTTGTGATGACATGTGCAAGTTTGACGGCAATGTCCGTTTCAATGTGTGCTACTGCACAAGTAGTCATGCAGCTAATTGGTTTATGCGCCAAGGATTCAGGCAATGGGATGAATTTGGCGAGGAATTTGGGAAATACTTGGCTTTTGATTGAATGCATTTGGCAGGCATCTCGCTAGGGTTGACCCCATCATTGTACATCTAGACGCGAGGAGGAGCAAAGTCATCTCCTCATCTCTCTCATCTATCTGTTTAAATCGTGCTATGTGCTAGGTGATGCACTGGAATGGCAGACGTTGGGATTGACGACCACCACTCCTACATGTCAGGGTTGTTCTAGCTGGAGAGAAAGTTGATTGTAGATAAATTTAAAACGGGAATCAAGGAACAAGCAGGGTTTCGTTTTCTCGGCATCGTAATTCATGACGATGATTCTATTTGCTGACATGATGTTGCTCTTGTCACACGGTTGGGGAAAGAATAAAGAGAAGGAGGGTGTGGTAGTGGTCTAATGGGTCGAGCCATTCCGCGCCAAAACACATACTTTCACACGCATACGGTATCAATAAAAATGATGAAAGAAATTATGCTGAACAACCGCCGTCCCGCCGGCATTCATTTGGCGCCAAATCCACACGGCATCTATAGTCTCCGTCTTACAAATTCCACTACCGCCATTGCGACCCTGCCGTCCTAACCGACAGTATCCCATTCGATTTACGGAAACAGTTGAGAGTTGAGAAACACAAAAATATGCCTAGTCTGAATTGGTCTCATGCCGAGAACTGCAGCTCAGACCCACAGCCAGAAACGGGTGTTTGCACATTCATGGGGACGCTCAAAACCGGTCTTCCTGGAGAAGATAAGAGCACTAGTGAAGCTAGAGTTGCAAGGATCAAGACAGCTCTGGACATGATGAGAAAACACGGATACAGGTGCCAACTTCCTCCGAAAGGATGGACATCTGTATTGCTGAATTCGGAGCCGAAGAAGGATCCCAAAGAAGAAGAAATTCGTTTTCTTGAAGAAAACTGCAGACCGATTGAGGTCTTGGACAAAGCATCAGATGCAGTAGTCTTTGTCGTGGCTCATAACGTTGGATGGGTCTACATTAGGTGCAACACACAAGAGGCAGAGGAATTCGTGGACGATTACCTTTGGGCATTGAAGCATTACGAATTCGGCTTGGTCCGGCACGAAGAGAAACGAAGGCTGGTGAATTCGTCACGTGGGATCAGTCTTGTAAGTTGCACTGGTGGCACCGGCAGCAGTGTCGGTACCCTTTTTGAGTTGCAAGATGGGTCAGGCAAAACCATTGCAAAGGCCCTCTGTGCCTATCGTAACGCGGAAATGGGAAATCCGGGCCCTACCATTGAATTATTTGAAGTCTTCCGAGGATTCCGACGTAAAGGATTTGGAAAACTTTTGCTTGAACATGTAACGGAATTCTTTGAACTCATATTTTGTGATGAGCAAGACTTTGCTGAACCAGTCAATTTCAATGTGTGCAACTGCACCAATAGTCACGCAGCGATGTGGTTTATGCGTCAAGGATTTCAAAATTGGGATGGTATGGGCGAGGAGCTTGGGAAGTACTTAGGTTATTAGGTATTGACATCTTCTAGCCAGTGGTGGCTAGCTACTCACCACTTTCAACTAACACAGTTCACAAAGTAAAGTTCTGAAATAGTCCCTTTATGCCAATCGATCACGAGTGTGCGACACGCGACTGCATTTGATACGATCGCCCGTGTATGATCGCCCAAAAACTCGAACGTTGAACAAAAACTACGATAGATTGCATTGCCTGGTTGTAATACCAAGTAAAGTAAACAAGACCTTGAGCAAACGCCTCCAATCATGAAGGCAGATAAAATCCATGCTCAATCTCCGTCTGATAATGGTGAACAAGATGGAAAAGAACTATTGTCACCGGGGGATTCTTTAGAGAACGAGAAAGTTGACGAAACTCCGTATTTGATTGGCGAACATAATGGCAAACCTCAAAATTCTGATGAAGGCGGTTCCCAGACGCAACCATTGGATTCCACGTCCTCAACAATAGCAGAGCCTATCAACTCCAAAACATACGACGACTATTCTTGGAGGCGGCTTCCTTTGGAAATCCAGGAAGCTGCGATACGTTTGGGTTACACAAAAGAAATGTGGAATGAAGACCTAGAGCCAGAGTCGTCCAACAAGGATTGGGAGGAGCTCGATCCAGAAGAACAAGAGGCTGCCAAAGCCTTGGGATACGACAAAACAACCTGGAACTCGGAAGATGAGGAAAAGACACCGAAAGACTATGATCCGTTGTCCTGGAAAGAGCTTCCGAAACAGATTCAGGAAGCCTATGGCGTTCTCGGTTATGACAACGAACTATGGAATCGGGACAGGTCACATGCTACACTTGAAAAAGACTGGGATGAACTGACGGAAGAAGAGCAAAAGGCAGCAACAACGATAGGGTACACGGCGGAATTATGGAATGAAGATTCTGGCGAAAAGGATCGAGATGTGGAGTCTTCTCAAATTGAACGAGCTCCTTTGGTGGAAGAGCCAGCCAACGCGAAAAAGTATAGAGATTGTTCCTGGGACGAGCTTCCTAGCGAAGCCCGAGATGCAGCAGAGCTCCTTGGATACACCAAAGCAGGTTGGAACGAAAACAAGGAACCAGATGTGACGAACGAGTATTGGGAGGAGCTAAAGTCAGAACACAAAGAGGCCGCTGAAATTCTGGGATACAACGAAACACTATGGAACTTTGGCGATAAAGAGGTGAGCCCCGGAGACTATGACGATATGTTTTGGAATCAGCTTCCGAAAAAGATCCAGCAAGCCTACCAATTGCTCGGTTATAACGACGACCTATGGGATCGGGACGAGTCGCCGGCTGCCATTGACAAAGACTGGGACGATCTGACGGAAGAAGAGAGAAATGGAGCTATGGTAGTGGGTTATACAGAAACGACATGGGATGACGACGATTCGGACGACGAAGATGATGTCGCTGGACATCAAAATGAACTCATTGGCATTCGTGGAGAAGTTGCTGAGTTCTTGAAGGGTTCGTCATATATTCTGCTGGATTGTATGTCCATGTCGGCTTTCTTTGGTGTTATTGAATCGATCTTCTTGATTGGGAAATTATTTCTAAGCGACCACGCAGTCAACGCCATAAAGATTTTGTTTGGACTGTCTATAATGCAATTCAGTGGCCAATTGCGCAAGTGGCTTGGAGCTGAAAAACAAACCAAGAAAGCACGGTCACGCAAAAAGCGAGAAGAGACAACTCTGTTCCGTTCGTTCTTGAATGTGTTCTCGTGGTGGACAACATTTGCTGGTGTTAGCCACTTTTTTAATGCGTTTAAAAAGGACTACCTGTATAAGCAAGCGGAAGAGTGGTTCCAGAATTTCTATGAATTGGCGGAAGAAGCGTTTGAAGCGGAATTGACGAGTGGAACAGCAACAGGAAACATAACATGCTCCTATGTCGAAAACTTCGATTTCAACCAAACAATAGGAGGCTATATCATTGGAAAAGCCTGTGCACTATCAGATAGCAAGTGGGAGTCGATTGGTCATTTCTACTGCTGCCTCGTGTTTATTGCCTCGGCATTGCCGTTGTGGTTTCTTTTTGGAGACAACTTCTTGAAGGGTTGCGATGTTTGATACACTGATGTCGTACTACTGCGGGCGGTCCTACCTAGAGTGACTATGGTTTCCGAGTTGAGTTACCAAGATGTGTGTTTGTTTCATAAATACAAATGATAGAAGAATACAGAGTTACAGGATCTGTTTTATGTAAAACGTAGACTTTTGATACACACTACAGACGGTCGGAGACCTCATGGCCTTCATTGGCCCTCTATGACGATAAATAGGCACTGCAAATGGTCGAATTGATACGTCTATCGACAAACCAATTCATTTTTCTCTCCATCACCCACCCTGTTGGGCACCATCGCCTTTCTAGTCGGCGATGGTACCTACACTATGCTCTTGATGGTACCCATTAGGCAACCATCTCAGAAATCCCGTTTGCGGGATTCCTGAGATCGAGCTTCCGGGACCAGCTTCACACAATAGTCCGCCATCTAGACTTTGTGCAAAACGAAAACTAAGCAAGCGGAAGGCCCTTGCAGGCTATGTCAAGAGAGAATACTTACAGGTGAAGTTCTTGCACCTCCGACGATACAGTATGGTTTTAAGTTGATTTGGTCCTTCTTTAGCCTTGACTGAACTCATCTTTTGATCATGAACGCGAAATGATGGCGTTTCGAACACTTCCGATCGAGATGCAGGAGCCCCTCTCGGCGGAGATGAGCGCTTAAAAAATAAATACCCAACACATCTTCATGACTCCCCAACAATCCTTTCGCAAGACAAGCATGTCTACCATGCTTCAACAACAATGATCAAGCAAAAGACAACAACATTCCAAATCAATTTCAAATGCCTGCGAAGAATAGGAGTAACAACGATGACATCACCAGCAAGGCTGAAATAAAACAAAATGAAGCGCTCCTCGCTTCAGAGATGACTCGCTTCTACTAAAATAGGTACCTGGTAGTGGATGTTCTAGAAGAAACAGGAGGTTGATACACGCGTTGATGGGCCGTTTTTATTTTGCAGCATTGCACAAAAATCCAAAATAAGTTGAGACTATATATGCATCTGTAGATTGTCAGGTCAACTTTGTATCAAACATATATGTTATGAATACCTCTTCCCGAGCAACTGCATGTGATCGCCTCCTTTTCCAGTCAGCAGGTTCCTCAGACAGCGCCTGTCCGCCCAATTGAGCGATTTCTCCTCTTCTTTCAAGGTCCCTTCGCAGTAGGAGCTATCGATTTTCAATGGAAAGATCTTTCCATAGTCGTCAGAACCAAGACAAGCGGAAGGCGCCAGTTGGCTATCTGAGATAGAATGGTGCATGATGAAGTTCATGCAACTCCTCCGAAGGCTTCGAGGAGAATACTGTGTTTGTTAGAGCTGATTTGCCTTGCTTGTTGTCTTGATGGCGTTTCGAACACGGCCTATCGAACCCTGTGTTGGAAGAGCGTTTGTCACAGAGCAAATACACCACACGTACCATAGAATAATAAGCCAACGTGGATGGTGACGGGAAAACCGATTTGATGTACATACCGTAAATTCAAAATACTTTACTGGGATACCAGTCAGGTTCGAAGTAAAATTCCCGAAAATTTAAAAAGTACGAAAACCGAAAACCGAAGCCTCACGGCGGCGGATGAGCGCTCATATGTATTATGAGAGAAAATGCGAGAAAAAAACTTTTTCTCTTTGATACGAAAAAGTGGTCCACAACGTGATGGCGTTTCGAATACTTCCGATCGAGCCCTTCGGTGTGCACGGTACCAGTACTCGTACCAGCTAAAGCGTCTTTATCAGAGCAAACAAGAGAATTATTCCACGCTATTTTTTAAGTAAACCGCGAAGCATCAGCGAATGAGCGCCCGTTCAAACAGTCATACGGTACTGTGATTCTAAAAATACCTCCCTTTAGAAAAAGTCCGTCTGTGACTCCAACCATTTCAATAGCCCGTTTTGTGACTCCTCTAACAGATACCGTATAAAATACTTCTTTCGAAGTCCGTTGTGACTCCACCACAATTCAACAGGACGTAGCTCGTTTTCTGGCTTCTCTCACATAAACACAACAGTATTAAGTTCATCATCGCGACTCTAGCCTCATCGATGGGTGATGGCATCCTCTCTCTTTAACAGTGGTCCTTTCGCACGACAAGCATGTCTACCATGCTTCAACAACGATGACGATCAAGCACCAAAAGACAAGAACACTCCAAATCACTTTCACATGCCAGGGAATAATAGTAGCAACAACGATGACATCACTAGCAAGGCTGCAATGAAACAAACTGAAGCGCTCCTCGCTTCAGAGATGAGCCAACTCTCGGTGGAGGAGCGGTCTAAGGCATTGGATGACCTACATTGTGTAGGAGAAGAACTCCAAGAGACGCCTGAAATGATTCAGAAATTGCTTGCGGAATTTGAAATGGCAGTTCAGAAGGAACGAAATCCAATCTATGAGATGGCCATCAATCAAAATAGAACATATGTGGAGGATCCTACGTTTCGTCTGAGGTTCTTGAGAGCCAAGCTGTATAATGTTCATGAAGCTGTTCGGAAGATGATGAGTCTCCTCGAGTGCAAAGCGAAATACTTCGGTGATGACAAGGTTGCTCGTGATATAACATTGGATGATCTGAGTGAGGAGGACAAGCAGCTGATGCTATCAGGAGTATTTCACATCCAAGATGGGAGAGATCGAAATGGGAGACTTATCGTACATTTTTTCGGCAAACTGCTCAGTCGATGTAAAGCTGATGTTATGGTACGTATTTACCCGTTTTTTCCAATTTCGAGAGTCTGAAAGGTCTGCTTCCTGAACAACCAAATGCTTCAATATTCAGATTCGTTTTAGCTACTATTTTTTTGTCAACATATTGTCCTCCATTCCGGATGTACAAAGGAAGGGAATTGTTGCAGTCTATAACGATGCTACATTACCCGGGGAAACCTTTACGATGCCTGGATTCAACTTCATTAGAGAAAGCCAAGGATTCTTTGACTCGGTGCCTACTCGATATTCTGGAATCCACTATTGTCTACAGGCCAAATCACATCATCTTGCCCTGAACAACGCCCTTGTCAGTCTGTTCCTGAATGGAGTGCCTCAACATGCTCGCGTGAGAACTCGAATACATTATGGGTCTATCATGGAGCTCCAGTACCAACTCCAAAGCTTTGGTATTCCCTTGTCCACGATACCGTTTGGAGAAGAAGGTAACATTCGTAATGATATTCTGAATGTCTGGATCGACAGGCATCTCGAAGAGACCAATCAAAGGATTCGCTTCTATCGACCCGACGCCACTCGGGGCTGGTCTCAAGACATGGAGATAGAAAGCGAGCGTTCGAAGCAGCCGCAGCATGGGCACTGTGATAAGAATGAAGATGATGCAATAGAGGCTTTAGGGATGGAAGTCCACGACTCGATGTGGGCATCATCAACTGAAGTGGGTCCAGATGATGCTGTGCCGATGAATCGTACCACAGGGCCAATAGAACCGACCGAGATGGATGTTTTGTTTGGAAAAGGGTATCGGCTACAGTTGCATCCTGGCAATGTCCGTTTTCGAGAGTTCCTAGAGCAGCGTCGAGGCGAATATGAGGGTACTCCGCGACAGAACAGACGAGATATTGCAATCAAGTTCGCGCAAATGCTTCGGAACAACGGTGTTCGATTTCTCCAGAAAGCCGGATCTGAAGAATGGGTAGAGAGCGATAGTGCACAAGCAGAGACGAAGGTTGCTCAGTTCTTTCGAGAGCTGCGAAAAAAAAGGTCAAAAGGAGGCCGATGAATATGTCATAATATCCCTTCTTCACTACAACAAAATGATCCAGGTATGACATGCCGGCCGGTAGGGAACGGGAACACGCCAGCACCATAGGTTCTTTTCACTTTGTATACTAATAAACAAAGTTTCTTCATACCTGTCCTCTCGCCAAGATACCATTCTTGTTGCCACGAACGCGGCGCCACTTCATCTGAAACTGAAAAAACATCAATTTTCTATTAGTTCTATTTGCGTCCTGGCGTGCGCATGCGCTGTACAGTACCGGTGCCACTGTGCATGGAAACTTTGGAGACAATACAAGGTCCTGTGCTTGAACCGGATGATGTAACCTTGCCTTGAGAATCGCACGCGTATGCTACCATGAAAACTGTGACATATGCTACATGCGACATATTCAATATGCGAAGCAATTAGGTTTGGCACAGTAGCAAGGTACTAACTTAGGGACTGGTTTGCACTGACATCGAATCATAGGATTCGAAGAAAGGACAATCAAGAGGGATTGACGACAAACCCGGACAAAATAGGGTAACGAGCAATGGTGCAAATGAGAGAAAACAGGGTGGTGAGAGCGGGAAAAAGGCAAAAGCTGTCAGTCTTGACCGTGCAGCTATGCCCCTTCTAGCGTCTTCATCATCTCGCAGGCTCCCATTGCGAACAAAGTCATGTCTCCAACCTTCCGTCCTCTTCAGCACGACGCTCTTCACTCCATACCTGGTACGCCAATCGTACCAGGAACTTCACGCAAGAATACTCTTGCTTCACTAACTGAATCTGCGCAACTGAATCGACTCATCGGAATAGAGAATGAGACTCTACTAGGCGGACCAATTTGAATGCGTCTCGCCGATCAATTCTCGAACGGACAGATTTCGGACCTGCCTGCGTTTCATGCGTGCGTCCAATCAAGTTGAAAGTCCGATCAGTTCATCGAACTTGGGTGCGAGTATACATCACTAAGGATATTTCTTTCTTTCCTTCCTTCCCACCGCATTCCTGTTAGGCCTTGCATGGATGAACTTCATCTTTACAAGACCCACAGTAGTAGGCAAGCAGGTCTCTGATTTCCCGCAATTTGTGGGAAATCAGGGACTGGTCCTTTGGGTCGAACGATTATCGCAATCCAAAGACCACAAACAACGGGACGGCCGGGAAAATCAATATTTACTCTCAAGAATTGTATGCTAAATTTCTATATCCCGGCCGTTCCTGCTGGAGTCAGTCAATCTGAAAACCCGCTTATTGGCCAGACAGGAAACCCCGAGAATTGTCAGAATCTCTCGTAATAAGTAAACCGAAGCCTCCTCGACTGATGAAAATGCTCCCAAAAGTCTTCCTTTCCGAAGCTTATAAAATATATAGCACCACGCCGCATTTTATATTACACGTACATTTTGGTAATTGCTCGTTATCAATGGCCCGTCTTGAGACTCCTTTCACAAATACCAAGCAGAAAAAATTCAACATCACAACTCTGCCGGAATCCTCTTCGATGGGCGATGGCATCCTCTCTCTCCAACAATCCTTTCGCAAGACGAGCACGTCTACCATGCTTCAACAACGATGATGGTCAAGCACCAAAAGACAAGAACACTCCAAATCACTTTCAAATGCCTGGGAATAGTAATATCAACGATGCCATCACCATCAAGCCTGCAATGAAAGAAACAGAAGAGCTCCTCGCTTCAGAGATGAGTCAATTGTCGGTGCAGGAGCGGTCTAAGGCAATGGACGACCTACACTGTGTAGGAGTAGAACTCCAAGAGACGACTGAAATGATTCAGAAATCGCTTGCGGAGTTTGAAGAGGCAGTTCAGAAGGAACGAAACCCAATCTATAAGATGGCCATCAATCAGAACAGAGCTTACGAGGAGGACCCTACGTTTCGTCTGAGGTTCTTGAGAGCCAAGCTATATAATGTTCGTGAAGCGGTTCGGACGATGATTAGCTTTCTCGAGTATAAAGCGAAATACTTCGGTGATGACAAGGTTGCTCGGGATATAACATTGGATGATCTGAGTGAGGAGGACAAGCAACTGATGCTATCAGGCCTGTTTCACATCCAAGATGGGAGAGATCGAAATGGGAGACTTATCGTACATTTTTTCGGCAAACTGCTCAGTCGATGTAAAGCTGATAACCTGGTAAGTTCTATATTCTTCTTCCGATTTCGAAAGACTGACAGATGTGCTTGCTAATTGACCGATTCTTCATTTTCAGATTCGCATCGGCTACTACATCATGTATAGCATATTGTCCTCCATTCCGGATGTACAAAAGAAGGGAATTGTTGCAATCTATAACGATACTACGCAACCCGGGGAAAAGTTTACAATGCCTGAATTCAACTTCATTAAAGAAAGCCAAGGATTCTTTGCTTCGGTGCCTACTCGATATTCTGGCATGCACTACTGTCTACAAGCCAAGTCACGTAATCTTATGGTGAACAACGCCCTTGTCAGTCTATTTCTGAAAGGACTGCCTCAACATGATCGCGTGAGAACTCGAATACATTATGGGTCCATCATGGAGCTTCGTTACCAGCTCCAAAGTTTTGGTATTCCCTTGTCCACGATACCGTTTGGAGTACAAGGTAACATTCGTAATGACATTCTGAATGTCTGGCTCGACAGGCATCTCGAAGAGACCAATCAAAGGATTCGCTTCTACCAACCCGACGCCGCTTGGGGCTGGTCTCAAGACATGGAGATAGAAAGCAAGCGTTCGAAGCAGCCGCAGCATGGGCACTGTGATAAGAATGAAGATGATGCAATAGAGGCTTTAGGGATGGAAGTCCACGACTCGATGTGGGCATCATCAACTGAAGTGGGTCCAGATGATGCTGTGCCGATGAATCGTACCACAGGGCCAATAGAACCGACCGAGATGGATGTTTTGTTTGGAAAAGGGTATCGGCTACAGTTGCATCCTGGCAATGTCCGTTTTCGAGAGTTCCTAGAGCAGCGTCGAGGCGAATATGAGGGTACTCCGCGACAGAACAGACGAGATATTGCAATCAAGTTCGCGCAAATGCTTCGGAACAACGGTGTTCGATTTCTCCAGAAAGCCGGATCTGAAGAATGGGTAGAGAGCGATAGTGCACAAGCAGAGACGAAGGTTGCTCAGTTCTTTCGAGAGCTGCGAAAGAAAAGGTCAAAATAAGCGGAAGACTGATGACCAGAATATTCCACGCACGCTTGTAGTAGTATAATAAGTTGTTGTGAATATGTATACTAAACAGAGTTTCTTCATGCATGTCCCGCGATATTATACCGGTTTTGGTAGCTAGGTTCACTCTACAGATAATAGAGACTATAGAAGTACGTTTAAATGCAATCGTTCAGAACAAGTTCGAATATTTCATTCATGTTAGAAGAATCAATCTCATTGTCCATGGTCAAATAAAAATCTGAGATCGAGGGAAAATATTGCAGCATGATCCCCTTGGCAGAGACGAATTACAGCATGATAAGCGATGATGAATTGACAAGAAAAGGTTGTGGTGGAGAGCAGGAGGTATTGGCTTGCTCCATCTGTTCAAACGATTTGAACGAAGTCCCATTCAACTCGTCGAGTTGCGACAGTGGCATTGGCACTTCTACTGTATCCCAACCGCAATTGATTCCTTTAGATAATAAAGAATCAAACGCCGAGTTGAGCGGCCTTTCGCCTCCTTCTCTACAAGAAGCAAACGATAGAAAGAAATATGAGGACATTGCTTGGACGGAGCTTCCAAGTGAGATTAGGGAAGCAGCAAGCCGCCTTGGATATACCGAGGACATGTGGGATGAGAGCAAAGAGCCTAAGATATCCACAAAGTACTGGGCAGAGCTTGATTCCAAAGAGAAAGAGGCTGCCACAGTTCTGGGATATGATGAAACGCAATGGAATTTTGGGAACAAAAAAGTGACACCTGGGGAGTACGATGACATGGATTGGAATCAGCTTCCAAAAAACATTCGGAAGGCCTATAGAGTTTTTGGCTACAGCAAGAAAATATGGAATGACGATGATGCGCCTGCTTCGTTTGACAAAGACTGGCACGAGCTGACAGAAGCCGAGCAAAGAGCCGCGACTATAATTGGTTACTGCGAAGACACATGGGATGAAGACCCCGAAGATGAGCAACCCAGAAGCATTGAGGAAGAATCCATCGATTTCCTGAGGGGAGCTAGCTACATTTTGCTAGAATGCATCTCGACGGCAGCCTTTTCTGGATGTATCGAGATGATTTTCTCTGTTGGGAAACGAATTCTCGAAAAGAATGCTCTCAATGCTTTGAAGATCGTCATTGGACTTGCCATTATGCAGTTCAGTGGTCAGACGCACAGGTGGTTGAAGGGGGAAGAAGAAACAATGACGCTAGGAAAAAATGGGGGGGGAATCAAGCACGATACACTTTCCCGTTCATTCCTGAATTTGTTCTCGTGGTGGACGATATTTGCGGGGGTGGAACATTTCGTAGGTGCTTTCGAAGATGACCTGCTCTACAAGTATGCCGATACACAATGGTATTTGAACTTGTGCGAGTTGGAAAAAAAAGTCAACAATACGTGTGAAGAGGTCCTATGGAATGTGACAGCAACGGAGAACATGGCCTGTTTAACCGTTCCTCAAGAACCGGCGAATTACATCAAATACATCAACATGGTTGAAGATTATCTCGTTGATACCGTCTGTGGACTCTTGGATGATGAAAAAGAGGTGATGGGGCAGTTATACTACTGGGCTCTTTATATTTGTTCAGCCATTTCAATGTGGTACGTGTTTGATGACAACTTCTTGCGTGGTTGTGATACTGATTGAGGAAATAGAGCAAGAGGATAAGTGCGGGATGGTTACAGTATCTAAAAAGTTAAAGTAGTTTCAAGTTATTGAATACTGTTTGGAGTTCTGTGATGACCTATGAGTCTGGACTCACTTTCAACACGAACGAATCGTTGTGCGTTTTGACAAACGGAGCCCATCCTCCTGAAAGCAAGAAGCATTGGCCATTTTCAACTTCCGGAAGGTCCACCGGCATCAATGTGGCTGCGTTTCTCCCGGGAGGAATTGTAGCACTCTCTGAAACATCAAGTTTTGACCAGCTCACGCTTCCTTTGTCGGCATCAGTCTTCATCAACCATAAATCGTTCAAACCTTCCAGCCCCATTGTTGCCGACGGTGTAGCTCCTCCAAACACGATACAGGTTGCATCGTCCAAAGCGCATATACAAGGAGATGCCCGAGACACTGGTGTAGAAGATGCAACTGAATCAAGTTTCTTCCAAGTCCACGAGTTGAGGTTCAATACAAAGACTTCATTAGACATGGTTTGATCATGTGCTGCTCCAGCAAAGACAACGATATTGTCGTCGCCTAGTTTGCACGCTGCATGGAGACCTCTTGGAGACGGACCAGTTCCTTTTGTGGCCTGCCGATGTAATAAATAATCGTTTGCTTTCGATCCCTTTTGAAAGAGTAGTACATGATCCGTGCATCGATGATTATGTAAAAGAATAGAGTCATCTGAAATCGACACGGCTACGTGACGACTAGTAGTTTCCTCGAGTGAAGTACTGGCAAGAGTTGGGCCCATCCAACCACCCTTGGAAGCACTGTACTCGGTAATAGAATCGAGTATAACACCTCCTGTGCCTGGTGTTTGTGGGTCCCAACCACCAAAAATAAAGGCTGAATCATCTAGAGTTGCTGCTGCTGCCGCCAAACGTTGTTGAGGGGCCACAGTGCTTTCGTTGCACTCGTCGCAGTCATCAACGTGCAAGTCAGCATCTTCCACAAGGTTCCATGTCGTTTCAGCTGGGTCAAATTTCCACAGGTCGTTTGTGGGGTATCGTACAACTTCTCCATCATTTCGAGCCACTTCTGCGTATCCTCCAAACACATACACCTCATCCTTTATGGTAAACCCTACATGTCCTGATCGTGCTGGCTCGATATTCTGTTTAGGCTTCAATTTTATCCACTCAGCTGTCCATCCATGACAGAAAGATGAAGCTGGGTGAAACAGAAACCATATGCAGTGATGAAGTGATCTCATGTTTCATGTCTCTTTTATTGTGTTGCGGAATATTTTCAATTTATTACTGCGTGTATAGTTTCCATTCGATGTAGTCGAACGGAGCAACTTTTTCGGATGTAGTATCGTAGGTAGGTAGCTAGGTGGTCTGAGTGCTAGAGTTCCATCGAATTTTGCTGCTTTATTGTTATTGGTACACTACGGCGAGGCCTCAATTTGATACAAAGTGAATCTGAGTCCTTGCAGAATTGACTTGGATAATTTCCAATGCCTCGTATTCTTCCAGGCAAGATTGCAAGTGTTGCACGGTGAATCCTTTCCGTAGAACCATGGCCTCCGCCAATTTCAGCTCGACGAATGTACAATTGGAAGTGGTAGCATAGTCTCGAATAATGTGAAAGACTCGCGACATGATGTCTTCTCTCTTCTTTCCCTTGGAACCATCCATACTTGTACCCTCATCCTCCAAACTGGCCTTGCTCATGTGTGTCAATCGAATGGCTTCGTCCACATCTTCTCGGGCCACAAAGTCACTAAATCGAAGACGGGCCAACGACTGACTCAATCGGAGAATGGAAAGAAGCTGACGGGCCGTCATGGCAGTCTGATCTCCCGATTTCCCACCGTTCGCATTGGTGCCAAAACTTTGCGATTGCCTGGCACCACCGCGACGAGGACGATCCTGCATGCGAAGAGAAACATAGGCTTCCACGACGTAGGGAGCCACTTCTCTTGGCACTGTGGGTTCATGTCGTCGGGCCCGAGCCACATGCTCCCGCAACAAGCGAGGCGACACAGTGCCCTTGGTTTCATCATAATCGGAAGTGATAGCCTCCGCCATGCTCTCATCGCCACTATTGTCCTCGTCATCGTCATCATCGTCCTTCTTTTCTTCCAGACCTTCGTTTTGATGGACAAAGGTAACGTGTCTGGCAAGGGCCATATCCTTGTCCACATCCGGAGTATCCAAAATCAAGAACATGAGATCAAATCGACTCAGCAACGAGTTGGGCAAGTTGATATTTTCAGACAAGGACTTGCTGCGATTGTATCGCGAGTATAAAGGATTGGCTGCCGCCAAGACGGCCGTCCGAGCATTTAAAGTAGCCACGATACCTGCCTTGGCAATACTGACAGTTTGCTGTTCCATGACCTCGTGAATGGCGGTACGATCCGTCTCGTCCATTTTATCGAATTCGTCCTATGGAAAGCAAAGTAAAACAAACGAGTATGAGATTCCCGAAATCACAAGCAAATTCATTTTCAATGCATGCATGCATCCATAATCAATAACTTACAATGGCACAAATTCCTTGATCCGCCAAGACCAAGGCTCCCCCTTCCAGTGACAATTCCCCCGTCACGGTATTCTTGGTGACCGCCGCTGTCAGACCCACACCGGAAGATCCCTTTCCGGTCGTGTAGACTCCCCGTGGTGCAATGCTCGAAACGTGTTTCAAGAGCTGCGACTTGGCCACTCCCGGATCACCCATCAAGCAAATATTAATGTCCCCGCGAATCTTCATGCCATCTTCCAATTTGCGAGTCACACCCCCCGTCAATTGCAACAACAAAGCCCGCTTGATGTTTTCATGTCCAAAAATTTCGGGGGCAATGCTTGCCGCCAAAATGCCAATGGGATCTTCCGAGGTGGCCACCATTTGAATGTCCCGGTCAATTTGTTCCGATTCCGCTTCCGACAGGTGATCCAAAAGAGATTCGTCAAAAGACTTCTTGTGGAGTTCCAAATGTTGGGCTTCTAAAAAGAGCGTGGCCATCAATCCGGCATTTCGTGAACTTCGGTAGCCTCCCTCGGTAACCTTTTGTGGCAAAAAGACTCCGTCGACGGTAATGACATCCCCCGGATTGGCCAGACGGGTCAATTCTCCTCGACAATACACGCTGAGCGAACGAGGCACATGTCCCATCGGCACTTGAGAGGGCAGTTCTTGCAATTTCAATTCTTGAAACTTTGTGAATTTGGACCCCCTCGTTTGCAAATGAAGGGTATTGAATTTGGATTTCCGTCGATTTTGTTGGGCGCAATTGGGACAGTGCCGCTGGGGCATGAATTCTCGTTGGCCATTCAAAACTTGATACAATTCGGCCCCACAATCGTCGCAGGAATAGGTCGCCACTTGACAATAGGGTTTGACGTCCGTGGCCCGGACGACCATGCCGGTAATGGTCACGAGTCGTCCCAAGCTCTTGGCCCGGACGTGACGGAGACTGACACCACTTTGATTGGCAATTTGAGTTGCATGCGAATTACTCTTGGCAATGTATTGTCGAACAAAGGGAAATAGCTTTCCTTTGCGTTCCAATGGTAGAATCCTCAATTCGTACTTGCGCAACAGAATGGGTGGAAACATGGTCGTGGCTTGATCTTGATTGTTGTTGTTCGTGCCTTCCGCTTGTTCGGCAGCGACACCCCCGACTTGTAGATCAATATTTTCATTTGGATTTTGCTGTTGTTGGAGAAAGTCGTTTTGACGTGCTTGTTGTTCCATGCGTTGTTCGTGCAAGACATCCTCTGTATCTCGCAAAAAGCCATTCTGATTTCTCGCTTCCGTTTGTGACAGGGAATCCAAATAGCGATCAATGACTTGACCAAAGAGTGTTTGATACCGCATGGTATTGGCAATGGCCCGGTCCGCCAAATCGGCGCCACGGACACTGTCCCAGGCCACCAATTCCCGGAGTGGAATTTCCAAAAGAAAGGTCGCTTGATGATCGTCGTCATAGGCTCGATTCTTGATTTTTTGGAGCAGTGGTGGATAGCAGGGAACTCGTTCGACATTCAAACCTTCTTCTGCGACTGGTTCGTACAATCGGCGTGGTCTGTTATTGCCAGCGCCTCCTTCCTCGTCATTGTCGCTGTCACTGTCGTCCATCTCATCATCCTTGACCACTCGTAGAATGGTGTGTTCCTTCAAAAAGTCGGAAAATGTTTCTGATTTGGTTGAAAAGGCGAGATGGAAGAAAGAAGAAGGAAAAAGGTGGGATTGTAAGCAATGTGTTTCATTCATTCATTCATTCATTAATTGATCAATATATTACAAATATAAATGTGTATTCAGCCACAGATATACTGTCATAGTGTTTGCAAGAAATGAACGTACGCGTATCAGATTCATAGTCTGGATAAGATGTCGTCACATTGGTAATGTCACCTCCTTGCAATGTGTCCTGTGTCGCCATGATAAATTATATGATTTAATTCAATTCAATTCAATTTCAAATTCAATTCAATTCAGTGTTTGGATGGGAAATGCTGTCAATCTTCTTTGTCGAGTACTGTAATATATAAAAGTGTTATGATGAATGAAAATGGATGCAAATGGCTGTGTATGAATGGATGGCTTTGTCTGGCGGTAAGATCGACTGTTGGATCAGTGGTATATATAGAAGCGATCTCTATTGCAACAGAGTTGTGTGGGTATTGGTAGAATATGACCAATGAGATGAAGAATTGGTTTTCAAACCAAAAAAAACGCCAAGGTTGTTTGCGTTATATTTGAAGGAACGCGAGCACGCGCAATGCGGCAAAAATTCGCGCCAAACAAACTCGCTGTAAAGCGCGGTAAAAATTGTACAGCCAGTAGATTCTGTACCATAGCAATGCTGTAGTGCAATAAGCCCTCTCTCCTTCTATTCTTCTTCTTCTTGCAAACATTGATTGGCATCAAAATAACACAAAACGACAATAATAGCAACAGCCATTGACAAAATCATCATGTATCGTTCCAGAAATCGTACCATGGTGCGCAGCAACAACAATCAGAGTCAAGCTGGACGTGGTGGTGGATCCTTGTTGCGCGGAAGATCCACCTTGAATCATCATTATCGTAGTGGTGGTGGTGGTGGTGGTGGTTTGGAAAGCATGCGACAAACCAAACAGCAGTCCAATGTTGCTTCTGCTGCTTCTGCTGCTTCTACCAAGCATGATAATTTTTATAGTGACGACGAAGATGATTCGTCGGTCGAAGAAGAACGTATCTTGTCGGAACGATACGGAGAAGCGGCGGACGATGGTGGTGGTGGTGGTGGCAAAGCAGAGGCAAGCAGCAACAACAACAAAAAGAAAACCGAAGAAGAGATTGCCGCCGAATACAACCAACAAGAAGCCAAAAAGAAGAAGAAGCGTCGACCTGCTCAAAAGCTAGAACCAGAACAACTCACCAAAGACAAGGGATTAATGACGGTCTACAAGCGGTTTCCCGAAATTTTGCACTCGAAATACGAACGCCATTTGCCCAAACTCAAAAATAGTGGTCGTCCCAACAAGCGATTCAAACCAAGCACCCCCCAAGACATGGCCAAGTTTACGCACACCATGATGAACATGTACCGGAACTGGGTCGATGATTTGCTTCCAGGAGTTCCATTGGAAGAAATCTTGTGGAAACTCCAACCCATGAACAATACGGGAACCGTCAAGCCTTATTTGGAACAAATGCGCCGTCAAGTCATGTCCGAAAAGGTCGAGGCGGTCTATGGATTGGAAAAGGGACAATCCTTGATGGAACAATTTCAAGGATTGGTGGACGAACAATATCAACTGGAATTGGAAGAAAGGGTACCGGATCAAAATGGACCAGAAGGAGAGCAACCATTGCTAGATGGTGGCAATGATAATGATGATGATGATGATACTTCACCCACTGCTGCCAATCAAACTGATCTAGACCCTGCCCAGAATACTGCCACGGCTCCCGCAAAGTCATCTCGGTTGGTGACTCCCCGCAACAAGCGTCAAGTCATTGAGGATAGTGATGACGAAGACGAATTGGAATTCACAATGGACAATGAGAACAATGCTACTAGTACTGCTACTAGTACTGCAGTGGCGGCCAAGGTTTCGCCTTCTTCCAAGGAGGACGAGCGACCCAAAAAGGCGGCACGGCGGGTCATTGTGGACGATTCGGATGATGAGGATGACAATGACAATGATAATAATGAAGGCAATGAGGATAATGACATTGTAAGGATGGAGGTGGATGCAGAAAACAACAAGAGCGATGATGGCAGCGAAAAGGAGGATGCTTCAGCAAAAAAGAGGAAACGAAATGTGCTAGACGATGACAGCGAGGATGAAGATGAATCGGAATTGCAATTGGATACGCAAACAATGGAAACCCAAAAGGAAAGTGTTGTCACTACTGATAAGCCTGAAACGGACACTGTTTCAAAGAAAAGAACGGTGCAGGACGATGACAGCGAGGATGACGATGATGATGAATCGGAGCTTCAATTTGACACTCAAATGGAAACGCAAAAGGAAAGTGTTGCCACTGACGATAAGACTGAAATCTTCGACAAGGATAATAATTTGGGTGATGCGAAGGATGATGCTGATAATGATGAAGCAAACGACACTCACTCTGCTCCAAAGACGAGGGCAGTGCTGGACGAAGATAGCGAGGAGGAGGAAGAATCAGAACTCCAATTTGACACTCAAATGGAAACCAAAAAGGAAAATGTCACCAACACAAAAAGTGATGACAAGGAAGCCGTGGTAGGAGAAAAAGTAGTAGAAGAACCAATCGCCACCCAAGGAGAGACCAAGGATCCTGTAAATGGCGATGATAGCAACGACTCGAAGGATGAGAAGGAAACACCAGGCCAGGCCAGCAATGAGCCAGAAGAAGAGTTGGAAACCCAAGCCTTGGGAACTCAGCCTCTCTCGTCTTCTATTGGGGAAAAGACTAGTGATGCTATCAAGGACAGTCCAATAATGGAAGACAAGGATGGTGATGAGGCTGCGAAAGTGGACGAGGAAGGAGACGATAGCCAACATTCCGAAACGCTCCAATTCGAAACTCAAGAATAAAATCAAGAAGTATCATAAGTATAAGTATAATAATCATATTATAATTCAATTAGTGTGTATAGTTTTTTATTTTGTATAGAGAGTCGAGACACCATTCAGGTCGTTTGTGACATTGTTCCATGGTTGTTTAACGTTTGGTCACCTCCCAATCCGAAGAATGATCATGGCATTCAATACTCAAATTGGCATCTTTTGGAGTAAAGAACAACTTGGCATTGCCATTGGAAATAGCCTTCAAGGCATCTTCCTTACGTAAGGTATTCCACATGCCAATCTTTGTGGCCTCATCCATAGTCGGAAACGTGTTGGACAAATCTACCAAGAAGGACTTGACTCGTTCGGCTTCGGCCAAACCTTCCATCTTGGAACGGGCGTTGCTATTGTCGGTTTGGATTTGCAAGAGTTCGGCGCGAGCCTTTTCTTCTTCAATATCGCCACGAATTTGCTTCAACTGGATTTCGTTCTCACTTTCTTGCTGCTGCAAACGGTTCATTCGGTTCGTGGTTTCTTGAATGATCTCTTCCAAGATGAGAGCGGTGGAGCTTTCTGCGCAACGGTAGCCGGTCACTTCCAACGAATGAATCTTGACACCGCGCTGGTCATAAAAGTTGGAATTATCGTTTTGGTGCACCCCTTCGGCAATCTTGTTGAATTGGAGCATAAATTCTTGAAGAGTGACTTTGGATACAAGTTCAATGAATCTAGAGCGAGCATGGTTGCAAATATCACCTGTGGTATCATTGGTGAACTTGACCATGGCTTGAAGATCAGTAATCTCCCAAAAAAAGGAACCTTCCAAAACAAGCTCCACATTGTCGTTAGTGCGACAATTGAATTCAAAGCTCATGTACATTGGTCTCAAATCGAGTTTAGTGATCTTAAGGTCTCGTCGTTCACGGCGACGTCCTTGAGACCACCTGAGAGCGACGAGCTCGGAATGAGGGGGCAAGAAGAAGCTTCTTTGAGCTTCATTAGTTCCAAAGTAGAAAATGTCCTTTCCGGTCTTGTCACGAACAATACAAGCTTCATAGTCGGCAAGTTTGATCAATTGCCTAACTTCCAAGACTTCTTCGTCATTCGAGGGCACGAAGAGAATCTTCTCCGTAACTAGACTCAATTGACCTGAGCGCTTGTTACGAACCAATACAGCAGTTGACTCGTCGACTTCAATGGCAACCTTCTTGGATTCCATGAGCACTTCAAAGGGTCCAAGAAATACGAGCTGTTCGCCACGTTCGGTGCGGATGGTACCAGTTTCTCGATCTTGAATCTTGACATATTCAAACACGCGAAGGTCGACAGCTTGCATCTTGTCACCATCCATGTATTTTTCATATGGTCCAGGAACCAAGCATCCGTGTTTACCACGAACCACCCGAACCTCTCCAGTTTGTTCATCAACTAGTCTAGCATACTCGTTGGACTTGAGTGATGTTGCCTTGCGTTTTTCCAGACCAAACTTGTTCTTGAGAATTTCGTCGTATGGCTTTCGAAAGACCAGCTTGGGCCCAACTTCGACACGCTTGGCACCAGTCAAGTTGTTCTTGATCACACAATAGTCCATCGCGCCAAGAGACACAGCCTTGCGGACTTCAATGGACTTGCGAAGCATAGGAAGGACGGCTGCCTTCGGCCCATGAATAATGGTTTGCTCGGTCAAACCTTCGATGACCAGTTCTTCGTCCTTATCAACAAATTTGACGAGGTAGAAGAACAAGAAGGCAGCCAAACCGAGAATCACTGCGAGAGCGATTGAAAGTAGGATTAAAGAATTCATTTTTTGATATTGTGAGATCTGATGATAATGGAAGGTGCCAATTCCGGGCACGTTTCATAGACCACTGGATTAATCCAATCCTTGCATACAGGATTGTTTTCCTGAGTTCCGTCTACAGTAGAGTGAGTTACTGGTAAGAGTACCGGTACAGCCTTCTCATTCCCAGGCACGTCTCATATAGATTTGTTGCATGAAGGATTTGATTTTTTGGTCATGTGATGCTTCCGTTTTGGGTCGCGGGAAAATTCAATCATTGACATGGTCGGGCTGTTTAGTCGGAGTAATCAAACAAATCAAAAACTCACTCGGCTCGGCACGGATCGACTGCTGTCAACTGTGGCAGGTATTCCATAAAATAGATGATGAATATTTGAAAATCGTCGTGTTTTTCATACGACGCCTACGATGACGGCACATTTCCGCTTGGAATAACCAAAGATCGAAGAACAGACGAATAATATTTGATTTCAAAAAATTTGAAAATAGAGCTGCTAAGCGACCCGGATATGACTGTAGTCGAGGCATTTTTCGTCCGTTTTGGTACCGTTTTTGACAGGAGCTAGCTAGTTGAAATGCATCGTATCATACATTGAACATAGTGCGTGTCATCATTGTTTCCATCGACAACACTTCGATCACGAGCCTCCAACGAGCAACAAGAGCAGTGGAGCAGGACAGCACACGACACTGACCACAACAGACGCTAAATAGCCATGATGCAAAACAGCCAGGAGGCAGAAGCACAACATCGTATACATCAGGGGCATCATCAATGAAGACAAGATGAGTTCCAACAAATCTGCATCGGCGCTCGCGATCTGAGTAGGTGCCGATTGATTAGAATGAAGCAATCCAACAATCCACTAGAAAGCGAAAGCAGAGTGGGATTATCTTGCTACTGCACTGCTTAAACGAGATTCGGAATGTTTTGCCTTTTCAATGGTCGGTCAAATCGTTTGCATTCAGTACCGCAGCAAAGAAGACAAGAAGGTATCAATAAATGCGCTGTTACCTGCTTGTCGTGACCTGCTTGATACAGTAGTCTTTGAAGAACAAGCGACTCGAGCCAACAAATCAGCAACAACGTTATGAATTCGGCAAGAAGAATGCTACAATCCACACTGTTTCAAAGCTGATGGAGCGGAGTGTGATTGATCTTGCTACTGTACAGCATAAATGTCTATTCTATGGTCAAAGCATTGTTTGCATTCACTACCGCAGCAAACAAGACATGAAAGATATCGATAAATGCAACAATCAACATTGTTTGAAAGCAGAAGCGGAGTGGGATTTATCTTGGACCTTCCCGGCTAAAATTGAGGTTCGGATATTTCTGACTTGCCTATTCTACCGATACGATCACATCATAGTTCAATACAGCAGCAAGCAAGACAAGAGAAGAAAGGTATCGAGCTTGTTGTTCTGATGTAAGTACTTTGTTCAAATCACATTGAATGGGAAGACTACTAATCCTGTTAGATGAGATTTGGAATATTTATAAGTTGCCTATTTTACAGTTGAAGAACCATCCAACCGATAACCGGGTCGCACATATCAATCCTTTGGTTCACGATTGACTTGTGAACACGGCGTCTGCACTCTCTACATCCTGGGTTGCATTAGTTACATTTTGGAATCAAACTTAACTATTTAATCAACTATGTTATCTATAGCATCTCAATGATTGGCTTGCGACGCTTCATTTGTGAGTAAGTCGAGAGTTCGGCAAAGACATGGCAGTAAGATTGGAATCTACCTGCATCATCTTGCTGCCTCCTTGCCATACTCTCTATGTTAGACGTGCAACAATGTGGTAGTTCGGACACTAGCAAGGGATGAATTCCAATGGAACAGCCTCATGCCCGATTGGGGAAACACGAAGCAGCGGCTCCGCAGTATACACTTTTTTCAACCATGGAAAACGAACGGAAATGAGCCTGTGTGAACTCATTCATTCAGCCGAGAGTTGTATGCACTGAGTGCCCAGCCAAGATATAAACGGATCTCCTGGCCAACTGTCAGATCCTCAACGAAGCCCCCGAAGTTGGATCGTTGTGTTGTCCTATGAAGCTGCTCCGCCCAGCTGGCTTCCACTGCTTCCTCGTGCCATGGTTCAGCTTTACTACAGTATGATAGCTCGTTAACGTATCTGTAAAATTCCTTGTCTGTAGCATTGGTGAGTTTCTCCGTGACAAACAATATTTTTGATTCGCCTTTTTTGAATTGCAGTAACCTGGATATGGCACCAGCTCCCGTCACGTACGTACCGTATGTAGAAACTGGTAGACGCAAGCAAATGGTTTTACCAAGATTATGTGATACCTGCCTCAACTGTGTACCATACAAGCAAAAGCGCCTCCCACGCGGCCGAGCAGTTCTACCGTATATCAATATCCTGACCTCCCACCGTACACCTACCACCATCAGTGTTGGTGTTTGTACTAGACATTGATACCTATAGGTGATACTGTAGCTCTCGGGGCTATACGTGGGTACATTGCCACTTCTGTGATTTTCCACAGACCTACATGACATTCCTGACCTTTGGAAAGGAATTGGGATATTGAGTATTGTATGGGCAGAAGAACACTCAGGGGTAGTCAAGACTCGAACTCGAGACCTCTGGCTATGCGACTGTTAATCGTCAACTGTGTACCATACAAGCAAAAGCGCCTCCCACGCGCGGCCCGTATATCAATATCCTGACAACTGCCAAGGACGGAGACGCTGTGGTCTCATAAAAGTGACAATGAAGACTGTTACACTCCCTGTTGGTGTGCAAGTGCTGTTGCGCGAATTTACCACTGGAAGAGTTTCATTGATTCCAACAGGAATAAGCCTCAGAAAATTGTCTACTTCATATCACAAGATTTGACTGGACTGCAGCTAATGATAAGCTGAATCATATCAATGCAACTGATTGTAAGACTCAAGCGTTAGCCGTGTGTGTAAGCATAGTCATAGATCGCCAGTACTTCCTTCATCCTGACCAAGCCGCTTTCGTGCCTTTTTAATATCAAAATCGCTTGCCTCCAATGCTCGCAGTGACGCTGTGAATCCCATATTCGGCATTGCTTCAGGGCGCACAGCCCTGATAATCTCCATGGTTTCCTGTAATGACCGTCTTTGTCTCGTCATGATCCATGCAGCACAAATTGTCACTGATCGACTGACTCCCATGGCACAGTGGACTAGAATTTTGTCGCAATTTTGTTGCTGCAGCGCTTCGTCTATGACACGCAATATGCCCACTAGCTCACCGGAGAAGAAAATAGAATTGTTCTTATCTTCAAGTTCCCAGACAATATGACGACGGCATCGCTTGGTGTGCTTGGCGTCTTGCAACATGAAGTTGGTCATTGACACGAGTTTGTCACTACCAAGGACGGATATCACAGTCCATGAACTGCTCTCCTGATTGGACAGGTGCTTCAAGGACGCCAAGGAACCAAGCCAAAGCTTGGGAAGGATTTCAACTGGTTGCCCTCGTGATGATGGCCTGTTCGTTGTCGCTTTGTCTATTGCCATTTTAAGAGCTGTGTGATTATGCACAGGCCGGGATCGGTGGCGGGCACACTTGGTTGAGCGGGTTTGTCGGAATATTCCGACCAAGAGTCTGTACGCCGTCCAAAAGGAAGATGGGAGAATAATGACCTCAAGAAGGGAAGTCAAGAGAAGGGATCTCTTGACATCACAACTCATCAACTATATCTCTCTATATGACTTAACTACATATTCATATCGATCCTACCTGAAATCCATTAGATTCAGACAGGGTTTTGTTCTTTGCGGATTTTGCAGTCGAAGTGCTCATATTATCACTACCGGTACTGTCGCAACTCGACGAGGAATGAGACTTCGACATCGCAAATCGTTTGGACAGTTCGAGCAAGCCGCCATGACCTCCTGCTCTTCACCACGCCCTTTTCGTTTCAATTTGGCATTGCTTATCACGCTGCATTGAACCTATCTCTGGCGAGGGGATCATTTCGCAATATGGTTCCTCAACTTAAATTTTTTCCGTGACCATGGACATTCGGACAATTGATGAAGATGACACATGAAACAATCTACCGTACAACAAAATAACAACAGTGGGACTAATTTTTTACGTTCCTCCTTGTCCAGGATGGGATTAAAAATTCTGAAGACTCGACTGACTCATATGACTCCTGCACTATTATGATACTTACTTATTTCGTCATTTATTTTGACCTTTTCTTCCGCAGCTCTCGAAAGAACTGAGCAACCTTTGTCTCTGCTTCTTCAATGTCGCTCTCCACCCATTCCTCAGATCCCGCTTTCTGGAGAAATCGAACACCTTTGTTCCGAAGCATTTGCGCTAGCTTGATTGCAATGTCTCGTCTGTGCTGTCTCGGAGTACTCTCATATTCGCCTCGACGCTGCTCCAAGAACTCTCGAAATTGGACATTGCCAGGATGCAACTGTAGCCGATACCCTTTTCCAAACAAAACATCCATCTCGGTCGGTTCGATTGGCCCTGTGACACGATTCATCGGCAGAGCATCATCTGGACCCACTTCAGTTGATGATGCCCGCATCGAGTCGTGGACTTCCATCCCTAAAGCGTCTATTGCATCACCTCCATCCTTCTCATGAGGCACATGCTGCTTCTGGTTCACGAGATCGCTCTCTATCTCCATGTCTTGTGACAAGCCACGAGCGGCCTTGGGTTGGTAGAAGCGAATGCTTTGATTGGTCTCTTTGAGATGCCTGTCAAGCCAGACATTCAGAATGTCATTACGAATGTTACCTTCTTCTCCAAACGGTATCGTGGACAAGGGAATACCAAAGCTTTGGAGCTGGTAACGAAGCTCCATGATGGACCCATAATGTATTCGAGTTCGCGCACGGCCATCTTGGGGCGTTCCCTTCAGAAATAGACTAACAAGAACGTTGTTCAACGCAAGATGATGTGATTTGGCCTGTACACAGTAGTGGATTCCAGAGAATCGAACTGGTTCAGAGTCATAGGTTGTTTGGATTTCTTTGAAGAAGCTGAATCCAGGAAGTGTAAAGGGTTCCTCGGGTAGTGTACTATCGTTGTAGACTACCACGATTCCCTTCCTTTGTACATCCGGGAGGGAGGACATTATATTGTACATAATATAGTGGCGGATGCGAATCTGAATAACGAAGCATTGGTCGTTGAGCAAGCATGCATGTCAGTCTTTCGAAACCGAAAGGAGAGTGGAGTACTTACCAGGTTATCAGCTCTACATCGAATGAGCATTTTGCCGAACAAATGTAGGATAAGTCTCCCATTTTGATCTCTCCCATCTTGGATGTGGTATAGTCCCGATAGCATCAGCTGCTTGTCCTCCTCGCTCAGGTCATCCAATGTTATATCACGAGCAACCTTGTCATCACCGAAGTATTTCGCTTTACACTCGAGAAGACTCATCATCTTCCGAACCGCTTCACGAACATTGTACAGCTTGGCTCTTAAGAACCTCAGACGAAACGTAGGATCCTCCACGTATGCTCTATTTTGATTGATGGCCATCTCGTAGATTGGATTTCGTTCCTTCTGCACTGCCTCTTCAAACTCCGCGAGCGATTTCTGAATCATTTCAGGCGTCTCTTGGAGCTCTTCTCCTACACAGTGGAGGTCATCCATTGCCTTTGACCGCTCCTCCACCGACATTTGGCTCATCTCTGATGCGAGGAATGCTTCGGTTTGCTTCATTGCAGGCTTGCTAGTGATGTCATCGTTGTTGCTACTATTCTTCCCAGGCATTTGAAAGTGATTTGGAGCGTTCTTGTCTTCTGTTGCTTGATCATCGTTATTGAAGCATGGCAGACATGCCTGTCTTGCGAAAGGATTGTTGGATGGAGAGGATGCCATTGCCCATCGATGAGGATGGTAGAGTTGTGATGATGATTTTATGTACTGTTGGGGTATTTGTGAGAGGAGCCCGTTTAGGTCCTAGTGAATTTCGGGGAGTCACAAAACGGTTTTGGAAGGACGAAGTTTCATAATTATGTCTGAGCGCTCATCCGCCGAGGTTTCGGTTTACTAACGGGAATTTCACTTCACTGGCACCAGGATCAAATCCCTATTGTAGGTGATATTGGTATGGTACCGTACTCGTAGTTGAAAAGCGTTGGCATATCACTCTCTCTTTTTTTTTATTTAAAAAAAAGACTTTTTTAACAGACCAAAAGGCTCGATTGGAAGTGTTCGAAACGCCATCATGCTACCATGTACACTGTTGGACTGAGACATTCGTGAGAGGAGCCACAAGGAAACGGGCAATTGAATTTAGCACGCACTTGGCATGATGTCCGTGGAATAAATGGTGTAAGATGGTGAGCTTGGACTAAGGAAACATTCTGGAGCATTTTCATCCGCTGAGGTTTCGGTTTACTTCCGGGAATTTCACATTCAATCAATCCCCGTCACTATTGACAGCCGACTGGCGCGTGATTTCGTCCGAGGTGAGAGATTCAATGATTCGACGGCAATGTTTTGGACTGCGCATGAAGCGTGCCCACAAAGGACCAGTCTCTGATATCCCGCGAATCGGAAATCAGAGACTTGCTTGTAGCCGCTCTTGTATAGATGAAATCTATCTCTACAAGGTCTAACAAGAAGGATGCGGTAAGAGGGAAATAAAGAAATATCCTTATATTTCTTGATGCACACTCGTACACGACTTCGATGAACTGATCGGACTTGGTCGCTTAGCAATGCTGATATCGTCGTTCGTCCGACCGGCTTCAGCAGGCTTCGTTCTCGATCTTACGTCTACTCCCACGGGTAGCTACGGTACCAGTACAATCCGGTACCTAGTACGTTAGATGGTTTTTATTTCCTTAGGTTGCGTTGTTTGATGGTGGCGGCGGGTTTTAGTATTTGATTAGACCGACCACCCGACCCACAATCCAGTGGCACAACATGAAATCTTCCTAGATTACTGCCATGATCTGGACCTAGCTACTTCGCTGGGGATCAACTGCTAGTCCAACTTCTGTTTTTAACTGTGAACCTAGCTAGTAGCTATAGATCCTCCGTATTTATTAGTGGATCAACATCGAATATACTTCCAGTCCTTCATGATGGGAAAGTACGAGCAGTCGCTCAACATTAAAGGAAGAGAATTTAGTACAAAGCCTACAGTACTGTGCGAATAGTGGTATTGCTAGGGAGTTTGGGAAGTACCCCCATCAAAAGGGGTCTATGGAATCCCTCGTCCTCGGCGAAACAACGCCATCCAATTATCGTACCTTTCTCCCTCCCCAGGAGAGCAAGTTGATGTTCCTACCGGTGGAACTGGTACTTGGCCGGCATTCTAAGTTCTGAATACCTCCACTACCGTAGACTGATACTTATTTCGTCATTTATTTTGACCTTTTCTTCCGCAGCTCTCGAAAGAACTGAGCAACCTTTGTCTCTGCTTCTTCAATGTCGCTCTCCACCCATTCCTCAGATCCCGCTTTCTGGAGAAATCGAACACCTTTGTTCCGAAGCATTTGCGCTAGCTTGATTGCAATGTCTCGTCTGTGCTGTCTCGGAGTACTCTCATATTCGCCTCGACGCTGCTCCAAGAACTCTCGAAATTGGACATTGCCAGGATGCAACTGTAGCCGATACCCTTTTCCAAACAAAACATCCATCTCGGTCGGTTCGATTGGCCCTGTGACACGATTCATCGGCAGAGCATCATCTGGACCCACTTCAGTTGATGATGCCCGCATCGAGTCGTGGACTTCCATCCCTAAAGCGTCTATTGCATCACCTCCATCCTTCTCATGAGGCACATGCTGCTTCTGGTTCACGAGATCGCTCTCTATCTCCATGTCTTGTGACAAGCCACGAGCGGCCTTGGGTTGGTAGAAGCGAATGCTTTGATTGGTCTCTTTGAGATGCCTGTCAAGCCAGACATTCAGAATGTCATTACGAATGTTACCTTCTTCTCCAAACGGTATCGTGGACAAGGGAATACCAAAGCTTTGGAGCTGGTAACGAAGCTCCATGATGGACCCATAATGTATTCGAGTTCGCGCACGGCCATCTTGGGGCGTTCCCTTCAGAAATAGACTAACAAGAACGTTGTTCAACGCAAGATGATGTGATTTGGCCTGTACACAGTAGTGGATTCCAGAGAATCGAACTGGTTCAGAGTCATAGGTTGTTTGGATTTCTTTGAAGAAGCTGAATCCAGGAAGTGTAAAGGGTTCCTCGGGTAGTGTACTATCGTTGTAGACTACCACGATTCCCTTCCTTTGTACATCCGGGAGGGAGGACATTATATTGTACATAATATAGTGGCGGATGCGAATCTGAATAACGAAGCATTGGTCGTTGAGCAAGCATGCATGTCAGTCTTTCGAAACCGAAAGGAGAGTGGAGTACTTACCAGGTTATCAGCTCTACATCGAATGAGCATTTTGCCGAACAAATGTAGGATAAGTCTCCCATTTTGATCTCTCCCATCTTGGATGTGGTATAGTCCCGATAGCATCAGCTGCTTGTCCTCCTCGCTCAGGTCATCCAATGTTATATCACGAGCAACCTTGTCATCACCGAAGTATTTCGCTTTACACTCGAGAAGACTCATCATCTTCCGAACCGCTTCACGAACATTGTACAGCTTGGCTCTTAAGAACCTCAGACGAAACGTAGGATCCTCCACGTATGCTCTATTTTGATTGATGGCCATCTCGTAGATTGGATTTCGTTCCTTCTGCACTGCCTCTTCAAACTCCGCGAGCGATTTCTGAATCATTTCAGGCGTCTCTTGGAGCTCTTCTCCTACACAGTGGAGGTCATCCATTGCCTTTGACCGCTCCTCCACCGACATTTGGCTCATCTCTGATGCGAGGAATGCTTCGGTTTGCTTCATTGCAGGCTTGCTAGTGATGTCATCGTTGTTGCTACTATTCTTCCCAGGCATTTGAAAGTGATTTGGAGCGTTCTTGTCTTCTGTTGCTTGATCATCGTTATTGAAGCATGGCAGACATGCCTGTCTTGCGAAAGGATTGTTGGATGGAGAGGATGCCATTGCCCATCGATGAGGATGGTAGAGTTGTGATGATGATTTTATGTACTGTTGGGGTATTTGTGAGAGGAGCCGCAAAACGGGCTATTGAATGTAGCAAGCAATTAGCAAAATGTACGTGTAATTATTGGCGTATGATGGTGAGCTTGGACTAAGGAAGGCATTTTCATCCACGGAGCTTCGGTTTACTTACGGGTAATCTGACAATTCAATCATATGGTTTCCCGTCACTACTGTCGAAGACCGACTGGCGCCTTCCGCCTGGTTTCGATTTATTCGACTAGGGAGGATAGATCAACCGAAACACCAGATATCCCGCTAGAGCGGGAAAGAGACTTGCAGTACCATTTTAAAATCTCGTTTCGATAAAAGGAACTACTCCGAACGAAGGCAGAATTTCTTGATGCTTTTGATCAATGCCAAATTGTCGATGAAAATCTTGTTTCCTCCCAAAATACAGTGATGGTGGCGGGCTATTTGGTAACATGCGATGATGATTCGTCGGTATTTGAATCATTGGTTGACCATCGCATAGCCCAGCACGAAGAGCACCACAAAAGAAATCTTCGCATGCCTACTTAATGATTCACATAGATCAAAGCCAACGGGATATCGATCATCTCCACCCTATCGACACTCTACAGTACCGAGCTGAAAGAGTACTCAAATCGCCTTCTTCTGATTTTTCTTCGATGAGATTTCGGAGGAAATCCGATGCAACTGGCGGACAAAGCCCATCATGCTGCCGGCGGGTTGCCCAAACAATAATCCTGGTTGTATCTTCTGCCTTGTTTCTGGTTATGCAGGTGAAAGAGAAGCAAATGGAAGAAAATGATGTCAAATGGCATTCCGTAGCTGGGAAAATGATCCAACAAGACAGGCTGGCTACGGTTGTCATTTCGCGCTTTATGCAATTTCAGGCAAATCTACTGTTCTTAGGGAAGGCGCACCTTCTCCTATTTGAAACATTTTGCTTGCCGACAATGGTTCACCAGACCAGCCAATACTTTGTTTGGCTAATCCGTACTGATCCACAACTCCACCACTCAATCCTACAGCCACTGCAACAAATGCTTGAGCCATATCCAAACTTCTTTCTCGTCCTGGACAACAACAACACAATCGAAAGCTCTATAGGATATCGTGATCAAAATATGGATAACATATCAATCCTAACCGGCTCCAAGGCACTGCTCCGACGGCACATGGAGTTGTCGCGGAAACGCTGGATTTTGGAAACGCTGGATTTTGGAAGTTGTCGTTGATGCGGACGATGGATTGCATGAAACCTATATCGACAGACTCCAGCTGGGTGCTAGCATGGACATTGACAGGCTGATGGCCATGAAATCCGTCAATGTCACAAAGGACAAGATCGAATATATCTATTGTATAGGCAAACATCTTCTGTGGCTTAGCGGGACAGCATCGATCAAAGTTGGATATAACCCGAAGCAAAAGGCAACGACATTGAACACACCCGCTGGGGGTATTATGAGAGAAAAGTAGAGGCCGAAATGTGCCACAATTCGGGTGTGGGATATCTACTTAGTCCTAGCCTTGAACAGCGGCTATCGATTCCCCACAGTGAAATCCATTCGACTGTTGGCCTCTGTGAGACTGTCGAAGACGATCTACAATCCACAAAGACCACTGACAGTGCCAATTACAATGATGCAACCTTCCTTGTAACGATGCGATGCTTAAGCTGGTGGGATTCCACATGGCATCAGGCCATACGTTCGAGAACCGTTACGAGCGATGGTATGGGAGGGTTTCACCAAGATTGGGAAGAGTCTGTTAACGCGACTGACCTCCGCTCCATCATGTCAGATGCCTTTCACGTTTCGCCGGCCCAAGTTGAAGAATCTCATGCCTACTTTCGGGCCCATCAAATTGAAATCATGAAGGACAACATTCAAGGCCAATGTTCGTCGTTGCAGCCTCGTGGTTCGACTTGCAAAGAAGCTTACCCAGCCAAAACTCTCAACAAGTACATATCTCAGATAGAAAAACAAGAACAGCAGCTAATACAAGAACATAAAAAGAAGAGGATGCAGCGGTGGCGACTAGGGGCTAATTCAATGGCAGAACAGGAAAACCATGAGAAGGATTTTTATTTCCGACCGACAAGGACTGAGAGAAATTTCAGTTTACGCCTGCGATGCCCATCGGTCGGTCGCATTTGGGAGGTCTTTTTAGAGCTTATTGGGTCAATTTGTTGACCACAATAAATAGAGTCAAATATCGGAGCGGCGCCATATTTGGTCTTTGGTCTCACGGAATCTCAAACTTCGTCCAAGACCAGTGCAGCTGACGAGTCCTGGACACAACTTCTGCTATTCACTGTGGAGAGGTAAGCATTCCAAAATAAGCTGAGCAGATTAGTATATAGTACTCGGAATGGTAAAGGCACCAAAGTAAAGTTTCTGAATAGAGAATCTTGTGAGAGAAGAGAAGACTCGTGAATAATTGACATCAACAAGCCACTTACACAATATTGGCAGCAGGCCAGAAGGACCACGAAGCCACAAGAGCTTGGGGGAAAACAAGCTGTAGTTTATTCCAAGTACTGGCTAATGAACCACCCTCCAATTGCGTCCGCCACACAAAGTACCCACCAACGCCGACTGGCGAATAGATTACGGCATCTAGGAACATTCTGTAGACGAGCTGTGGAACCGCACCCACAGCCAGGATGGGCATTCGAGGGATGCTCCAAACAACTATACGTTCCAGCATATTATACCATGTATGTGTCAATGGTCCTATGAGCGTCAAACCAGTGATTGTGACATGCATCGATCGGGTCCAGTCGTATCGAGAGGAAAAGTTGTGAAGTGCCTCGATTGATGTTGACGGAGAGGCAAACACCAAAGGGTCTGTTTCTGTTGCTCCCAGTAACCTTTTTTGCTGCTTCAATACACCTGTGGCTTGTTCAAAGGACTGGCTCAGCACATCTGAGGTGCCCATGAGTATTCCAGCTGTAATTGACTTTGTTGCCATTGGATTTGTCTCCAGCATCTTTTTATACCAGCGCCATCCTGACATTCTGTTCCTCGTGTTTTTGCTTGGGATCTGTTTCTTGATTGGTTCTTTCTCTGTCAACTTTATCTTCGCGTTATTGTGCCTTCATCTATCGTTCACAACCAGTCAACCTTTTATTCAAATGTGTCCATCAAGCTGAGCTGTTTTGGATACCAAAGGATCTTTGATGTCCAATGTGTGAGATCCACGTGGAACCATTTCACAACGATCTCATCACAATGATGACTCATTCGACTATCGTCAGCGAGAATGAAACAAGAGAAGAGAAGTCAGAGCCTCATGCATCCATTATTGTTATTGAGTGAAGACAAAAAAAACAGCATCTGTTATTGTTGCCTTGATCATACGTAGTCCTCAACATAAGATGATTTCAAAAGTTCTGACAAGCTTTTTTCTTCTGTCCACATTGGGAGAATCCTGCCTTGCGTGGACTAGCAACAATCCTGGGAACGAACGATGCAACCAAAGAACAACAGTTTCTTCAATTCAAGGGACGACGAAACCAGTCGATAATGTTCCCGTTTCTACTCGTCGATCGATCATTGCAGCTATTCCTGCACTATCGACTTTTCTTGTGAGCAAGACAGCTTTGGCACGGGATGAACTATTCAAGCCCAATCCGTTGACGAATTCTGTATTGGAGCAGGTGAGTCAGATTGATGGATGGCCCATCTGAGAGACTTGAAGAAAGTTTTTGATTAGCAAGCAATGAACTCCTAGTCTTCTCACTATGGATTCATTTATCAAAATATTTCTTCGAATATTTTGAATCAAAATTATTTTGCAGATCAGAATTCTGGAACAAGCTGAAGCAGATAATCTAAAGTATGGTGGTGAATTGGAGGCGGGGGATGCCGGGAACAAAGGCAAAGTCAGCGCATATCCTTCATTGCTGGTTCCGATTCTGAAGATTGAGCAAGATCTAGCAAAAGTGAAAAGTTTGGTGTACGAAAAAACACCAAGTGCGTGGAAGGAAGCGGTAGCCATTTTGCAAACCGATAGATTTGACAAGCTCACTTTCAAGAAGACATTCAACAAATACGGAGACAACATTTACTACAGTGACCCAGACCGCGCCAACCTGTATCTTGGTGGTGGGGCCACCCCGAAAACAGAACAGAGTATGGCTTATCTTTTGCGCAATGACATCCTGACGAACATGGAGAATCTTCGTGCAGAGCTGGG